ATCACTTACTGAAACGACCGCGTTGTAGGCAAAGTCGAGACAAATGAGGAGGAGGATAGCAGCGGCCTTTCCTTGGTCCCTCTCATAGTCCAAGACCTGCTTCGCGACAAAGACTCCAAGTTCATGCATGGGATTGGTCTGCTTCTTGCCGAACAAGGCCCTCGTAATGTCCCATTGGTTGGCCTCCCAGATGGTGGCTTTCTGGGTCAAGTCAATTAGCTTTTTCATCGAAGTTTTGAAAGCCTCGCGACGCGGCATCCACTTTGTTTCGTCCACATTGTACGTCAGGAAAACCTGGCAGTTGGTGATGTGCTGATAGATCTCGTTCTCGCTGTACTTGTCCTTGGCATCGGTGGCGACTTTGCGCAGCTTGTCACCGAAGCCAAGAAAGTCGGCGACGTATCGCGTGACTATGGGAATGGCAAAACTGTCCAAAGGTCAGTCGGGCTCTCCGACCGCAGTCGAAGCAAGGGTTGCGAAACTTACTCTCGAGTGGCATCAATCTGGAATGTCGAATTTGTCATGGAGATTGACTCTCTCTTGACGATATACCTCATCAACTCGTCAAGATACTTCTTCAAACCCTCTTCGGCACCCTTGACGTAGTCTTCAAGGATCTTGGGTGAGATTGTAGGCGGCTTCTGGTCTGGGCCCAAAACGCCTCTCACAATCTGGGGCAAGTTGGCCTCGTAGTAATACGCAGGGTTCGTGAAGTTCTTGCTCTGTTCTCCCTGCAACACAATGGAGATGTCGTTGAACTTGTCAAGATACCACGGCTTCCTGGGCTTCTGCACTGGGGCCACAACGATGTCGGCCTTTGGCTTTTTCGGCTTGCCTGCTTGCTCCGCTGCCGTCTCCCTGAACTGATCGCCGTAGCCTTGAGCCTCTGCGTACATGGCGTTTTGCTTCGCAGTGTAAAACGGGTGGAAGAATCGGATGGTGTCGGATGGGAACCATCCTGGGAAAGCACGCTGGATCAAGCGGTGGAAGACTGAGCTCTTGCAGACCTCATTATTTGGTGTGACTTCCTTCATGCCCCACGAGGTCAGGGAATTGGTGTTCCAGTCAACGGTGTAGAACCGATCCGAGCGGACGAGGGTGATGGCATCCGAGAAGATGGCAGACCAAAGCGCAGAGCTTGCCTCGCTCGGCCCAGGGTCCAGTCCCATGTGTTCGTCTGATTCGCAGAAGATGCCAGGATACAACTCAATCTTGTCGGGATGCTCATAGAGATCCCGGAGCGCGTTTTGGATCTCGACGTTCTTTGTCACGCTTTCAAACGTGGCATGTCTTGGCAAGCCGAAGAAGTCTCTGAAGTCGTTCAACGTACCGATTTCCCATTTACGCGCTTGCAGGATACCCATGATCTCAACTGCCTTGAGACACTGGGGGACATTGCGCGGGCCGAAATTGGAGATGGGATCGTCCATTGCGGAGGTAAGTTCATCCAGCATCTGGCCGTCGTCGAAAAGATTTGTGATGGAGTTTCGCGTGAAATACTTGGACCTCTTGGGCTTCTCTCGAGCAGCACCAGGCTCGTCGGGCGCTTCCGTGCCAGCAACACCATACATGGATATTCCGCTATCCGAACCGTTCTCGGATGCTGCGCTGCTATCCTCACCAGACGCAGGTGCTGGCGTAGACGCATCAGGGATACCAAACGTTATTTCCCATGGCTCGGGATCCTTTTTACCGTTCTTCTTGTCTTCTGCAGACTTTTGCTTAATTGCCGCCATCGTCTGGAGGAAAACCGGCAGCGGTGTATTTTTTGGGTCCTTGAATCCCAACACTTTCTGCATGAATTCCTCGGTGTAAGCCTCGTCCTTGAGAGAGATGGCACAGTGGAAGCGGTACAGCAGATTGAACTCGACAGTAACTTGGTTCCCGATGCCGCGACTCGTCTTCTTCTGGTCAAAGTCGGCGCGAGGATCCAGAGTGAAGTTGGTGTTGAACTGGTGGAAGCCCATTAGTGCTCGCAAGTAGTCGTGCACGGAGATCTGGATGTACATGCCGCAAGTGATGAGGCGGGCGGTATTGAAGAGGTCATCATCTTGCTTGTTCCAAGCGGCCTCCCAGGCAGCCTCGAAATCCTGGCACTTGGTTTCGAAATCTTCAAGTTTCTGGGGAGATTCATCCTTGAGCTTCGACTTCTTTTCCTCGAGGAGAAGCTCGAGAGCTTCTGTCAACTCGATGAGCTTTTGGTTCAGCGCGGACGCCTCGAACTCAGCAATGGCATCAAGAGCCTTTTGCCTTTGTTTCTCTTCAGCCTCGCGTTCTGCCTTCTCTTCGGGGGTTTCCTGTGGCTGCTCTGGAGGGACGTCCGGTGCGTCTCGAGGTCTCGCTGCTTGAGCTTCTCTCCATACCTTCTCATACTCAGCGCACATCTTGACGACATTGGCACCAAGGTCTTCCTTTTGCCCATATATGTTGCGATCAGGGAGATGCTCCTTGATCAAAGAGACCAGCTTGGTCTTTTCGTACATGACTGGGACTCTGAAACGGCCGTTCTCATTGATTCGAAGCAGCTGTCTTGCAGCGTAGTTGTGGTATCGGTTGTACATGACCAGCAGGATGCAGACGCCGGGTGGCTGCCTTAATAATCGGTCTTCCGCAAATGTGTCTGGCTTGAGAAGACCCAGCTTGTACTTGTCATCCCGAATCTTGCGCTGCATCTCTGTGGTGTATCCATAGAGAGGAGACAAGTCGAGGTAGGACGAGCTATCCGAGATATTCTTGTCGTTGTCATTTGTTCTGAAAATATCGTGGATGATGATGGTAGCATGATAGATGAGCATGGCAGAAAGCCCCGACTGGCTCTGCCGGCCACCTTCCTCTCGTGCCATCAGCTTGTCAAAGAGATCAGAAGGGTCAGGAAGAGCACCGAGCGGAGCTGTTCTTGACGGCACTGTTTTGGCGTATGGAGCACCTGCTTGACCAAGATGCGGGTTGAGGGCACTGTTGAACTTGCCATCCGCGGTTCGGTACTGGAAGGCATCCCCGAGGTACGTCAATGGTGCTGATCAAAGTCAGATTAACTCTCATGGCTGCTGATTAGGCGCGCAAACGTACGGTGCAACATCTTGTCATATTTGTCCCTGACTTGATCATCAATAAACTTTTGCCGTTGGACGCTGTAATCGGAAAGACTGCCGGCAATCGTGGCAGCACTTTGTCCCTACGCTCCGTGTCAGCATGCAGTCTGTCGAGCACCATTCAGAGTTGACAGCTTACGTCGAGTCCAGTGCCTTTGATGAGTCCATCGGCGGTCCGCTTCAGTGCTGGCCAGTTGCTGGGCTGAAAGACAGTCTTGAGATCCTGCCACAAGCCAACCTTGGGAACAATTGGATTCTGTGTGGACTGTTAGTAGCAAAACTCGGAAAACAACTGCCTCTCACTTACCCCGAGGAGGTTGTCGCCGTGAAACGTTGCATATTTCTCTTCTTCCTTCTTGTTTCTGAGCTGCAAGGTGAGTTGCATCAAATCCTCATCTTGTTTGCTCATAGGAGCCTCTGCTGCGCGGCCATTCATGACGGCAGGGTTTCGACTGGTTCCCAATGTTGATGAGGGATGGCGAGAGCAGTAGCAAAATAGAGACCAAGGCGGAGCCTAATAACTACTCAGTGTTGTTGCCTGATGAGTGCACTTGGAAACAGAATGTGTGAGGCACCGTAAAGCGACAACTTGAGTTCACAGGTCTTGTATGAGATGGTGCCATGTGGCGCTCAAGTGCTTATTATTGCACCCCAACTCGCGGTACTTGGGTCACGGGAGAAGAGACGGTTGTTAGGAACGATCGATGATAAAGCTGAGTTGTGGCTCGCCTGCTCCGCCCTATCAGCTCCCATTCTCAGACGTCATGGCCGTTCCGCAAGGTCTGGAACGCCAGCATGTATGTGGGCAGTACATTGTTGGCCCAATCCCCGTTGAAAGTGTAAGCCGATATTGCTTACATGCGGCGTGGCCGTCAATTTGTCTGGAATGCTGCCTTTCAGTTGGCAGAAAAGCGGAAATGCCCAGACCACCCCGAGGCAAAGTGTAGAGCTGAATATGCATGCCGCATGGCCAGAAGCCCGCCCCGGTTGTCAATGGCTCGGGTCTATCACATTTATTCTGTGTTGCATGAGTTGCGACATGTGCGCAGTAAGATGCTACTGCAACCTCGGTTCGTCCAAATTGCTAAGGGTCATGTATCATGGAAGCATTTGTGCCTGTGAGATCAATGTGATTGGGCTCTTGGGCTCGCGTCCACCAATAGCAAGAGTTATACATTCTAGCATGCCACCATCTAACCGCAGTGCAAGTTATCTTCACGATCGAGTCAGCCCCTGCCGTCTGACAACATTCCTACACGTAACAACCGCGGGCGGATGAAGCATTGAAATTCAATGTCTTCAGCTTTAGATGCCGCCTTAGAGTCGCATTGAAAGTGGAATACACTCCAACATGTATCAATTTTGGGTGTTGGGCTGCCAAAAGACGGGTTGCCGGGGGGCAGTCCAGCCGCTCTCCGCGGAGTAGTAGGGAATCTACTCCGTAATAACTTACGAATTTGTGGCTTGCTATTGCATGGAAAGAGGGTAGGGGTTGCAGTTCGGGTTTGCCGCTTGTCCACTCAGCTCATTAAACGAATCCGTATATACATGTATGTACTCTGTACGGAGTACTCCGTGTTATTGGCAGATCCAGGGGTCATTGGAAATGCGCAGAGTTCAAGTGATCGCCACATCCCCGACCCTAGAACAGTGGCAGGGTCTCGGCCAGGTCGATACACAGGGTCTTGACTCTGACCGCAGTAGTCGGATGAAGGGGTCCAAGTCGTAAATTCTTCTGTATACCATGACACTTTTGATCATGACCGTCGTCGCCATTTCCATGTCAAGCAACTACTTGTCCTTTAACCCTTGAGTGGTCAAGTCATTTCATACATTTTTCTTCTTCCAACTTACGGGTTTTCGTTTCTCACCTCACCAAGCAAGTCCTTTTTTTGCACGTTTGTCACAATGTCTCTCTCCCCGGCTGTGGGAGAATACGCAAAGGCGCCTGCAAACGCGAGCAGGAGTCCTTGCCCCGTCGTCAACGCTCTTGCCAACCATGGCTATATCGAACGGAGCGGACGCAAAATCTATGCGAAAGATCTCAATGCCTCCATGAGACATGTCGGCATGAGCCCACTCCTCGGCTCTGTCTTTGCTATACCAACCTATTTCGAGTATCACGACCCGGCCAAGGCATACATGAAGAACTCGGTCAGCACCTGGCAGAGAATCTGGTCTCTTATCAAGAACCCTTATTCCTACTTCGACTACTTTGGCTGCTGGAATGCCAGCCAGATGAGCGAGGGGAGGAAGTATCTCAATCTTGTGGACCTCGCTTCCCACGGCGCCATTGAGCACGACGTCTCTCTCTCGCGTCGGGACATTGGTCAAAAGGAGGGAAACAACGATGCCCAACAAGATTTGATTGAGGAAATGTTGGACTTTTCTTTTGACGGCGAGTCCCTCACCATCGACGATCTTGGCAGGTTCGTCAAAGCCCGCATCCAGCGGCAACTTGTGGACAATCCAGACTTGGTCTATGGGCCAGATGAGCACCAAGTGAATTGCGGCCAAATCGCATTGATGATGGGTTGTTTTGGGGATGGAAAGACGATTCCCGTCAGTTACGTCAAGGCCATCTTCGAGGATGAGAGACTACCCATCGAGGAAGGTTGGAAAAAGAGGTCCTGGTGGACCATGGGGCTTATCGAGTTCTTTGGTGCTGTTAAACATATGGTGGCAGCAGTGGGCGTGCAATTTTAAACCGCTATATTTTCATTTTTTTCATCACTCCTTTGTCCGTGGGAAGATATGATCAGTTTTGTTGGATTAGCTGGGAATGGCATTCGTTTCAAGGATATGCGGTGTTCTGCTCTTTCATTCAATTTATACTATCTTGTCCAAGAACTCTAGGAAGAATTCTCATGACGCAGTGTTTCTGGCCATGCACCACATCATGATGAGCTAGGTGACAGGCCGCACGAGTCGGTCTGGATAAAATCTCCCAGAAAAAGCAAGGCACATTCCGCATGTGAAACGGTGGCAGGAGAAGCAGTTGCTTTTTTCGTTCAGAAGAGGGCCGGGGGCTTTGCTAGACATTACATGCCCTGGTCGCTACTTTCGGCATCACCAAACTTCAACTGTTGGGTGCAGCCAGCCACATAAAGTATACTCCGTACTCCCGAAATGCTCATTCAGCCAGCCACATGCCGGTCTGCGTCTTGCTTGTGGGGTGGAGAGCTCAGTGTGTCAGCCAGAGATAAACTTTGAGATGCCGAGTGTCATACGTGACGTCAATAATATATGTAAGGTAAACTTGCGTGAGGTCCAATGGGTGTAAGCAAAGCGATGAGCCGGGCGGGTCAAAATTAAAGGATAAATTTGAATTCAGCCTCGTTAAAGTGGCTACGTAGCATCATTTCCTGAAGCCTAATGGCAACGTTTTTCTTTTTCTTTTTCTTTTGGCTTTTTCTTTTTCTCCTCTGGGGGCCGCCTGCAGCGGGCAGGAAATTGATGAATGGAACACCAGACTCCATGTCTATTGAAACCAGCACCGTGCGAGTTTGAGATTTCAATTGACCTATTGTAACGGGGCAGATGCCTCAACCATGCCCCACTTGTAGCACTCAAGCGACTGAGCCAGAAGAGCTAGAGCTCAGGTCCGATTATCGGCCAGCCGGTACGACGAATTGATGCATGTGTGTTTCGAATTCCTTTTCCACCGTCGCGACAGTCAATCAACGCAGCGCTCATTGGCACGACAACATTAGCGACACCATCTTGATTCAGGGCCAGAATCGCGCATCTGTGCTTCATTCCGTGTCCGGCAGTTTTGATCAAGCCTCTCTCGAGGGCTGCCCTTCAACGCCCGCACTTTCTCATCTGGCTTTGCCGCGAACTTGTCTGGTACATGTCTTGCCAATTTTCTTTCCGCCGTATGCTTTGTTGCTGGCTAACGAAGTCATTTAGAAATAGCCGTTTGCTGATCCTCTAGATCTACACAACTCAAGACTCGGCAAAGGCGAACAACGAGTGAGCCGTCTACGACATCGATCCTGGCCCAGGAATGCTTCGACTGGTCCAGGCTGGACTTTCAAGTAGCTGGACCGCACAGGATGCATCAACTCTTGGTATTTGACCCTCTCGGCTGAGCAGTTACGCAGTTCCGAAATAAGTTCCCAAACAGAGCCTCGAATGAGAAATGACTACAGCAAACCTCACAATTTACTCTCTTGGGTCTGGACTTTTCGCATCAAGCAAACGTGGTGCATACGGATTTCTCTTCCACTGGCTAACTCTCGAGAGCCGTGAGAGTCGGCTACAAGGCAAAGCCAAGGAACTGCTCCTCAGCCTTGTTCAAACTATCCTTCGATGGCTTCCCGACAACAGACCATCAGCTCAAGACGTCTTCGAAAACGACATGGAGCTTCTAGTTCAGCACAGACTCACACTAGACCAGCGATATGAGGATCAATTGATGTCAGCATACGCCGCCAGCCAGACTTTAAATGCTTGAGCTTGGCTTAGTGTCAATTGTGGGGCCGACCACGTTAGTCATCTTCCACACCAGGTTTTGTGGCCGCTTGAACCAACCCAAAAAAACTCCCAAATTGTTCCCAGACTTGGTTCCAGACGGGACGGGGTAATAATCCCAACACGCTGACTGCTTTGACTCGGGCAACTGCGACTGTAAGAGGTCTTCAGTATGCTCGATGATCAAGCAAGCACCAACTCGGTGATGGACAAGCAAAGCAGGTACAGCGAGCCGCCAATCCGTCCCCCAAAAATGGAACGACGCCAATCATGAGCTCCCGTAAGAATGATGCTAAAGATGATGACTGATTTGCTGTCCATAGACCTGATGAGAATGACCAGAGTCTCGTTCAGGTGCCGATTCGACTGCCTGCGACATGCACAGCCCGCCAGATAGCATATGGCAAATTAAATCTTGACAAAAACGACGACACCCTGAAATTTGCCCAGCGCGGCTGCCATGATGCCGCCGCGGGCATAGAATTCGCCCATGACGCCATCACAATCAGCGTCGCTGAACTTGATCGCATTAGCATCCCTAATCGTACAGTTGGACGCATCTTTGTTGACCGCTCAAAATTTGCTCTCACCATGGCTTTGCATGAGCCCCCAAGGTTCTATTCTCGGCATGATGTCGTGTGCAATTGGTACCGGCGGGCTGTCATGCGGAATTCACCTTACTACAGGACTTACAGCATACGATTTGAGGCAGACATGTTCGATCGAGCTGTCAACGCCCTTGAACCAAGGCGGAGCTTTCGCATGTTGCACCGACTACTACCTGTACAACACGAGCATTCCGGCAGCAATGATGCCTCCAGTTTAGTAGAGGATCTCGAATTACGTTTGCACAACCTTCACTGCCAGGAGAGTATGATACCATTCACTTTGCTATTCCAGGCTGTTGCGCTGGCACGAAGCGGTCATTTGGATCCGGCGACTGGCTGTGATATAATCCACGAAGCACGACATCTTCTGCACCATGCGGAACCCAATGTCCCGGCAGTCACTCAACTCTTTCGGAGGCGGTTATTTCAAGCTGCATCGGAATCAGCTCTAGACGCCAGCCATCGTGGACACAATGTCTCAAGGCGTCCCGAAAACTCGGCAAGTTCACGCGTAACCGAAAGACACTTGCTCGAGCAACAAGCGCATGACAGTAGGAGTCCTGCTAGCGGGCGGGCTCTGGTGCTCAAGGCCTTGGTCACTCCCACTCGGATCGTACTGCGAGGCCCAGACCTGGAAACCAAAAACAGAGTTCTACGCATGTTTCCTGGGAAATCAGACCACTTCCTACGCGTGACATTTGGTGATGAGGACGGCGAGGACCTGTCATATGGTGATAGAACTTGCAACGACGATATTTTCGAGCACTACCGCCGTATTCTTCTGCGAGGCCTGACGGTGGCTGGACGGAGATTCGAATTTCTAGCCTTTTCGCACTCATCTTTACGATCCCACTCCGCTTGGTTTTGCTCCCCTTTCGTCGGCCAGTCTCTAACCGTGCAGGACTGTCGATCCATTGTCAAATCGCTCGGCGTGTTCCAAAACATTCGCATACCGGCAAAATGCGCGGCGAGGATCGGACAAGCATTCTCCGAAACACCGATTGCTCTATCGCTGCCCCAAAGAGGTATTCGGCTGCAATATATCGACGATGTCAAAAATTCGGCGGGGACTCGCGTCTTCAGTGACGGCGTAGGTACCATTTCTATGAATGCCCTACAGGAGGTATGGGGTTGTCTTCCCGAACGGTTAGGACGGCCAACTTGTATCCAGATCCGGATTGCTGGCGTGAAGGGCATGCTGTCCCTGGATTCTAAGCTGCGCGGCAAATATATATGTATTCGGAGCGAATCCATGATGAAGTTCAAGAGCCAAGACCTTGACGTCCTTGGCATCTGCGATGTTGGATCCAGGCCACTGAGATTCACACTCAACCGGCAGATCGTTAAGATTCTCGAAGATATGGGTATCCACCACAACTGGTTTCTGGCATGGCAAGACAAAGCAATCAGGAACTTTCTGAGAGTGGCCTCCAGTATTCGCCACACCAGGGCCTTCCTCAGGCAGTATGAGGTCGGGGCAAGTCTGCGACTGCCCGAGTTGCTTGAGAAATTGGAAGAAAATGGCATCGACTATCGAGAAGACGACTTCCTGAGATCAGTGGTTGGTCAAGCGATTCTTGGTGAGCTGAGATTCCTGAAGTACAAAGCCCGCATCCCCGTCAGCAAAGCCGTCACCTTGTTTGGAGTCATGGATGAGACAGGCTTCTTGCAGGAAGGCCAAATATATGTAACCTATGATGTTGTGGGCCACCCGGGAGCCACCGGCATCGAAGCTGTTCCAGCAGAGGGTCGGGCTCTAGTGACCAGATCGCCAGCGCTTCATCCTGGGGATATTCAGTACGTGGAGATGGTCACACCTCCATTTGGGCATGCGCTCCTTGAATTGAGGAACTGCATCGTCTTTAGCAGCCAAGGATCGCGTGACCTCCCGAGCATGCTGAGCGGTGGTGACCTGGATGGAGACCTGTACAGCGTAATCTGGGATTCAGATGCTATTCCCACAAGGAACTTGAAGCCCGCAGAGTATCCTCGCATAAGCCCCAAACCCTACAAGCGTCAGGTTCGTCAGGAAGACATGGCCAACTTCTTCGTCGACTTTATGAAAAACGATGTCTTGGGAATCATAGCCACCAGACACCAAATGTATGCCGATCTAAAACCTGCGGGCACGCTAGATCCAGAATGCATCCGGCTGGCCGAGATGCATTCAGCGGCAGTCGATTACTCAAAATCAGGCGTACCGGTTGAGGCACATTTCATTCCAAAAGTGCCGCAAGCGCGAGCCGACTTGTAAGTAGCACCAAGATTAAGGAGGTTCCCATCCATCGAATGTACTACAGCTGATATAAGACTGGATAGCTTGGTTCCGGCCCCAACTCTATCTCTACATCTAGCCCATGATGCGAGTTACTTTGAACGACTGACAACTTGTATCTCCGAGTCTGAAACAAGTCCAGCACAGCCAGGCTTTGCAACTTATCAATCAAACAAGATACTCGGAAGATTATTCCGTGAAATCGACGAACATAGGATATGGAAGGAAAGTACGCAAGCAGAAGTAACTGCTCGTACTTCTGGTGGCATATGGGATGGGTTGCTCAAACACGTCGAGTCAGATTTATCTGCTGTCAACATTATCCTGGATTGGGAGACGAAATTGGCAACGGCAAAAAACCTGCGCACCGAGTATGTGAGCCTTGGCCCCTCCATATGGCCGTTTGCTGATGTCATGTTCTAGGTACGACACGGCTCTGGCTGAAACTTTGCGCCAGTTTTCAGTCAACCCAAAAGGGCAAGTGTCTGAAGTTGAAGCCTTCTCCGGCCGCAGCTTGAACTCGGCTGGGAGACAGTCGCGACGACACCGCGTTTATTCTGCAAAACTCGCAGACAGGATGGAGGAGTTGACGGCATGGATGTCGGGGCGGATTCGTGAATGCAGTGCGCTAGAGCTCGCCGAGCCAAGCATTTTCGTGAACGAGCAGGGTGATGAGCCGAGACAACAACAGCAGCGTCTGGTCGAGCTATGCAGAGCGTGTGTCGCTGTTGGGGGTACAGGTAGCATGTATGGCCCAGCAGAGGATGTCGGGCAGCCTGTTGGGCTGGAAAGCTTTCGCGTCCTGGCAGCGGGCATTTTGCTCAGCGAAGTGCAGAAACTCTTGTGGTAGGCGAACCCACCATTTGCTCCAATGAGTGGATCAAGTAAAATTACATGTGCACCGTAAATGGGGCAATTGCACCGGACGTAGCACCAAACACTTTCGACGGAAACAAGCATCAACACTAACCTATTAATTAAGTTGACGAAAAAAAAAAAGAAAGGAACGGCGAGTTAATGAATAGTAGTATTGATGCTTGCTTCCAAGTTCTCCATTTACTAGCCTCATCATTGGTTGCAAGTATGCCTGCCTGATGCCCCGCCCCTAAGGGTCACACGTGCAGGGTCGAGGTGAAAAATGAAAATCAGGCAAGAAAAAGCAAACCAAACCAAAAGCATATTGCATCTGGTGGACAACTGACTTGTAGCCATCCACGATATCTGAAATAACTCCACTCAGGCTGTCCATTTTACTCTTTGACTTTCTACTAGCTTATTTCTGTGTTAAATCAGTCGCTGCGACACGTCGATGCGCATCTGCAGGCCAGTCTGGTGGGACAGTGTCTGCAGGCGCAGCCGTCACGTCTCTCTGCGCAAGTCGTAGGGGGATCAACCGCGAATCTTGTGAGCATGTCCATTCTTCCCACTGTGCAGGGCCTTCTGTCCGAAATTTCACCATCCAAGGTGACCTATGCACGAGCCCAGCGGATGCGCGATTCCAGATCGTACCTGGAGGATCAATTTTGGCTGCTTCATCAAGACTTGGCGCTGTGGACTTGTGATGAGATCAAAAGCTTCACAAACGACGACCCATCTGCCCGGCGCGGAACCTGCCTCGACAATCTGACCGTCGAGGGACCCCACAGCAGTGGCCGACATCCTTGGTCTATTCAGTTCCGGTGTCTCCAAGATTTTCCTGCGTTACAAGACAAAAATGAAGCCGAGAGGAGAAGCCTCCTGCAGGAACACAAAGCGTTCCTCCGAAATGAGAGCTCGATATGCCTCCTTGTCGATGGCACACCGAGGTGGTTTGGTTTCCTGACAGGAGAAGAGGACTACCTATGCCTCAGTCCTCCCGTCATAAATATCCGACTTTTGGAGACGGAACTAGACAAGGCCTCGTTGATCTTGACACGGGCAAAGCGAATTTCATGCCTGCTGCTGCACACACCACTGTTTGCCTATGAGCCAGTCCTGAACGGGCTGTCGAGAATGTCCAATATTCCGCTGGAAGAGAGCTTGCTGCATTGGACGCCGGGGAAACCCGCCCCTCGTATCGATTATACGCTGACGGCAGAAATGTCTGGTTTTCTGGCACGCCTGGAAGAGGATTCGTCACTAGACTTGAGGGAAACCCTGAGGCTCTCCTCGGAAGTCAGATTGGACCCTTCGCAGGCCGCATGCTTCAAGGCTGGCCTCAGTCAAAGTGTAGCCTTGATTCAAGGTCCACCAGGTAACGTCCACAGCCATCAATTGATACCTTTACAACTTGACTTGCTTACGGGGGCGTAGGGACCGGGAAATCATTCATCGGCTCGCTCATAGCCAAAGCAATCATTGAGCATTCCGCAGAAAGGATCCTGCTTGTGTGCCAGACGCATCATGCTCTGGATCAGTTACTGACAGATTGTCTGCGCTTGGGCCTGGCACCGTCCAAGATTGTTCGCATGGGCTCTACGAAGAAGGCAACCCAAACCACCCAGTCGTTATCCCTGCATCTGGCGCGAAGCAGGCAATGGTTCAGTCCATCCCAAAAAAAAGAAATAGCCAGACACAGGGATGCTATTGATTCGAGCACCAGCAAGTTGCGTGACGCGTTTAACAATATTACGGGCCAAAAATTCTCCAAGGTTGACATCATGAAGCACATCAAGACGTTGAAAGATGGTGAGCTGCCATTTTATGACGCACTCCATCCTCCACCACGAACGAGTAAGCCTGAGCACGAATTCTACTTGCTGGATCGATGGTTAGCAGGCAAAGACTGCGGAGTACTCAAAGCCCATGGATCCCGTTTCCCCTCGGTTTGGCGACTAAATGCGGCAGAGCGAAAAGAGGTCTTCTCGACATGGGAGCGCGAGATGATGACGAAACGCCTCGTGATGCTTCGAATGGCTGGCAACGAGCACGATGACCATGTTGAAAGGTTAAACGCAATACACAGAGACAGAGATATCAACATCATCCGGCGAAAACGAATCATTGCATGCACAACCACGGCTGCCGCCAAATACATGCTGACCATCCAGTCGGCGGCGCCGACGGTAGTTTTTGTCGAGGAAGCCGGGCAAATCTTGGAAAGCCACATCTTGACGGCGCTTGGCCCGAGGACGAAGCAGCTCGTCATGATTGGAGACCATAAACAACTTCGGCCAAGAGCCCATCATAATCTTTGTGTCGAGAAGGGCAACGGCTTTGACCTCAATCGATCACTTTTTGAGAGACTTATACTGGCCGGATACCCTCACCAGGTCCTGTCACAGCAACATCGCATGCGACCAGAAATTGCTGCGCTGGTTCGTGAACTATCACACCCGAGCCTGACAGACGCTCCTCGAACACTCGGCCGGGAGCACCTTCGGGGACTTCAGAATAATGTCATCTTTGTATCCCACTCAGAACAAGAGTTCGAGTTGGGCCATGTGCTTGAATGGCGGGACTTTGAGTCGACAAAGTCCAAGAGGAATCTGTTCGAGGCTCAAATGGTGGTCAAGTGCGTACAGCACCTCACCCAGCAGGGGTACTCAACAGAGAGAATCGCCGTGCTAACGCCGTACCTGGGCCAGCTGCGGCTCCTGATTCAAGAGATGCTGTTGCACAGCGATCCACAGCTGAGTGAACTGGATTCACAAGATTTAGTCAGAGCAGGGCTAACACCGCCGACCTTGGTGCCCACAGGGCGGCCACATATCCGAGTGTCTACTATAGGTGAACAACGCACAATGAATCCCATCGCTTGCCCAGTGTGCGCTGACTGCTGTCCTAGACAATTTCCAGGGGGACGAAAGTGACATAGTAATCTCTTCCCTGACGCGAAGCAACTCGCGACGAGATATTGGGTTCATGGCATCCAGAGAGCGGCTCAATGTTCTGCTCTCTCGGGCTCGAGATGGACTCATTCTGGTGGGTGATGCAGAAACGTTTAGGGAGTCCCCTGCAAAGGACTCTCCTTGGAACCAGTTTATCGATTCCTTGGTTGCCCGAGGACACATGTACGATGGTTTACCAACACGGTGCGAGCGACACAAGATCAACGGGGCTGTCCCTCGCAACCCGGAGGAATTTGAGAAGAAATGCCCTGGTGGAGGTTGCAGGAGACCCTGGTGAGAAACAACCACAAGCTCCTCCTGCCGATCTACCCAGGAACTAAAGTCTAGATGCGACTTTATTCTCTACCCCTCTATGTCATGTACTCTTATACTAACATGGATTTAGCCAAATTCTAGTCAGCTGCGGAATACACCTCTGCCGTCGCACTTGTCACGAGCCATGCGATCATACGAAAATCCCCTGTCACGTAAACATTGATTGGGTCTGTGAAGAGGGTCACAGTGAGACCCGAAAATGTCACAGTCGACGCCAGCCTTGCGTGAAGTGTCGTTCGAAGCCTTTTCGGCGCCAGGCTTTTGCAGAGAAAGTGGTTTCCTCATCCGATGTACACCTGAAAGGCGCTCTCAGTGAGTTTTCAGTCCTGTTCAACGAGAGGTACAGAGGTGGCGCAAGAATCGAGGGCGGAATGGATGGACTGCCTGCTCGAGTGTTTTGTCGGCGGTTAGCAAAGGCTTTCGCAGGGCTAGAGGGCGTGGAGATGCGCGTAACGTTGGAGAAAGCTTGGGAAGGAGTGATCAGGAGGAAGAAGGCCCGTTCGTCACTCGGTACTAACACGACCTCATCAACACAAGAAGAGTACTTTAGTACAGAAGACCTCCTGGGGCCAGAGCCGCGGGAATATTTGAAGACGAGTAGCGCGTGGAAAAGATTGCAGAACCTCATTGGCGTCCAAAGGATGAAAGATTCCATGGCGGAGTTGGTCGACGTCTTGCAACTCGGATACGAGCTCGAACTGAAGGAAGAGCCTCCTGTTCCCATCACCCTGAGTCGTCTCTTCCTAGGGCAGCATGGTACAGGCAAAACGACAGTGTGTTGGCTCTACGCGTCCATCCTCTCAGATCTCGGCGTTATTCAGAGCAGTGACGGTACGTGAAGGATCCCCACTGGAATCGGAAAATTGCCGTGCCGAGCAACTTTTGACTGCCGATGGCTAATACTGGTTGACAGTTGTATTCAAGCATCCGGACGATCTCATTGGGGACAGCGTCGAAGCATCGGAACTGCGCACGGAAGTGGTGCTGCAAGACGCCAGGGGGAAGGTGCTCGCCATTCGAGACGCCCCCGTGCTGAGAGACCATCGCGACGATGCAGAAAAGGCCTGCAGAATTGCTGTCATTCGAAAACTCCTGGCAGCTGCGGGAGATGAACAGGAGAACCCCCAGTGTCTGATCCTGATGTTCATCTCAGGCGATAGGGCGCTGAACACATTTAATGGGTTAGGGCGGACGGATATCGCCCGCTATTTCCCGATCGACGCGGCATTCTCCTTTGACCGCCCCGAAGACGAGGACTTGAGTTTGCTTTTGGATTTGACGCTCCGCAAACGGCGTTTGTCAGCAACAGTTGTTGCCAAGGAGGCTGCTCTGCACCGGCTCCAAGGAGCCAGAGGGCCCAGGTTTGGGAATGCGAGAGCTGTTGAGACTCTTGTTGATATGGCCAGCGATCGTGCCAGGCTCCGTCAATGGTCTGTCTCGCGAGGAGATGAACGGCTGGGGGACAATGTGATGCTAGAAGAAGAAGATTTCAGTGTCCATGAATTGAATTAAATAGGTGGCGGGCCTGATGGCCGCATTTCCTGCATCTCTCTGGCTTTTGGCGTACTATGTCGTCGTACCCTAGAGTGTCTGATGAAGACGTCACAGGTAGATAAGTAACCAGGGGTCGAGGGAACGTTGGGACCAATTTAAGCTCGACGTAGGTCCGGCGTTGATTGTGGTCAAAGGCTACTTGTACGCGGCCACCCGCTGTGTCACACGGTCAAGACCGGACAACGGCATCAGACAACAAAGGAGGGTATCACGAGAAGCCGGGATCGGACCTTGGCGAGGGCTGCCTCAGGCCTCTGAGGTTCCCCGACTTCTTGTATCCATAGACCAAAACGTTCGAAGTCCAATGTGACAAGGGCTTCGATTGGGGGCTTGTAAATAAATTCGAGTCAATCTCATCGTTGCTTCTTGGATCAAAACGTCCTTGGAGAATGTAATCTAGGGGCCCGACCTAAGACCCGTATATATACATGATAATCCAGCTGTGTGTAATCTGACCTACATATGTAGTAGCTGCCTTGGGCCTTTGTCCTTGACCCCTGACCTAGCTATGAGACCCCTTTGTGGGCGGCCACGATGCATCCTTTGTGCTGATGCAGCCGGTATGCTCCTTGGACCGAATTCGGGCTTTGTGTTGCCTGACACCCAGTATGCTGAGTACCTGCCCTTGTCGCCCACTCGGCACAATGTTTCGTGTCACTGCGACTCAAGAATAATCGCTGAGCGATTCGTTGTGTTGTCAATCTTCAAAGTTGAGCAGACCATGCACCCAGTACTTTGAATACCGATTGTATTGAAGAAGAGCGGCTTCGTCTCATCCGGTGGTGCTATTGCACATGCGATGTCTTGCCAAGAAGTCTGGTCGGAACCGTTCGCTGGGATGGGAACAACAACCCAGCGCAAAGTGTAATTTACGAGCCGTTTCATGTGATACTGTTCACCATCTGAAACTTGAAGAATGCTACACGAAAGTCACGTTGCCATGAAGGCACGGCCCGAGCCTTGAACACGACGATAGTTGCACAATATTGAAGGGCTTGAGACCTAGTTGAGGCCTTGGGTTTCTGGGTCCGCTTGCTCACCGGTATTTAAATTAGATTACATGCGACCTTTAAAACTATGCGCCAGAACGTCAAAGACGACGTATATAGACTTGGCCTCATTTACGCTTCTTTGTAGTATGTCGTCATGGTAGCTTCGGTGGGCAAACTAACCCTGCTCCGTGTGATACGCGTAAAACCGTGAACCGGCACACCAGACAATATGGGCTTCATATCAACATCTATTCAATCATTCTCTAGCGTGGTGTCATTTATTTAAGCGCTTGAAGACGAGTACTGCAACCAGACGCTGTGACATTACAGGACAGTGCCGGCCAGGCCGATGCTAGACTGTCTGGCCAGGTCAGGATGTCCATGTTGATGTCAATGCTTATCCCCTCGCCGGAAGGTACTTGCCGTTGACCTGTCAGCGTCGACCTACATCTGCCTGTCAGACAGGGACATGGACATCAATCCTTCTAGTGTATCGTATCTCACTCATGCTGCCAACATTATCGTCACCGCTGCTCTGCAGCCACTTCCTTGGTCTTACTGCGTCCATGTCGGACATGGCGTAGTGGTAAGTGCTTAGCCACTCCCACGACACTTTGGAGAATAAAATGCAATAACACCCATGCACACGTGTCTCAACGCCTTCGCTTTGGGACCTTGTGGAGTATTGCGTTTCTCTCTTTATTCCAGGGCCTCGACTTATACATCTAGCCTGCCGAGAAGTTACATTGGCACAATGTTCACCAGCGACTCTCAACAACCCGACTCGCCGGCTCTGGACGGGAGGTTGAAGAAGCTCCGTTCGGCGTGCGATGCGTGTCATGCCGCCAAGGTCCGCTGTTCCGGAGAAGCAACGTGCTCAAGGTGTCTCAGAGAGTAGGTTGCATTTTCCCGTCCTCTACTATTCTACGACGCGGCCTGCAGCTAACCAAGACACGTTGTAGCAACGTGCCGTGCCATTACAGCTACAGAGCCCACCAAGGCAAGCCCAAGGGAAGTCTGAATAAAAAGACAATTGAGCGGATCAAGGCAGCAAGGGCTGCCGCCGAGAGCGAAGCACAGCCGGGCCACATCACAAGCCAGGGAGGCTCTGCCTGTCCTCGGCCAGGAGACGACGTCCTCGACTTTATCGAGATGCCCCCTTCCACATGCCACAACTCTCCCGACCCAGTCACAGCTACGCCAAGCTCCCATTTCCCCCTGATGGGAGAGACGTTTCCTGCATTTGGAGCCGATGATCTTGATTCCTTCCTGGTGAGTGAGCCCCGTGTTAGAAACGGCGGCGATGCAGAAGGCTAACTTGGACAGAATGCGTATCAGACGCCTCCGCAAAGCCGTAGTTCAAAACCCGTTGGGGATATCCCTGTAGCGAGTGACATGGACCCGGGCTGCATCTTTGTTGGCACTCCATCCTCCTCCTCAAGGGAGTACACGGATGCGGCAGCAAGCTGTTGCTGCGTGAGGACCATGACGCGGCAAATCAACCATGTGCACGCCGCGGCCACGGACCGGTCTGCGGCAGCCCTGGACCATGTGCTCCACCACACCCGTGAGACAGCAACCTGTGTCTCGCGGTTTCTGCAGTGCCACACGTGTGGTGTCGAGGTCCAGGTCTATGTGCTCGCCGCCGTCGTGCTCTCTCTCCTCTTGGAAATCATGCACCCCCTTACCGACTCGTCGCTCGAGACGTGCCGGCCCCGGGCGCAGATCAGAGTGGGCAACTATGACATGTCGGGCCAGCTGGGCGATGTGCTGGAGAAGGTGATTGTGCGCTCCATGATCACAAAGCTCCGCCAGGTTGTGGACAAGTTTGAAATGAGGGTCGAGTTCCTGCGCAGTGAAACCGCCCAGGTGGACTTTCTCAAGTCGGAAGCAAGGCGGCTCAAGAGAGGGTTTGAGAGGATTGGGGAAGAAACGGCCACGGTGCTGTAGCAGGAAATTGCATCTCCATTGTGTGAAATGAATCGCGACGTAGAGGCAATTTATTCAGGGTCATCAACTGTGCCTCTGCCGGATGCAACATGCGTCGAAATGGCGCAATTGGCTCTTGGAATGGCGAGCCTGGCAGCAGCGTGTGTGTGCGTGACATCCAAGCACATGTTTGGCGTGGATAGCAACATGCAGACGAATTGGCCTGACTGGCCGCATGTTTCCGTGTGCCCGTGGCGAGGAGGCTGCCATTCCGCGCCAGTACACAAACGTGCCAGGCACGCATCTAATCCCTCCACTCTCGGCGTTTCATTGACCGGGCCGCAAACCTCCATCGGACGTGGGGAGCTTGCTAGAGCGTGTGCCGATGAGTGAGCAGCACGAGTATTTGAAGTAGATGGGCGTATACTGCAGTCAGAATGAGAGTGGACCAGTCTCATTAGTGAACCCGCTCTTTACATTTGCAGCATTGAAAGCAGCATTGATCAGGCGGCAGGAACCAAAAAAGTGCAACCCTAACCCTTTGTGTTTTGTACAACAGGCTCCATACAGGACGAGGTGGATTCTATCCCTGGGCCGTCATGGAATCCGTGGTAAGTGGACGCTCGCGACACCCAAGCGAGAACGAGCGCCTCAATGTGCAACACGCACTCGTCAAGTCCATCATGGGAGGCAAGCTCCTCGTGGCGCCGGCCAACCTGGACCTGCCCAACTTGCGAATTCTAGATTCAGGGACGGCGCAGGCAAACTGGCTGCTCGACCTGGCAGCCGTCGTGCCCGACACGGCGCGGCTGGTCGGGACAGACATTGCGACGGGACAATTCCCCCCGGAAGCACAGCGGCCGAGCAACATGACACTGCAGACGCAGTCCATTTTCGAGCCGTGGGACACGACCATGGTGGGCAGCTTCGACATTGTCCACCAGCGCTTTGTGCTCGCAGCCTGCCGCAGCGACGAGCAGGCACAGCGGGCCGTCGCCAGTCTCGTGACGCTCGCCAAGCCAGGCGGCTGGATCGAGCTGCACGAGGGAAACATGCTCAGCATCCAGGAGGGCGAGGCGCACAAGGCCATGATGCGCTTTCGGGACATCGCCGTGGCCGCGTGGGCCAGCATCGGCCAGCTGCCCGATCCCGGCGTCCGACTAGCCGGCTGGCTGCGGGGCGCGGGGGCCACGCAGGTGCACGCGCTAGTCCAGACGGTGTCCATCGGGGCGGCGGCCAGCAATGCGCTCGAGGCAGAGTGGTCCACCGAGCTGTGCCTCAACATGCTTCGCACCATGAAGCGCATGACGGCAGGTAAGCTGACCCTTTTTACAGGACGCCCGAGGCGCAATAGACTTTTGCGCCAGGGGGGCGTCTGGGCCGCGTCCACGCTTGCTGACCACCAGTCCGTCGCACAGGAAAAGCCGACTTTCCGGACGAGCGCGAGTTTGACAGGCTGGAGGAGGAGCTGCGTGATGAGCTGCAGCGGGTGGGGAACCAGTGGTGCTACTACTTGGCGTACGGGAGGAGGGCCGGAGCCGAGATGGGGGCGGGGGAGGAGGAAATTTAAAGTCGATTTTGCCACCTACTTAGACCGTTGATAGACCGTTGACGCTATAAAAAGTGGACATCGCGCCTAGTGGTGTCGACACTACATGCAAGGTGGAAGAGCTACACTTACACGAGTATGTACCCAGGACTTGGCTGTCAACGGGTAGTATGTCGACGGGTATTATCACGGGGAGAAGCATGTGGGGTAGTGTCTGTTACATGGTACATGTACTACTGTCTGGTCTCATATATACGGCTGCCCTTTAATGTCAAAACAACAGATTGGCTCGGAAATTAAACAAGCATTCTGAGTCGCCGAATGTACTACCCGTGCAGCAAAGCATGCCGATGGCCCACGCCCGCTGCCAAGCGCACTAAGTACATATGTAGTTAAAGGTCAACTCCAATGGTTTCTGCAAGTTGCAACCAAACTCGATAGCGTCCCTCGTGCCCAGCGTGCGCGTCGTCTGGGATAGACGAGATTAAATACTTGACCGTAAGCGGCAGCTTGAAACCGCCCGAGGCCCAGCGCCAAAGCCTCGTCATCATGGACAAGATGGGTTCGCCGGAGCATTCCAGTCTCGAGCAGGCTCTGGAGTTGATGTCCAGGGTACCTCTGATAGGTATCCACCCTTTGTTCTTGCCTGCCGATGTTCCGAAACGTCAACATTTTCCGTATTGCTGACCTCCCAGAAGACGGACACAATGACTGGATGCACATGATTCGAGCCTATTACGACTTCCACGTCGATGAGCGTTTCGAGCCCCAGCGGGACCTCGCAGGCCATGTCGACTTGAAAAGACTGGTCGAAGGCCGAGCCGGCGCTGTCTTCTGGAGCGTCTACGTTGAATGGTGCAGTTGTTGTTCTTTTCAAGCGTCTGACCCGGTAGAACGACCATGTTTCTGACAACGGCTTCAGCCCAAAGGAGGAAGATGACTTCTCGGATGCCCTTCACCTCTGCAGCCTGCGGGACACGGTGCAGCAGATTGACTTGTTGTACCGCATAGTCGACTTGTACCCTGACAAGCTCGAGATTGTCCAGAAATCACAAGACATTATGCGCATCTTCAAGAGCGGCAAATGTGCCAGTCTCATGGGCGCAGAGGGCTTGCACCAGATAGGGAATAGTAGCAGCGCCCTGCGCATCTTCCACAGACTTGGCGTCCGCTACGTCACTCTGGCGCATGGGAAGAATAATCTCTACGTGGACAGCGCCGTGAGTGGCCCCCTTTCTGGCGCTCAACGTCTGCAGAGTACTTACGCCAACAGACGTCCAAGGCTCCCGTTCACCATGGACTTTCTTCTCACGGGAGGGACATGGTGCGTGAGATGAACCGCATAGGAATGTAAGAAGCAAAATTCGCATGGCGTCCATTTTCGGACTAGGTTGACGTGCTATATCAGGATCGTGGATTTATCCCATGTCAGCGAAGCAGCCATGGTTGATGCGTTGAATGTGTCACAGGCACCAGTAATCTTTTCACACTCATCTGCGTGCGTACAGAAAGCCACAAGCACAATGACATGCCATTCTCGCTAACTCGAGTTTATTTTCCTACATCAAGCTATGCTCTAGTCCCTCATGCCCGAAATGTGCCGGACCATGTTCTGGATCTACTCAAAGAAAATGGGGGCATCATCATGATTAGCTTCATTCCATGGCTGACAAACAAAGAGCCCGAAAAGTCTACAGTCGACGACGTCGTGGACCACATTGTGTACGTCGGAGACAGGATAGGCTATCATCACTTGGGTTTGGGCTCGGATTTCGACGGCATGCCAACTCACGTTCAGGGTCTGGAAGACGTCTCCAAATACCCCAATGTCGTGGCGAGGATGCTAGAGAGGGGCATCTCTCCTCAAGATGTGGAAAGAGTCATTGGCCTCAACCTGATAAGGGTGTTGAGGGACGTGGAGGAATTTGCTGCCTCGCACTGTCGGTCGATTTCTGTTTTGGAGGATAAAGTGCCTCAGTTGTGGGATGATGGGATTCGGACCCATGTGAAAAGACTGTATCCTAATGCCGAGCATGACAAGCCACATGGGAACATAGGGTAGTATGCAGCAGGAACAATTTTCTTTTCTTTTTTTTTTTAAAAAAAAAAAAAAAAAAACCAAAAACCCTTCAACACCATTTGCTTGATTCCCATCTACCGCCCGTCCCCGCGGCCAAAAATTGGGCCATGAAAGTAATCATGCTGTGCCCACATGAGGCGCAGTAAGCAGTCGAAAATAAACAAAAACCATGCCGGGACGTGGCCATCAGAACCCTGGTACTTGTAGACCAATCTTTCCGTAATGACTCCCGCTCGCGTCCATGGCCACAGGAATAGCGTCACGCCCAGCTGGAACCACCAGCCACTCTTGGGCCGGTACGTCGGCTGGTTGGCCAGTTTCTGCTGGTACCATTGCGGCAAATTCTGCTCATGCGCGCCTCGGGTCAAAACGCCCTGTTGGAGAATCGAGAAACGAATCCCCGCTCCATTAGTCGGGCAAGTTCAAGCGATGTCCCGAAAGCACGGAGAGAGGATGGGGCAGGGAGAGTGCTTACAATGTACCGCGTCGACGGAAGTCGCTCGCTCTGAGCAGCGACATTATGTCTGCCCATCAGGGTATTCACCTGGATAGTCGACCCGTCCTGCAGTAGCTTCGCATTTAGCTGGACCACGTTGTATGCGATTCCTCCGCTGTGAGCCGCATCTGGTTAGCCAAGCTGATGCTGCTTCATTCTATGTACATGTAGTCGCATTGAACATTGAAGGGTCTGGTCCGAGGCGCAACCACCGGCACGGGCTTGGAACGCACCCTTCGCTCAATACCACTTTTTTGAGATCTTCCGGGGTAAGGAGGTAAGCAACTCCATGCACGCAAGCCGTTGGGTCGGTGGTTTCCGGACAGAGGGGCCGTATTCCGCCGTTGCCAGGGTCGACGTAAGGTATGCCGAGTACATTGAAGCACAGTGCGTGAGACGGGATGTAAGCCACTTCAGTGCGCAGCGGCCGGATTTTGCGCCTCTCGATGAAGACTGACGCAGCCATGTTGGCTCCGTACCCAAAGTACCATGCCGGCCCGTCGGGGCTTGTCGTCATGTCCATGGTCATCAATATGGTCCAGAAACGTCTGGTGACTGTGGTGTCGTGGGGGAAGCAGCGCGGGCGATAATCACCAAAGGCCAGGCTGTTTTCATTCCATGGCCCTTTGTCAGGCTCGAGTGGCATTTATGGTGGTCGTAGCTCCTTTATTCTATCCAACTCGGTGTGTCGGCAAAGATGCATGCCACCATCGCTGCATGGCAGAGCCTCGTGCTGTCTCGTCCGTGTCACTTAGTCTCCGACAAGTTTCCGACAAAGTTTCCGGGCACGCCTGAAAGAGCCTCCTGCTCGTCTCCTGTGCTTCGTTTTGTTGGTGTTTATTTATTTATTTATTTTTATTTTTTTGCATCCACCTTGGAGCTTGATTCTCGTCTTTGCATTTTCCCTTACAGTCTGCGCAAGTGTACAAGGTGATGCGCCTCGGATACCATGTCGGGCAGCGAAGCTGAGAAACACGGCCAGACGACGCCGGAAGCCAGCACGGCCGAGCGGGACATCAACGTCGATGGAGCGGAGCGGAGGAAGGAATATGCCTCTGGCTTCAAACTCGTCATCATTGTTGCGTCGCTCTGCTTGTCGCTATTTCTCTGTGGGCTGGTAAGCCGCTGCAGACGCCACTTGTTGCCCTGGACAGGATAACTGAGCCAGTTTGCAGGACCAAACCGTCATCACCACGGCAGTGCCCATCATCACAAATGAGTTCAAAGCCATCGAGGATGTGGGCTGGTACACCACAGCCTATCTCCTCACCACGTCTTCCTTCCAAATCGCCTATGGCAAGCTCTACACCACCCTGTCTGTCAAAATTGTCCTCTTGATCGCCCTCGCAATTTTCGAGCTGGGCTCTGTTATATGCGCTGCCGCCCCAAACTCGACGGCCCTCATCGTGGGCCGAGCCATCGCGGGCCTCGGTGCCGCAGGCATATTCCCAGGAAGCACACTTGTTCTGGTTCATGCGGCCCCCATGGAGCGGCGCCCGGCTCTGCTTGGTATAACCACAGGCATGTTTGGCATTGCCAGCTTGTGCGGTCCATTTATCGGTGGTGCATTTGCCGACGGCGCAACCTGGAGGTGGTGCTTCATCATCAACGTCCCTCTTGGTGTCATCACCGGCGTCATTCTCACATTCTTCGTTACCACCCCCATCGACGCCCAATACGCCAATTGGACCTTCAAGGAAAAACTTGCCTACGCCAGGATTCCCGAAATCCTCATCCTTGTTGTCGCACTTGTCTGTCTCGTGCTGGGCCTTCAATGGGGAGGCGCCGTCTACCCATGGAGCGATGGCCGTGTCGTTGCCATGCTCGTCGTTTTCGCCGTCTTGACGGCTATTTTCTTGACTATACAGATCTTCTTACCCAAGTCGCGCGCGATACCCACCACCATTATCCAGAACAGAAACATCTGGTTCGCCTCCATCTTCGCCCTCTGCAGCTCGGGAGCCATGTTCATCGCGGTTACCTACTTGCCCATCTACTTCCAGGCCATCAAAAACGCCTCGGCGCTTTCGTCGGGTGTCATGGTCATGCCGCTGATATTGGGATTCTTGGTCATGTCCATCATTTCTGGCATCATCACAAACATTACGGGCTATTACAATCCCTCCATGCTGCTCTGCACGCTGCTGGCCTCTGTCGGTGCTGGCCTCATCTCGACTTTCGACGTAGACACGCCTCAGCCGAAATGGATCGGATATCAGGCGCTGCTCGGTTTTGGCATAGGCTTCGGTCTCCAACAACCCATAGTATGCGCGCAGCATGTCCTTGCTGAAGGAGACGTGCCTTTCGGGGTCGCCTTCATCAACATGATGCAAATGTTGGGCGGAGCCATCTTTGTGGCTGTTTCACAGAATGTCTTTCTGAATAGGCTTGCCACGGGCGTCGCCAATGTTTTGCCAGGGTTCGATACCCGCAAAATCATCCAAGGCGGCTTGACTGATTTCAAGAACCTCTTTGATCCGGACCAACTCCCGAAAGTCATACCCGTCTATGCTCATGTCATTGGCGTCGTTTTCCTCATCGTCACTGGCTTATGTGCGGCAACCTTGCTCGGTGCGGTTGGCATCCAGTGGCGATCTGTGAAGATGCCAAAAGCAAGTCAATCCCGAGAAGAGCAGGAGCCTTAGGTCTATATGTGTCGCAATGACATAATGAAGGATTTTCTACCCAGCTTAAGCTACTCCCACAGTCTGTTTTGGCAAGTATTTTTACATAGAGTTATTCATATCATAATACAGAGGAATTTCTATACCAAATCTCTAAAAACACCACTATATTCTCCTGCTGCATGACGATACTAGTTTCGCAGCGCTTCATCTTTTCCTTGGTCATCTGTCAAAGTTTCACTGCGCCAGTATACACACCGCTTCCCTGCGCCATAGTATGTTCTATACGTGAATATCCGAACCGCTGTAAACGCACTTATTTAAATCACCGGGTCGGCCTCCGACCGGTGCTTATTTCTCGGCACCTGGCTCGGAGTACTAAGCTGTGTATGCGATTACACCAAAGCTCATTTTCCGAAACCACCGCGCCGTGTCGCGCCGTAAAGCGTCAAATCCCTTTGTGGCCGATGTGTCTGTGCTCGAATACGGTCGCACATTAGCTACTCGAAACCTTGCCGGGGCACTGAACAAGTCTTTGACAATCATCGTCTTCTAGGTTATAGAATCGCAACAATCATCTCCACGACACCTTGCCACAGTGAACAATTACATCATTCACGGTTTCATCCCGCAAGATATCAACATGGGCTCGCAGAAAGACAATTCCAGACATCCCGATGTCCCTCAGGACAAATTAGTTCTTTACGTGCGGAAGGGTATGACAATCGAGCTCCCAGCCCCTGGCCCAAGACGTGTCCTGTGCTAATCCTGAATCAGCTATTCCGGCCCCAACCGCCAACAGTCTCAAGCCTCTCATGATTCTTGAAGCTCTTAAAATCCCTTACTCAATTCACCTGATTAAATCTCTGCCAGACGAGCTTTGGTATCATGAAATCAATCCCTACAAGCAGCTTCCCGCCATGGAGGATGTTGATGTCTTTGAAGCCGGGAATGGGGAGAAGCGGCGATTGAACGTTTTCGACAGCACTTCGATGCTGATATACCTCTGTGAAAAATACGACAAAGACGGCCTCTACATTGGCAAGACGGCAATCGAGCGCGCCCAGGTCATGAACTGGCTCATTGCGTACGCTGCAGGCTTGGGGGCCACGGGCGAGTGGTGGCTCAAGTTGCGCAACGATCCCCAACTTGCCCCCGCACTTCAAGTCATCGAAGCTGCCATCAAACGAGAATATGACATCTTGGAAAAGAGGCTGAGCGAGCCTGGCCAGAAATGGGTGGCCTTGGCCGATCGCCCGACCCTTGCCGATTTTGCTATTCAACCCCTAGCCAACCCTAGGGTTGCGAAAAATGCCAAGATTGATTTTGATAACTGGCCAAAGACAAAGGCGTGGAGTGAAGCTGTTGATAAGCTGCCTTACATCGAGAAGGCTATGTTTGAGAACAATAGGCTGGGAATGACTGAAGAGGAAATTCGAGTACACGGTCGATGACTTGTGTAATCTTTGGTAGTGAAGGGATATCCTCGCTCTAACCGTGGCATTTAAATTTTGCATTTATATATTGGTTCTTGAAACAGATTATGTGCAATATTGTGAAACTTCCGTCGTCTCAAAATAGTACTTGGACAGTAAGTGATATCAAGAGGTCAAGAATGCCCAATGTGCTTCTTTTTGAAGAACAATTTTACACCATAGTCAGATATGAAACAGCCGTAACACAGGCTTGATAGTTTATTTCTACCTTGAATGTGTCTTCCTCACCCCATTTGGCTTTGGAACAAACTGAATGGTCGTCTGCGCAGTATAATTTCCATATCTGGGATGGGTACCCAGGTATCCATAGACGTATCCTCCTTTCTCGCCTTCTTATCTACAGGGATGTCTAGGGAGTACAAATCGAGCAAATGAATGACAAAGTACTTCATCATCATCTCTGCAAAATGTGATCCCAAGCATTTCCTACTTCCCAGGCCGAAAGCGAACAAGTTGTATCGTAGCTGATATAATAGATGAGCACCCAGTCCGCCTCGAATAATTAATTTTGTATATAAAACTCACCTCAAGGTTTTTGATTGACCTGAACCGATTAGGGTCGAAGATCTCGTTTTTCTCACCCCAGAACTCGCGGTTGTAGTTGATGGCTAACGTGTTGACAACAACAGACGTCTGGAAGTGTTAGTTGGATGTGACCAGCGAATTCACGAAATAACGCCACTCACGTTTCGAGGTACTCTAAAATTTTGGAGCACCTTGTCTTTAGGAGAACTCTCGGGTATAGAAAATACTGCACCGTAAGGTCAGCTGTGCGCCTACTCCAATTCAGCTCGTGACTTTTCTTACCCGTAAAAGGACGAAGCCGAAGTGTTTCCAAGACGGAATACGCCAGTAACGTATCTTTTCGTGAGCAGTAGCTGTCCAAATCCTTCTCATTCTGCTTGAGCTCTTGCACAAGCTGGTTCTGTATGTCTTTGTACTTTGCCAAGTATATCACAAGCCATGACAGATTGCCCGTTGAAACATCCAAGTTGGCAAACAGGATCTCACTGAGGGTATGGACGACCTGTCTCGTGTCAAAACTGCAGATTTTATACTTGATCACGTGACTGCTTACCTCTTCTTCAGTCAAGGTGCCATCAAGGACTTTCTGCCAGATGGAAACGATGGGTGGTTGAAAGCCATTGTTGAGTCTTTTGTGGTAGATGCGTCGATTGAACTGTGTCCAATCGTGCGAAAAACTCTCGAGACGATGGGCGGCACTTCTATGGAAGTAACGGGCGATGGGGAACCTGAACAGTCCGCCTGACAGTATATGTCCCATCATTTGCAGATTGCGCTGGCCAAGTTCCCATAACTCGAGCTGCTCTTCACAACTGAGCTCCCCATACAGATGGCTAGCTGTGCAAAAGAATGGAAATCGCGACACCGTGCTTGCGGCATGCATTGTAAGTACAGGTGATGTGCCAAAGTTCCCAATAAAGCGCTTGGCATCTTTGCTTATGTCAAGAGCTTTCTGAACCACGGCAGAATGAATGAAGGCTGGTCCGAACTCAGAGCGGACCTTGTTCCATCGAGTTCCGTTGATGAGACCCATACATTCTCCCAACAGCTGGTGAAACAGCCATCCGGCATTGCTTGACTGGGCCTTGTTATGAAAACTGGAGTCGGTATGGAATGCCCTGACATCCTCGGGCTTTGTGATGACGCTGTCGCCAGTTCAGTCAGACAAGGAGGATAAAATTTCTTGCTGAGATGGCTGCAGCTTGGTGAAACGTACATTTCCGGATTGGAACAAGCCCAAATTCGGTAAATCTGGCCAAACTTCTGCCACTCTTGAGCCTTTCCTCTGCCATCTAGGAACTTGTCCAACGTCTGTCCATTCAGCCATTGCCAATTGGGCCCAGGAATTTGGTTTCCCTGGTCGTCTCGTACAGGATGGACAAACAATAGAAGTTTCTGCAGGCATCTTTAGTCAGTGAGCTTGAAGAAACGATATGCCAAGACTGGGTGTATTTACCGTTACAATGCTCTCGACTACCCACTGAGCTGTTCCTGGCTTACATAGACGTACCAAAACTAGTACAGCCAGTATTGGCAGTACGTTCTTAAGGAGAGTGGTAGTTAATATCGCTGTCATGGTTAGGTCTAGCGGTTACAGAGCTGCCAGTCAATCGGGCCATGAGAAACAAGTCTGATCACACAGAGTCAATTCGGTAACTGTGGTAACTCTTGCAGCGCAGTGATATAATGCCGCTTAGATGCTATTGACATAAGCTTGCCCTTGGTGAGGATGATGATGAGACCCGCCACCCTTTATCGGCGATTCCGGCACCGAGCCTGCCCATAATCACCGAGACCGACATTTCGGCAGCATTTCTCCGATTTGACTCCAGATCCTCCGATATCTTTATTGAGCAGTCATACATCTTTAGGGCGTCCATGTGGAAGTCGGCAGTTATTACGGTCTGCAGAAAGTGTTGCTAGGACGGAATACTTCTATTTTCTGTGTCCAATAACTACAGCAGGGTAATGAATAGGAATGCTATTGACACCAAATCACTGCACGCGCGACACTTTACAAGTCAAGTGTTATACCAGAGTGTTCAAAGCTTCAAGTGCTTCTATTAGCCGAAAGGGACAGCCATTTATGCAAGTGGTATATACCAAATTCTGCCACATTGTCCACAGCTCCGACTGAAACTTCGACCTCTCATCATATCAGATAGTTGGAATACCGACAGCACGACCATTGCCATTGTCAAGCCCATACCTTGTGTCAAATTGCACAGATACAAAATTCATCGTATTTCAAGCATTTCTAAAACATGAGACTACGCTACACATTGGCCTCCAATTACACAATTTCGCGACATGTCTCCGGGTTAAAGTATGCATTGACAGACACGGCGCCGTTTTTGACGGCACATGTAATATACGTCTGAAAACCCAAGCCATCTTTTAAACTCCTGTGCTTACTATCGATGCAAAGTTAGTAAATGTGATGCCCATACGCAAAATCTCTCGACTCACCATAGCTTGGCAACCCCGTCATAGTATGGTAATCTTCCATTCAGGCATTTCCCTCGCTTCAAGAGATAATCTGATAATCCTCGCGCAACTTGATCATCGGATTCAGCGTAGTGTCTGACTGGCAGGTAAACCTTTGAGGTTGGCATTTTTGCCCCCGGCTTCAACTCAAAGTAGTAAAGAAGACCTCCTGTACGGTGATTTTTGTTTTTCAGTGGCTGCGACATGGCCTCTTTTGTATTTTCTACAGAAAAACAGGCGCACCAAAGTTCTCTCAAAGATCCAACTGTCTCATCAGCAAACTTGGACGTGCGACCCCCGAGAGTCATGACGTCAAGCATGCCGTCGAAGGTTGTATTTCTTGACCGAACGTAGATTTTGAGACGGGATTCGGCTGGACTCACGCAATCGATTGCGAATATCTCAACATGCAGTTGATTGTCGGGAGTTTGGGAGCGTATATATGTGGTGATTGTGTCCAGGCAGGAGGTCACAGAGTTGTCGGCTTCGGGCATTTTCAAAATGCTTTCTTCAATCAGCTCGAAGTTTGTTTTGTGACAAACAGCCGACTTTAATGACGGAAGAAAATAGTATTTTACCGTCATGCTCTCTTTCTCCAGATCGAATGCGATAAAGGTCTGCGAGAGTGGCTCTGCCGCCAAAGGCCGCGCCGACGGCTCGTCCTTGGTGTCAGCGACAAGACTTCTCAAGAAGTGTTTGTACCATTTGAGATCTAAACTCGGAGCCCAGGGAAGAGTATCTCCGAGGCAGACAACAGTGGCTTTGCTGTTCAATGGATCTGACGCAGTGCCTGCAAGCCAACCTATGGGCTCGGCTGCGTATCGAACGACTGGTGTATCGCTATCGTCGGACCAGCTCCAACTCATTTCCAGTGGTGTATGGTCATCAGTCATGAAACTATGCCAGAACAATCTGTCCTTCATTTTTGTCGGATATGGTCCAAGCGACCGTGCCACGTGTTGATTGAAGAAAACTCGATGTATGGCTTGAGATTCTTCGGGATATCCAGCCAGCCTCATCATTGAGGTGAGCATGTTCCCGACATCGTCATCCCATAATCTCCTGTGGTAATCTTTGTCTATGGAATATTCGTCTTGAACTGCAATGGATGATTGGTATGCCTTGCTCCATTTTGCAACGAGACTCTACGTGAAGTTGTTAGAATCGATCACGCTAGCAGGAATTGGAGTACTTGCCTGAATAATCCACTTGACTTGAGAAACAACTGTTTCAAAGCTATTAAAGTCAACTGTTAGCGTGGGTCTCATAAACCACAATCAATAATATGTCAAGATGTAGGTACATACACTAGCGCCATGCTGAAGTAAACAAGGCCACCGACTATCTTGTCTAGCAGGAAGGAGTTGTAAGAACAGCGGATATAGATAACGAAGTTTGGTAAACATTTAAATATTTCTCCAGCATTTACGGATGAAATGTAATCGATGGCGCTCAGCATCGGAGCAAGACGCCTCACGAAACTACCACCACTTGAATATAGCCAATTTTTTCGGCCCGTCTATAACCACTGCCACGAAATCGGTTGAGCCAGCGTGAGATATCAGCTTACTATTGTCTATGGAGATCATCCAGCTGGCTTCTTATTGGATGACTGTGTGTACCACACTCCTCTATGCGAGGGACATGCTGTGTTGGACTGTGGGAGTTTCCGGATAGGACGCCGAGCCGGGACCAGCTCGGCGACTATATCCCTGAAGGCCACGCAGTCCTACATTGCCGCGTTTCCTTTCATGTAGATGGCTCTGTTCTCGCGTAGTGAGAAATCTTTGACTGACTCCTGACTGTCTACAACAGCCCGGCGCAATGCTTTCCAAAAGGTCTCTGAAGCGCAATCAGGTCCTGATTCCCAAGCTATTGGACAATCATGGCGCGCTCCTATCCGGAGATACCACTGTCATTGACCTCAGCACTGCTGAAAACCAGCTTTTGATGAAAGGATTACTTTCTGAATTCGACCATACGTTCAAGACATTTAATTGGTCAAATAATGTAAGTCGGTCTCAAGTCAAATCAATTTACAGCACTCAGTCCTTTCTTGTCGTATTTATATATTGTGCCAAACTCATGTGTTTGGCCAGGACTTGGCCTACAGCGAAGGTGTCGGAGGCTGCTCGCAGGTTAGAGGCCTGATAGCAGACCTAGCCAATGCCCATTTCAACCCACGACTCAAAGTCGACAAATCACACGTCGTCTTGGGCGCCGGTGGTTGTTTCGCGTTAAATGCCCTGGTTGGTGAAATATGCGATCCGGGTGATGGGATCCTAATCGCTGCACCGTACTGGCCAGGCCTGGACCTTTCCATTTCGGTCCATAATGACGCCGTGCCTGTCATAGTTCAGATACCATTTGACGAATTCTTCGGTATCCAGAGCATCAAGTACTACGAGGCAGCACTGGCGGCTTCCGCGATTCCGGTAAAAGGTGTAATAATTTGCAATCCGCATAACCCTCTTGGCCGAAACTATCCGCAAGAGACACTGCAAGCCACTTTGAACTTTTGTTCCAAAAATAACATTCACCTGATATCCGATGAGGTCTATGCCCTTTCTCAGCACACGCGGTTGACTCAGGATAATTTAACCACCGGGTTTGTCTCAGCGCTTTCACTGGATACAACTCATGCTAAAGGCCTGGTTCACGTTTTGTACAGTCTGAGTAAAGACTTTGGATGCAATGGCGTTCGTTTAGTAAGTTTTTCGGAGTCTTGTATGGGTCATATTCTAAAACTTGATTAGGGTGCCTTCATCTCCCAAGACAACCGTGATATCATCATGAGCGGCGCCTTGAGTACTCACTGTCAAACATCAACCATGGCAACAATTGTGGCACAGAAGGTTATTCTAAGCCCGAAAAACATAGAGTACGTAAATACTCATGGTAGAGAGCTTTTAGAGTCGGCGTATTCCCTGGTGGCCACGTTCATGCAAAAGCATGGCATAGAATTCATACCTGCCGAGAGTGGCATGTACATCTTCGCCAGGTTATGTCCTTCGCCGTCCATGGAGGCAGAAAAAGTCTTTAGATCAATCTTGAAGAAGAATGCGTTGGTCATCTCTGCAGGCACGGATTATCACCTTGAAACACCTGGCTGGTTCCGCATCTGTTATGCCTGTGAAAGGGAAAAGCTCGAGAACGGCCTCGATCGAATTGCCATTTGCGTCAATGAGTTTAGACAAACACATATTGAAGAAAGCACAACAGAATAATAGACTCAAGAGAAGAAGAAAGTTGTATTTGTTAATCAATGGCGGTGCAGAGATCTTGCAGAAACTGTGACAACGTTTTATCAGTAAAAATGTGCTCAAAGTACTCCAGCTCTACAACGACATCATCCTTTCTTTCGTTGAATTCCACCAACAGGGGAAATTTGGCTCCCTGCGCTCTCATAGACGCCACTTCGATTGAGACACCTGGGACTTCCATACTCCGGGTCACTCGGTCTTCGAATCGGTTATACACGATCATGATGTCGAACAGTACGTCTCTTCCGACTAGCTCCTTGATCTGAAATGAAGGAATTGCGTGAGAAATTACAGACTTCAAGGTACTTTTTATAGTATGCACCAGACTTTGCATGGGCACAGATTTGTCCATTTCAACACGCACAGGGAGCGCATCCAAGAAGACACCCAGCAATCGCTCAGACCCTGGCTCAAGCCGGTCCAGGAATGGTATGCCCATGCAAATCTCATTTATTCCGAGAGCGTTTTGCAGAGCCATGGCGGTTGCTGCTAAATAGACCTCGATTGAGCCGCCCGAGCTGTTGCGTTTGAGGCGCCTGGGAATCGAGTGAGCCATCCCTAAAGGACACTTGTGTGATTGGATCATGTTCGAGAATTCACTCCTGTGATCCCCAAATTGTGACTGCCAAAACGTACAATGGGCTCTTTCAGGCTGTTTTATAAGCTGCGCTTCTCTCCAAGATGCCCAGGTATCATACTGAATAAGACGCCCTTCGGAAACGCTTGAGTTTTCGACGTCTCCTTTGTTGACCAAGGCGCGATACACATCGCCTACCTGAGCCAAGAGGACTTGCGTAGAGACCTGGTCCGTAATGATGTGATGCTGGACGAGAATGATTTCTGTAGAGTTCGAAGTATTTGTAAGAGATGCCCGGATAAGACGGCCGCTTAGATCAAAAGGCTTGCTGATGTATTCATCTCTTGTTGCCTGCTCCGACACATGGAGATGGTCGAACGTAAACTCTTGCCTGTTGATCATCCGCTGTGATATGCCTCCGACTTCCCTGTAGGTTGCATTTAAAATGTCATGCTTCGCGACAACAATCTGGAAAGCGCGACTCAAGAGAACTAAATCAATGTTGCCGCAAAATGAAATCTTGTGAGCAACGTTAAAAGCAGACTTGCTCGCAGACTGCTTATGCATTCTGAGGAACTCTTTCTCTAGGTATGATAAGTTGGGGTTATATGAGCTCGATTGACTTGAAAACTCGGCGAAAGAGACAAAGCCAGGATCCGTTTGTTCGCTCTGAGCGGAATGCTCTCGAATCGCCGAGGCGAGGGAGCTTATGCGAGTATGCAGGATAAAAATTCTTAATGGTATTTTCAGTCTCATTCTTGAGCACACTTTTTGCGCTGCGGCAATCTGACGTAGTGAGTTTCCGCCGATGGTGAGGAAGTCATCATTGACCGATATGACAAAGCCTTGTTCAAGACCAAGAACTTCCCGCCATACTTCGGAGATGATTCGCTCTATTTCGTCATGTATTGTAACATCTGTGGAAACCGCGGATTCTATTGAGCGCATGAGCGCCTTGCGATCGAGTTTTTGATTCGGCGTGCTCGGAAACGACGGCAGTGCGGTTATGAGCTGCGGAACGGCGTAGCTTGGCAGTTCTCGACGTAAGAAATTATTGATCTCGGCCACGTTTTCGTTTTCCGGTGTTATGAAGGCATAGATGGTGTTTTCGGACACAATCGCCACTGACTGGGTCACTGTATCGCTCGATCGTCGCAGTGCGTTTTCGATCTCTTGCAACTCGACTCGATATCCTCGAACCTTGACCTGATGATCAACTCGGCCGATGAAGCATAACTCCATATTCTCGGTCCAATAACCTAGGTCCCCAGTTCTGTAAATGCGCTGGCCATGGTTGAACGGATCTTGAACAAAGGCTCTCTTGGTCATCTCTTCCGCATCTTTGCCGATATACCCCTCCATGACTTGCACTCCATAGAGGCAGATCTCTCCAATGACGCCGACGGGCACTTGGCGGGAAAGGCGATCAAGTACGTGAGCACCAACCCGGGGAATCGTTCTACCCAGTGTCACTGGCCCTCCGGGCTCGAGTCTGGCGTATGAAGCAGCGATTGTGCATTCACACGGCCCGTAAAAATTGTAGAGAGTCCTTCCGGTTGACCATTTGTCGGCGAGGCTCTGGGGAACAGCTTCTCCTATCAAGTATATTGTATCAAGGTTCGGGAGATCTTTTGAGGAGAGTACCGAGAGGAACGAGGGCGTAATCATCGTCGCATGGACCTGACTGAGGTGCGCGAATGGGTCAGCAGGGTCTTTTAGGACTAATGTCGCTCCATAGCACAGCGTGCCAAAGATTTCAGCAATATTGACATCGAATCCGGCAGAGAAAATCTGTGCATGCAGTCTTCCGGGACGGGCATGTAGACGTGCTGGTTCGAACGAGAGATGCGACATTGTCGCGTGGTGAGTTACCCTGATGCCTTTCGGTGTGCCCGTCGACCCAGACGTGAACATGATGTAAGCATAGTCGTCAGGCTGTGTAGAGATTCCCAATCTTTTTGTCAGACTACTGCCATCTTGTTTCGTCTTCAGACGTTCATGGAGCAGATATTTGGCCTTGGAAAGGCAGGAGAAGGTAGCAAGGCACTCTTGATTAGGATAGATGCACAACACTGCACCGGCTGTTTCCATCATAGCCTCCATCCGCTGTGGAGGTAGTTTGGTGTCGAGAGGCAAGTAGGTTCCGCCAGCTTTGATGATAGACAAGACTCCAAGAAGCCAGTTCTCGCTGCCATCACCCAAAAGAGCCACCACCTCTCGCGGGCGGACAATCTCTGCTATGGACCTTGCCAAGGAATTTGACGTAAGATCCAACTCTCTGTAGTTAATCTCGTGCAGCGGTGACTTGATCGCAACCGACTGTGGCCAAGTATCAACCCCAGCCTCGAATGCGGCCTTCAATGTTTGATGTCCAGCGTATGGTGTGAAAAATGAGGTTGAACTACGCGTCAAACACAAAGTCTCCTTCAGGCCGAGCATCCTGTCACTCACTTCCGCTAGTGTATTCGTAGTTGGGCTCAGCAAAGACAAGCAGAGATTATTGAAGTGTTCAACGAGTCTGGAAATAGTCTCCGATTTGTATCGAGATCTTTTAAACACTGCCCGAAGTTCCAAAGAGTCCCCAGCATCTTTCACCTGCATTGTAAGGCCGAATTCGGGCCAGTCAGCCCGATCATAAGTCCACGATGGCAGCTCTTGCTGGTCGGAGCTCTCGTGCATGGGCAAATCATACTCTAGAAACAATGCCGTGGAAAAAATACGCGCAAGGCTCCCCGAGGCAATCTCTTGCAGAATTTGAGAAGCAGACCATTGGTACTCGACGATCTGTAGTAGCAGTGATTGGATATTGCTGAGGAAGTCTGTCTTTTTGTCCGACGCCTGCATTCTGACCGGAAAAGGGCATGTATTGATCAAAGGGCCGACGATTTCCTCGACACCTGAGATGGGGAAGTTCCTTGCTGAAAAGACACCTCCGAAGACAACTGCTTCTTCACATGCGTATCGGCTCAACAGTAATGCCCAGGCTGCATGCAGAATAACTGCAGGGCTGAATCCAAGTGCCTTGGCCATTACCTCGATTTGAGCCAAAGAAATACCGAGGCTTAATCGACGATTCTCAAAATGTTCCTTGTCGCATTCGGTGCCTTCAGGCCGCGCAACTTTGAGCTCAGTCCCATCGAGGTGGCCCGCCATGGACTGCGTCCAGAAACACTTTGCGCTGTTATAAGACCGCTCCAAATACAAGGTTAAATCGGCAGAATAGTCGCAGAATTGCCGTGGCAGGTCTGAAACAGCATTGGTTCCAGCAAGGAGCCGTGATCGAATGTCCTTTAGAATATTTGCTGTTGACCATCCGTCAACAAGAGCGTGGTGTACCAGCCAAAGAAGAACAGAGTCTTCATGCTCTCCTAGTATGAGCTTGAAAGCGTTGGTGGGCGCGAACAATTCCTGTAATGTATCGCTGGCTTTTGTTCGCTCAAACAGCTGCCGAGTCTCCTCCGACAAGACGTCTTTCACCCTCAAAGAACCAACATTCTCGACGGCCCAGTCATGCTTATAATTTGCAGTTCTGATGATGGTGCCCATTGCCATGTCAAAAGAAGAAGCGAATATGTCGTGTCGCTGAAGTGCATGGTGCACCGCGTCGCTGAGGCATTGGGTCTGGATGTTACCAGCCGATTGGTGAAGAGAAATTGTGATGACCATATATCCCGCGGGCGGATCATTGAGCGTTGATCGTACCATCCCTTTTTGAACATCTGTCATGAAGGCATGGTTTTTTGAGAGAGTGCCCGCAAGTTCGTTTGTCCGTTCAGGTTGCCCAGTACCATTGAGTTCGGACTTGGGCATCTCGAGTTCAACGAGACTGCTCGAAACTTCCGATATGGTTGGCATCAAAAACAGAGATGGAATAGATAGGGACAGACCCTTTTGTCTGAGAATTGAAAGTAGCTTGATTGCTAGCAGGGAGTTACCACCCAAATCAGTAAACGAAAGGTCATTTCTGACTACGCGGGTCGGTATGCCGAGAGCGTCTGCAATGGCCAGCTTGAGCAAGTCGAAGTTTGTCTTGCAGGCCTGGTCTCCTGGTCCATCATTTCCGATGTCTCTCTGTACCAAATGATGATACAAAGCTTTATTATCGATCTTGCCGTTTATTGTCTGAGGGAGGCGTTCCCTACTGTGTATTTCGTCTGGGACAAGAAACTGGTCGATTTGCGAAGAAAGGTTGCGGCGCAGACTCTCCCCATCTACTCTGGCGGGTGTCACGAAAGCGATTAGTCTTTGGCGATACATCATTGCCGTTGCAGAATGGACATTTTCTTGCGACAAGAGCGCAGGCAGAACCTCCGCCTCCAGGTTGATGAGAAACCCGCGATTCTTGACCATTTGGTCCTTACGACCAAGAAAAATAAGACCATGTTGAGTCTGCTTTGCCATGTCTCCGGTGCGATAAAGCCGTCGATCGCTCCACGTGACGAATTTCTCGTTTGTCTGCTCCGGATTCTTATAATAGCCGAGGGCCAAAACACTCGAGCCCATGATGCACAATTCTCCTTCTATAGATTCTTCAAGATCAGAGTTGAGCAAAAGCAACTCGCTGTTACGAATTTGTTTCCCCAGAGTGATGGGCATGTCCGGGCGTAGTTCTGCCATTGTAATGGATATCGTCGCTTCTGTCGGGCCATAAGCATTCCACATGCTGCGGCATGGCGTCCACCACTTCTTGATCAATTCCAGCGTGGGAGCCTCCCCGCCGAGGAAGATGCCGCGAACCTTGCTATAAGGCGCTACATCTGCTAGAGTGCTGAGCAGTGTTGGTGTAGCTGGGAGAAGCGTGCAACTTTTCGCATCGTCCATGAAGGTGGCCGGTTCCGATAGCAAGACATGTCCCCCATTGCACAAGGTACTGAACAAGACTCCATAGAATGCTTTTCGGGAACTCTCAAGTCAGTTCAGGACTGATAAAAAGTAGTATTTCACGAGTGAGTAGGCAAAAGACTTACCATCAAAGGCTACCGAAAACAGCAGCAAACTGGTGTCTGATGGCTTTGCGCCTAGATTGAAAGGTGCATTGGCATGCGCCGGCCAAACATAGTTCAAAAGGCTCTCATGCGTGACCATGACACCTTTCGGTATACCGGTAGTGCCAGACGTAAAAATTATGTATGCTACATCTTTGCTTCTTACAGAGCTGCCATGAATCGCGGGCCCCTCTTTGTATCCGTTGCTTCCAGTGAGTGCTTGATCTATGTCGTGGATGTAGATGGCATTGGCTAGGTGCCGATCTGTTTCCGTCGTGACGAGCAGGGCTTTATATTCCAAACTTGACAATACTGCGTCGATCCTGTCGTTGCTCCAAGTACCATGTTCCATGGGTACTAATGTCGCTCCGATTCTGAGGATGGCGAGGCTGCAAGCGACCATCTCGAGGCAACGTGAGCTAAGCAAAGGAATGATATCGCCTTGGCCCAAGCCGCGGCTCGTCAATATCCTAGCAATACAGAGCGACGCATGCTCTAGCTCTGCATAAGTTAGCGATTGCTTATTTTTGGAAACTGCCAACAAATCAGGTTGATCTTGAGCATGACCGCGTATAAGGTCACAAACGGACGTCGGATTCGCGGCCATCTTTGTAAAACACACTTTAAGCGTGAGAGTAAGATGGAGGATATGGATGCTCTGCGTGTTGCAAAAAGGTTACCAGCGCTACTTATCGAGACGAAGACGAATTAAATCACCAGCGTCAATTGCGGCCCGCACACTCTCAGGGCTCGGTGCTTATTCGGACCCAGTTCGATCGATGGCTCCGGTCGACTGCCCCTTGTTATACATTGCGCGGCTGTGGTGGTGCCATCAAGACGGGATCAACTCCTGATTACGATTATATCTGGGTCATATTCTACGTCTACATGCAACATCTAGTTGCAAACGTTCAACTTATTCAAGAGGGCATTTTTTGCAACACTTGTTTTATTGACTAGCGACTACGCTTCGACCACGTGCGTGATTTACAGAGGGAAAAGCGACTTTTGGCCATTCAAATCGGCCAAAAGCTGCGTGGATGCCATTTGTCCCGCGACATGACCACTGAACACTGCATTTGGTACGTTCTTCAGCATGGCGCCGTTGTCTCCCGCGGCGAAAACTCCACGCAGACTGGCTTGCTGAAAGGGACTTGAGACCTTGACTTCCCCGTTGGGTGCTTTCTCGAGCCCAAGTTGATCAGCCAGATTACCTCTAGGCCTCGTAGGCGGCTGATGAGCGAGATAATCCTCCACTGCTTCCGATCCATCGTCGAACCGAATCACAATACCTTTACCACTAATGCCGGCGGCGAATTCCTTCACCTTTCGCGTATCCGTCTTCATGTTTGTTGCGGTCCCGAAACCCGCAACAATTTCGGCAGCTAGAGTCTCATTGCCGTTGCAATAGAGCGTGACCCGTTTGCTCAGAGCCGTCTCTTGACGGGCTATGTGAAGCGCAGTATTGACGTTTCCTAGCGGGCCGACGGCAAGAACACCAGCAGACGCGCCTCGCTGCTCATAGCCTTTGCAGTACAGACAATGAAAGCTGAGTCCGATGTCAGCATTCGTCGCACGACCGCAGATGCAGCGATGGCAGAACTTACATGGCTTTGCCCCAGAGCTCGGCATACCCAGGAATGTCCAGCATGACATCCTCGACGCCAGTGGCAAGAATCAGCTTCTTCCCACTCCATGTTCTTCCGGCTTCGTCTGAGAGCTGAAAGATTCCCTGCTCCGTCTTCTGGGCCGTGGCAACGTTGGTATCTTCCAGAATGCGAATGACGTCGTACGAGTCGGTCATCTGTGATCTAGCAGCGGCGCGGAAGTCACTGGGAGGTTTGTGGTCCCATCCCGGGATCAAATGCATGTAATCAGCGGCCGCATTGCGATATTGGCCGTTGTCGAAGACCACAGCAGTTTGGTTCTGGCGGGCAAAAGCCAGAGCAGCGCTCAAGCCAGCGGGACCTCCGCCCATGATCAGGGCGTCTACAATACTGCTGCTGGCGGACATGTTTGACGACATGGAGAGGCCAATGGCAGAGAGGGATGGGAGATGTGATGACAACGAGGGAAATTTCATCGGGAACAGCTTGCCCAAGGGCACCACAAGCCGGTGCTTGCAGTCCGATGGACAGAATTATAGTCCGGCTGACCCTGGTGCTTTCGGAGACTAACCGGCGACTTAATCGCACATGTTGGTGACATCCGGATACATTCTCTGAGATGCAAACCCCGCGTTAGCCCTGGAAGAACATGCAGTCATTGACTCCAGATGTCATCGGCCACGGCGCGAGGGCCTAGCCAAGGTCTGCACATGAGCCAGCGCCGGATGTAGTCATGTCTGGTTTGGTTACACTGTCTGGTGCGTGCGATTGTACATGCGTACGTACTTTGAAGGTGCCATTGACGTACCAGACACGTTGTGGCGTACCGTGTTGGCTTACAATAAATGTAATTGATCAATAGCCCGCCCAAGTATGCCGATAATCCTACGAGCACTTTTGAATCGTTGAGCACATAAATTACACAAGACTCTCTTTTACAAGACCAAAGTACACAATGGTGGATGTACTGATAGAGTTGTTCCTCGTTGCCGTGGGAATACTTGTGGTAAGCATGGCTGGCCGCGGGAGAATCGAGGCAAGACTGACAAAATCGGTATGGCAGAGCGTCTATGGCTTCCTAGTGGCCCAAAGATGGCTGAACAGTATCTTTCAGGGGACTTGGGAAGTTGTTTCTAGCCTGCGTTACCTCCTCAATGGGCTGGTGCTATTGAGAGCGATTACCGCAGATCCAGGGAGCAGCCGTTCACCATCAATACACCTGGTGGAAAGCAATACATGGTGTCGAGTAAGCCTTCATGGATAGGATCAACAAGGCCCCCCTGGATGTGCTGAGAAGCGCTGAGGAAGACATGGTGCTGGCCTCAGACAGAGCGTCGGCTTAAACGTGACGAAAACGAGCATGATGGATGGATCATGTGGCTGTGAGACAGTGCTAGTTATGCGTATGTAGGCGGGCATCCAAAGCAAAAAGAGATGGCGATGGCGCCCAACTCTAAGCATGACAGCCGTAAGCCTCGCGACCTCGTTATACCTTCTCCACGACCAGCTGACCAAGAGGTCACCTGGTAGAAAGAGACTCCATGTATGTACAGAGCGTAGGGAGCAAGGGGCGAAATTTATTACCGGCCGATAGAGCCAGACTCCTGTCCATGACCCATCTCGGCTTGTCAGATGGCTTTGAAAGCGGTTGCTGAATGGATGTCCAGTCGTTTTCCCACTCCGCATGTAACCCTACGCTGACGAGACTCCTACACGGCTTCCGTTGTGATTCCTGCGCCGGATCGAATCGCATGCCACCAACAAACGCTTTTCCTGTTGCGACTTCTATAATGCCTACTGTTAAACACGCTCTCTCTTGGCCTTGTTCACACGGTGCTCCCGTGTACAGTTTTGGCCACCACCTCGCGGCTACACCATGAGTCCTTGACCACCGTCCACCAATCCGCGACTGCGTGAGTATCCCCATGTCTCAGATCCTTCACTGGGTGACACTGCTGACGTTGGATTTCAGTGCTCTGTCCTCTTCCAGGTTCTTCCCAATCAACAAGTCGTCGCAAGACAGGAAACTGAATTGCGCCCGGCCTGCGTTGTGACTGCCTATGCCACCCGTGAAATGGCCAAAGCTGCATGTACCCGTTGGCAACTAAGTGGACTACGTATAGCCACTTCAGGAGCATAGTCAGCGTCGGAGCAGGCGCTAATATTAATCGTTGCTACGCACCACTGCTGTTTCTGCCATCATGATGAGGATAAGGACGATGCGTACGTCCAGACGGGAATCGACTACATTGTGCACGCCATCGGCATCGGGCGCGTGTGACTGGGGGCTTCGAATCGGTGCGCTTGATAGCTTGTGGCTGCTTTGCGTTGGCATGGCTGGCTGCTTTCACGGGTAAAGTGCCAGGCGCGGCGGGGCATGACGATGATTCAATGTTGGCCACATATATTGATGGAGACATTCGATGACGAAAACCAGCGGGCCGGGCCGATCTACCGAACAGACCCCACAATTGGGCGGTTCAATCGTCTTCGATAGGAACCATGGACGTTAGCTATAATCATTATTGAATGGCACCTGGGGCAACTAAACACAGCGCAGTCTGGTCCATGTCGGTCTTTGATCACACCGCAGGCCCAAGTCCTAGGCGGGTCAAGTACCTCCACATATAACTTCCACTATTAAAATACATCATTGATGTCAAATCACTATGAGGGAAATGGTAGGCAGGATCTCATTGTTAGTACGGGCGCGGTCTACTCAAGTGCTATCATTGGCACCATCTTAAGCTCCTATTCCAGTAAGTCCATGCTTTGAGCACCCGTAAGTCATGACCCAGCCACTATATAAACAACCAGACAGCATTGTGGGTAGATCAATGGACTTTGGCGAGTACAGAACAAACACACAGCTAGGGTCATACCTCGAGATCTATGTACTTCCTATTGGTGGCTCTTGCTCTAATACGACTTTCCCTTGATACTGGTAAGTTGAACCTAACGTAAAGGCGTGGTCTTATTTTTAGTATTGCACATAGTATCTGACCTTCTGAGTTCTAAGTTTCTTTATCATTTATATAGTCAGGCACACTGCGATCAAACTGTACAAGGATCTGCTGCACGCAGTTGTCAGGTATATATGGCAGTCACCCAGTCACACTCCCGTGTTATTTATCCGCTAATATTACTGCGAACAACTCGTAGTGCACTGTTTTACTTCTTCCTCGAGTCAGATCTTACACCCACAAAATGAGTACATGTTTCCAACTTCCTGCCTGAGAAGAATGCTTGGGCTCCGATTGACACAGTGCTGCTACAGATTCAGCTAATATATGAGTTTCATTGATACGACTTTACCGTCCTAACCTCTTCAATATACATCGAGTATGGACGCTTCCTTATTTCTAGCCCGCAGAGCAAGGATACTCACTAACAATGTGCTTGACTTCAGGCTTTGCTAGATGCCTGGTTCAGCTCGTTGTCTTGTATGCCTTGAGAAAACACATAGCAGCTGCAGTTCCAGTCCTTTGTAGAGTTCTGTTTGATGTTCAGCGGTATTACTTCCGAATATCCAGGCAGCTTCGAACGTTGGAAATCGAATCAAAACCCCTGATGCTCTCTTACTTCACAGACAACAATCAGCGGCATTGCAAGAATCCGGGGGTTCGGTTGGGACATGGCCTTCAACATCCGCCCGGTAGCCATCTTAAACTAACCACAACGGCCATCTGTATCCACGAATGTTTAACACTGGTAGTAGATCTCGTGGCAGGAGCTTTAGCAGTCACCCTTGTCGCGAATCGCCATGGCGTTGTCTCTGACCGATAACGGCCTCGGACCCGGAGCGCTGCGAGTCTCATTAGTCTCAAGACTTCAATTCAACGACATCTTAATTGAAACAATTCAGTCTTGGATGAAATTGGAGACTGTGGTCGGAGCGGTGGCAAGGGTACAGCAGTTTGTGAAGGAGGCTCCATCACACTTGGGTAAATCACCAGCGCCTTCAAATTCGTGGCTACAAAGCGGCAGGGTTCAAGTACAGCGCCTCACGGCGGCACACACTGACGTAAATTTCTCACAGGCTGGATTCTTCATCAAGTGTTTGCAGTGCAGGTAGGGGGAACATGGTCTGCTACAATACTTTTAGACCAAGATCCAAAGCCGTACTAAAAGATGTTGGTCGCGATGTTGCCGCTGACGAAAAATTAGCAGTTTTTGGATTATCTGGCAGCGGTAAAACGTGCTTTATGATGGCCATGATGCAGAGGATTGATATTCGGGGCGGACGAACCGTGATAAATGATACAGATGTAGCCACGTTGGACGGGGAGAGCATGCGTAGCCACCTTGACGTGGTGCCACAAGAACCGCTCTTTATGCGTAGCAGCCTCGGGTTCAACCTTGAACCAAGGAGTATAGCCTCCGACGCATCAATCGGGGCGATGCTGCGACGTGTAAGTGCTGGTCTTTGGGACAAGCTGGCCGCGAGCTCGACTGGAAGCCTTCATGAAAATTCAGGCCATCTCAGTGGTCTCGTTGATAGCAGAAGCTATTTTGCCTGACGAGGGCCTTGTTGATCACTAGCAAGGCCATCATCTTTGGTGAGGCAATGAGAAGATATGGTTGAATCAAGGCCCCGCTATCTCCGCATCTCGCAAATTGATTAACCGGTATGGAAAATCTAGAGTTGATGAGAGGAATGGTGGAATTCGACAGTGCACATGTACTACACAGCAGAACGGGCCGGCCTCAACAGCGTTCTACGTTGCCGGCGGCCGACGTTCTTGAATTCGGTGGATTCAAATTAATCACTGCCTATCCCCTGCATTCTTTGCCTGCCATTTTGCATAAAGGCAGTTTGACATATCAGTTTTGAATTGCTGTAGTCTGTAGGGTAGGTGATGTGTACATGTACCAGTAATATGTATAGTCTATTGAGCAAACCGCGATGTAGTTGACACGTCACAATCGTGTGGCTCGGCAGCAATGTAGAAAGGACAGCAATCCCAGCAGTGATAGCATCAGCGGCATTGGATAGTCGTCTGGTTGGAGTGCTGGTGTTACACCAACCAGCCAACCAACAGTTTCATGCATTCACACCGAAATGCAGTTCAGCAGGCCCGTTTTTGTTCCGTGACTGCCGTCTGGGAGGAGTACGTATCGTGTAACCTCTGCGTTGGGCTCTTCTTTCATCTTGTTCTTGCTGCCTAACGTCTTCCGCTTGCCTCTAACCCCAACTTCGTCGCCATCACAACCACGATTTTAGTCTCGTTGCTCATATGGACGACAAGAATCCTCAAAAACCCGCTAAAAGTACATCTTCGCCAAATGGATCAAACGGTGATGGCATCCAGGAGCTTTTTGCGTTCATGGGCAAGTATTCTTCGAGCGAAAAGTTCAAACAACTACAGAGACTCGACCAAGACAATGAGGAACTAAGACAAGAAGTCATCGATCTTCGCACCACGAATGACAAGAACTTGGACGATTTTATACGGCGACGGGATATATGGAAGACTGAGAGGGAGGGCCTGACGACACAGCTAAAGGAAAAAGAGGACCAACGAAATCAAGAGTTGCTAAGCAGAAAAGCAGCAGAAAAATCACTGGGCGCCGAGCGCACTGCTAAAAAGACATTGTGTGAGCAGATGAAAGAACAAGAGGCGACTATTCTACGACTAGTCGAAAAAACAAAGACAAATGAAACAGAAGTCACTCGACTCGGCACTATAAGTAAAGAGCAAAACGACGCCCTTGATCGCGCAGGAAAGGCCAAGATTAAGCTCCAAGGAGAAGTGCAGAAAATGCATAAGGAGTTATTGGCCAGGACCAAAGAGCTTTCTGACGCAAAGGAGTCTCTTACAATATTCCGAACCTTCCTGGTCCAGCTAAGCCCTCTGGGAGAGAAGAAAGCCCAAATGTTTGTATAATAATCATCACTTCTCTTTCCGGGTACTGGATCTAATAACATCCTGGAGTACTGACACGCTTCGCGTAGCCGCGAGGCCCTTGCAGACACGTTTAACGGCGCCTGGGACTTCTTCCAGAAGACATTGGGCCAAAATATCGAACCAAGTGTCCTTGTGCGGAGTAACTCGCAAGCGTTTGCTTTAAACCCCCCTAGCCTGCCACTCCCAGCATCCAATACAAATAACGCCAAGGGGATGAGAGTTGCAGCAGGCCTTATAGCATATGCCAAGGCACTCACTACCCACGTTTTCAGGCAGACGCACATCACTCAAAGCCGCGAGCTTGATGGGGTGCTACATCTTACTGCGGCGCAGAACCCAGAGCAAGCTGCTTGTATCCGTGCTGTTCTTCTCAAAGCGCTGCCAGAGAGACAAAAACAAAATCAGGATGAAAGCATCAACAAAGCTGTTAAAGAGGTATCAGACGCAGTTTGCCACTGGCTTCAAAATAAACAGCCATTTGAATCAGGGCTTAAGCATATTTGTGAACGAGCCTCCGCTACCTGGGCACTGATGCAGCTTGTGGAGGAAAGAATCCAGCCAGACTTTCATTTTGAGGTGCCTGACGAATGGCAAGTCCTCCCTTTGCTGACTTCCAAGTCTACATCTACCTCCACTGCTAAGCCTGGCCCGGCTAAGCAAACGCCGCAGCACCAGAAAAACATGGAAAACCGTCAGGCAAACACGCTCAGAGATAGCCCCAAGCTAAGCGTACTAAGTAATAATGACGTGGCCAGAGTTGTATGGCCGACTTTTCTTGCTGCTTATCCTCAGGGACAAGACGAGACAGGCTCGGCACCGTTGGAGTTGGTTTATCACGGATATGTCTTAACCCAGGCGCAAATAAAAAGTGCGGAAGAGGAAAGTTCCGAGGCTTCGCAAAGGGCTCCGCCATCAACATCTGTGAGAAAGAGACGAAACTCAGCTGTTTACGTATCAAATGGGAGCATCAGCGGATCATTAACTGGAAAATAAGCATTCTGTTGTTGAAATTTACTGATAACTCGGCTAATGACGTCTGCGGTATGCCTACTAAAGACGTCCAGGTTCCATGTTTCTTATTATTTCCCCAAGGCGTGGCTTGGTAGCACAGTAAAGTTAAAGGAATGAGATGAGATTTGTCGTTATAGTATTTCTCGATATAACCACTTAGTACTAATCAATTAATATTAACGCCCCCGCAACCTGCGCTCTACAAGCCGATCTAAAACAATTTCACCCAGCCATTATCCCCCTACTTTTTTTGCACCAACCCGTGGAACCCATAAAACTTCAACATTCTAGAATTTGCGACATTTCTGGCAAATGTGCCAAGATGAATTACTTGCAATGAGGGGTAGACGATATGGCTTGAATTCTTTGGACCTTCGCGTATTCACGATCAAGCGTGGGGTGAGTTACATAGAAAGTTTCTTTTACGCCTGGGTCACCCCTAACAGAGCAAGTTGACAGGGGATAATATGGCAAAGTCACACGGTCTCACATCACCCTAGCATGTATTTGGTATAATCCTGTGTCCATTTTGTATATCTGCAGATCATCCATTTTGACTGGCTCTACAAGGCTTGTTTCTGCCCAACCTGATAAGCAGAATAGTTGCGAGACAGTAAATAATGTGTAAGCTTTCAGTCAGCACATCAACTATGTCTTCCGACCATTCTCCCGTCCATCACACATGTGTCGGACTGCTTCCGGACACCTATCTTTTCATCCCGCGTGGATTTATCGTCCCCGGAGCCATTCACGCATTCTCAATTCTTTGCTTTGTTATATATTCAGGAGGCTTCAGTACCAGAGCCAACATGGCACCTGTATAAGCTGTATATAAAGGGTATTCGGCTAAGGGGCGCTGTTGTTGGATCTTTCCCCCCCACGACTCAATGGTGCAACGCGATAGCCATCTTGGCACTAGCCTGATGTTATTAATACGGCAAGTACTTTACGCATCCAATCTCTTACGTGTTTATGATTCTACTCAGAAAGCTGGCGACAAAGGCGTTCGTGTTCCGATATGTTCGCAGCTAGGGGGCATTCATAGCTGCAAGCAGGACCATCGAGTCAGACAAAAACTATATGGCATCGTGCACCCACGGATTGGACTCGAATTTGATCGTCTGTATTGCAGTCCATCGTGAACAACCTGGGAGTTCAGATATATGACTCCGGAAGTGGGATTGATCTTTCTGGGCTTATAGCAGTTTTCGTAATGTCGTATACGAAGCTGGCTCCCGGCTGGAACTAGGTAAGGGGATTATTCTCGGCGGGGGATTTGCCGTTCTCCTCTCCTTCGAATCGGCACCAATGAATGTCATGAATGTCAATGCAAGGTATACTAGCATCCATGAGCGTCGAGTTTGCAGGCGGATCATCGTTGTCAACACCGTGGCGGCACTGATGTCCTGAAATAGCGACATAGAGACTTGTCATTTGGGTCCGGTGTCTGGTAGCCTAGCCATGCATGCAAATTAGCAACCGTCTAGTCGACGCAATTATGAAACGGCGCGGGAAAGGATCGATTTTATGAAGGGAGATATAGCCCGGTAAGATCTCATGCTATACCCAGGTTCGTCCTATGCACTTGGTATTCACTCTTATGCTCGGCGACCTCGAAACCAACCATGGGTGGACGTGGTGGCCTGTTGCTGGTGTGCAGACATGTGGCATTCAAGATATTTTCGGGCCCGGTAGTTATCCTGGACAATACATACCGAGGCACCCATGTATCTGAATGTAATCGCTACTTGAATTGCTCCGTAATTTATGTTTACAAACCTCCAAGGACGCATCGCGTCACTGGCAACAGGAAGTGCAGAACCCGTCAGTTGTGCAGCTCAAGCCGTCGGCAGCTGTAGTATCAATCCTTGCCGCCTTCGTTTTCCCCAGGTCCCGAGCAACAAGCCTAAGATACCACATCCAAAAATATATCCATTAGTATTGTATATAAAACTTGTCGGGCTTCGGCACGGTCGAGGAGGCACCCGAGCATTCTGGCCACCCGGCGCTGGTCACCTTGGTATTTCCAGCATTCAACATTAAAATACCCTAGTTCGCTTTATCGTTCTTCGACTATCTTCCCGTCCATCTGTCCGCGGTCCAGCGTTCATCAACACCGAGCTTACTAATGCCCATTTCACAAGACGGCACACTTACAGTCCAACCCTTGCATTATTCTATATGCGTGACCTGGCAGGGGGGGTTATATAGACCCTCTCTTATTTCCTAATTTCCTATAATATACAAGCCATAATTAGTGTATTACCCCCTGCTATGAGCTACCTTGTCAGGTCACGCATGATGAATAATTCAGGGGCTGGACTGTGTATCTACTCCGTGCTCTATTCTATACAGCGATATCTCGAACCAGTCGCTGGGATGCAGGTCATTCAAACCTACGTAGCGACCTGGGATCCCCCCAAGAGGATACCGGCGATAAGGAGAGCCATGGGTGGGTTTCAAAGGCTACTGGGGTTTCTTCATGCTGCTTGAGTCAGTAGAGTGAAGATGCCTGGACAGAGTTTTCTGACCATGTCAAGGGCGCACAATTGCTCGACACTCGTGTTATAGCACTGGTCTGCATATATGTGCATCTCAACTTTGTTTTCAATATTCTTGTGCATGAGAACGCTTGGATCCAGAACTTGCCTGGCTATAAGCGTCCTTTTCATCAACCTTTGCCCTTTTGGTAGTCATTAATGTAACTATAAAACTTGGGATTTCGATGAGCATGGGTGTGCTGTCTCAAGTTATTCTCCTCCTGGTCGAAATCGTTTGCTTTGAGAAGAGCCCCATCTTTACTAGAGCAGTTCCGCTCTATGCCGTGAAGAACCACTGGCCGCAGCTGACGCAGGCAAAATTGGGTCAATAGCACAGCAGTCCCCACTAATAGGACTTAGAGTACCGTGTGAAGAGTTATTCAGGACGAGGGTTATATTGTTATGTGCCCATATGCAGTTGAGTCTGGTTTGTTCTCCTCGTCATACGCGCAGCCTCTGGTGCACAAAGTTTGGCTGAGACACCTCGGTTTCCTCGTCGCAGCTGTTCGCTTGTTCGACTGCATCCTTCTATTAACATTCTATACCGCTATACTCTACATTAAAATTTGAGGTCAACCGCATTAAACATCATGTCCAGACGCGACACTTGTTAGTCGACGGGCGGCTCAGAGCATCGCCAAGCGCAGTAGTACTAAAGAGGATGCAAGTGCGAGCATGTTTAGATAAACAGAAGCCTTCCCAAGTTCAAGTTCTGCATACTTATAGACTCCCTGTTCATTGGCCTTAACAACGTTTGCTCAACATCATTCTAAGTCATCGATAGTGTTTCGGTATCGAGCATCTCGTCCAAGCTTGAAATCTCGGGCAGAGCAGTAATAGCCCATCCCTTTAAGCCTTTCAGTGTGGTTAGTAACGGACTATACACAAGTCTGGTGCTTCCATAGGCACAAGCGCAGCTACAGTTCACGTTTCTAGCCCCCATCGGGTATACGCGAGCTGTACCATCCTTCCGTAAACCTTGCCAGCCGCGACCTTGGAGTCACTAAGGCTGGTCAGTATTACTCGGCAGATAGACCCTCAGCGGCTATGCGTGTATAATATTGGTCGAAGAGTGCTGGGTAGCTTGTTGACTGGCCTTGAAGATCCTGCCCTCTCCAAATTAGCACCCGTAGGCTCATCGCACTCGTCTTAAATGTGAGTCTGAACAGCTCTCTGTTTAAGCTGCGAGGTTAGAAGTCACGGATCCTAATTTCCCTTATTGGCCACATATGCAGTCAATGCCAAGGAGCTCACCCTGGCCGAGAGATTTAATGCCGCGCGGACATGACCCCTTGACTTCAGCTGAGTCGCCGAGTTCCTCGGCCGACGCATCGAGCCACAATCAACTGCTCTCACAGAATTCGAGTTACACAATCTGTTTCCAGGAAAAGTCTATTAGAGAGTCGGGTGATGGTGAACTTTGCGGGGCAAATTCTCTGGTTCCGAGCTGGAAAAAGAAATACAAAACTGCACTCGAGCAGTGAAGGTTCGCCCTGCTATCACTTTAAGGCTCTAACTACCTCAGAACTTACGAGCATGCCAGAAGACTTAAAGTTACCCTATACGAAAACTAAGGTTAGGAAGGTGTTATCAGAGCTTGTTGGAAGAATATTATTAGGTATTCTGCGATGCCAATTGGCGTTTTGGATCTCTTGTTATCGATGGTAGGAGTGGTTTTATCTCAATGGCAATAACCGACGGCGTCATCGTTACTAGCGCCAGCTGTGGCAGCAAGGCAATTAGCCTGCGTGGTGTCGCCGTGATGATGTTAGCTCGTGACAGCATAACTGTCCGGTACTAGGGATCATATGTAGTAAATAGGTAAAAAGTACTATACAGATACTTCAAGGGTTATAGATTATATAATATCATGTGTATTAAAATAATTGAGTTTCTTCATTGTGTAAAACGAACGAGCAAAGCGGACTCGTGGCTATATAATTGTTACGAAGCAGCCAATATAAAATAAGTCCATCTTACATAACCTACAAAACTCACCTGCAGCCAGTGTCTATCTTGATTAAGATCAAAAAGGGCCTAGTCAATTATTTTCACGACTAGCAGCTTGATATCGCATTTAAGGTATACTTGGTAGTTTGATTCAATCTATCTAATAATGGATTTGAAGCCTTTTTAATAGCTAAATATGGGAAGTGTCATGTTTGAATTGAAGAGAAAGGTCATAACTAGTTGCTTTGCTAGCCTACTAGGACCAAACAATGTCGTCAACAGCTTTGGTAATATCCTGGAGGGGAAATTCGGATCGGTCCTTGGCGAGGGTGCCTGGGACTGTAGGTTTGCTGGCGTCCTGGGCATCCAAAAAGTACTCGTTGATGGAGTAGATAGGAGCATCATCGCCCTCGCCGATCTGGACAGTCGATACTGAGAATCCCCGGTTATTCTCTGGGTTGTCGAAGTAAGTGTTCTTAATAACTCCAGCTTTCTCGGCGGTTTTCCAATTGTCGTTGGATATGATGACATTAATTTCCTTAGACTCAGAAGTAACCAGGAGAACTTGACCATCATACTTGGGAGGCAGGTAGGCGCCGTCGAGTCCCAGACCCACATCCTCGTTGTTTTTCCCAATTGGAACTACAACAGGGTTACCCTTTTCCTCGCGCATATCGAAGCGCAGCAGCTTGTGTGACTCATCGTCAACTGCGAGCAGGAAATCGTCCTTGGATACACCGCCAGTAAGGCCTGGCCTTTGGGGCGTCTCACCAGGCTTCATATAATTGCTCTCGTACCAAGAGGTAGCTGTCTTTCCGTCGGCGCTAACTTTAATAATCGCACCTGGATAAGTGCAAAGAACAAAAGTGTTGTGGTGGCGGTCATGTATAGCTTCCTGGCAGCCGCCGTAGCGTCCCTCGGTCGGTTTGCTAACGTTTTTGCGCCACAGCCATTTCTTTGTTTTCATATCGATCTTGTAAAGGAAGCTATCCCCGGAAATATCCGCGCCCGACGTGTCAAACGCAGCACCAGGGTTGATAATAGCTGACAAGAGCCCGGTCTTGGCCTCGACTTCTATACCGCTTGCATGATATTCCGTTTTGTTTGTTTCTGGAAATTCAATAATGCTCTCAATAACATTGTTTGTTGGATCCCATACTGCCACTGAGGAGTTATATAACACACTGCATCAATTAGTTACACTATGCATAGCAAGCCGTCCAAGAGTCTTTATCCCATCATACCTGATGTAGACGCGATCAAGCTTGGCGTAGTAGTCAGCGTTTTCCGGATAGAGCTGGAAAGATTTAATCGTAACATCGCCGCCCGTAGTAGGCCAAGCGAAGGCACCAGCCCCCAGAACCGCCAGTGAAGGAAGGAGAGTATTGCTGCGCATCTTGAATAATTGGAATAGTAAGCAGAGCTGTTATGCTGAAACTGTTGATGATATTCTTCGTGCTTGGTGAAGAATTCGATTCCAAAGCGAGGAGCAGGCAGACTTGATCATATATAGGCGAAGCTGAATACTAGTATCGGCAGTTAGTATTTATGAGCCTCATTACCGGAATAGCCGTTAAAGCCGAGTGGGAGCCAAGAACCGGATCACCCCTAAACCATGCCGTTCATAGCTGCCGAGCAATAGTTTGAGTTCTAGAAGACCACGTGCATGGTGCAGTTTCAGATTGAGTGAACGGCTGTGGGGATTATGCCTACGGACTAAGACCGGGGGTCAACCCTGTGCCATGTAACCTCATTAGCAATGTAAACGCTTTTGCCAATCAGGCCGGGCGCTCCCTATATCCATAGCTCACGAATGCTCCATAGGCTGCGTAAGCTGTCGCTAGAATATGATACGTGTATTTCTTATCAACTTCCTCTTTTGAGGACAATCTTACGATTGCGCAACACGCATTAAATGCTAAGATTAAGTACAGCTACACTATGCTATAGCACTTTGCCAGCAAGACATGTTCTATGAAAGATATTGTTCAAGGTTAAAATATGTCTAGGGTTATTAATCCTAGTCGCCGTATTTCTATATGCCGTATGCACAACTCTCAAGCGAGCTGACGGCGTCGTATATCTTGTCGAATTTGGCAGGAACAGCCGCGCCAAGGTGGCAAAAGATGGGAATATTGCCGCCCAGGGCGAGGCCTTGCGCGCAAATGGGAAACTTTAGTCACATACATACACAAAATTGCTCGGCTCTTTAATAGAGAGGCTGTTGATTGCGATACTACATGCCGAACGCAAGGCCCAGCTCGCTAAGCTGTGACATTCTTGGTGATCTCAGCCACCAGGATCATGTACGCAGTCCGAATGTGGCCGAGCATCTTGACTACTCACAATAGGGAAAGAGTCGGGCTGGACACGCTGGTAATGTAGTTAATATCGTTTAAGCCAGGTCCATTAGCAACCGAAAACAATAGCCAGTTATATGCACCTTAGTTAAGTCGCGATAGCGTTGAATGTAGGCGACCAGTTGATCACGGCGTCGTTCCAGGCAAGGGAGGGATAGAGGTGGATCGGCAATATGATGCTAAGATTAAGTCACTTATTTATTCAAATATAGTGTTACTTATAGCACCTACCCAGATCCTTGACGTTAATGCAAACGTAGAACGAGGCTATACAGATAAAGTACACCGGAGCAGATTCGTATGGGCGCAATCCACGACGCAAGCGGAGGTCTGGTGACGTCTTCCACTCAAAAGGTTGCAACACTATCGCGAGGGTAAACATAGCAGTACCCGTCCTGTGGGCCGCGGACAAGCATGGACAAGACACTCAAAACGAGACTGAGAGGATTGGAGTACGCGGCGGCTTCCAGGAGGCAAGCTTTACTTGAACATGGAACCAGGGAGAGCCGTGGCATACATGTCAGAAAAGTACTGAAGTCCGACGCGGCGTCGGCAGGTACGTAGTAACCGTGGTACAAACCCGGCTCAGGACACCGTAGACTTTTAATATCCCATATTTGGGGCTGCGTAAAACGACATGATATACTACGGCCAGTTAATTAAACGAAAGGCAAATATCGCCTTGCAGAAAGCCAGCTGCTCCCTTGTTCGCCTTCCTTACGAGGAAATCATCCCCGGTAGCCTCGAGACCTCGACCTCGCTAGGGCTCCAGAGGAGCTCCCATTAGACATTTCCGTCCAACGGCCTAGGCGAGTTCTGTATAATATCTTTGCAAAGCACAAAATCGTGCATCTTCTTGACAAGGAGTTGGTAGAAAAGGCAGAAGTACTGGAGGTGCTTAAAGTGCGCCAACCTCATCCGAATAATTGTTGGATATCATGGCTGCCATGTGCGACGAGGATAAATTACTGGGATCGGGCTCGATCAATACCTCTGTGATTTGAGCGGCCACCTAAAGAACGGCTACGTCATCGAGGATAAAGAACACTTCATATAAGCATTGGAGGCTGCAATTCATCACCAATACTCGTTTTGTTGGGCCTATAACAACCTTGGCCCAATATACGTCCTTGTGACAGCCGATCAGGGCATACAGATTAATTTATATACTTTCGTCTTCCTTCCTCCTAACCGCTCTCATAAATGGGTCCGTCAACAGCACTGCCATCAAGCTCCGTTCATCGGGATTTGTTAAAATCATCTTCTTAATGAGGTTGAGGAAATCCGATCTTTCTTCATCATTGGGGCCCCTACGCGAGTTGCGAGTCGCCTCACGCGCCCCCCACACCTTAACTCGGTCGTAGATGAGCGGTGCTAAAATGTCAGTATCGCGGCTACCGATCAACCCAAATGAGAAATGGCAGAAAAACCAACAATTTTCATGTTTTCGATCCTGCTTGTTCCAAGGTTGAGGCCAAGTTTCTGGGGGAGGTCCACCAAATTGAATGGCACGGAAAAGATAGTCTTTCAGAGAACCCCACGTCGAAATAAGCTCGTGGCCCGATTTGACATGGTATAACTTTACATAAATATCAACCGTATGCCTTGAAAAGCTTAGCAAGCATGACCTACCGTGCATCCGACGGCCCAAATATCAGCCGCTTCGCTCCAAGTACAGCCGATTCGGCCATGGCTCAGTTCGTGAAGTACAACCTCTGGGGGCCGAATCGCCGTAGGAGCTGCACCTGGCAAGCTCGGGATAGTCTTGCTTAGCATGTAGGCTATGTAGATAAAGCCATAATACTATTAGCGTGGTATAGAAATATTCCCAATATCCACGTACCTCTTCCAAAGTCCAGAATCTTGATACTCATTGCCGAGCTAGCGGGAAATGCCTTCATGCCTTGTAAAAAGTCTGCGATTGATACAGATTGAACGATATATGGTGGTACTGAGTCCAATGGGAATGTTGGATCGCGTGGAACGACTGGAATAATTTCGGGGTTAGCAAAGTATTCGGTGATATCGTCTTCCTTGAATTGTTCTAGCTGCGGGAGAGCAATCCCAAAGTTGGCGATATGGGGATCTGTATACGTTAGCTGCTTAGCCATTTTTAGTGTACACTACCGACTTTACCTCCGTGTACTATGCCTTCCCCGTGTAGGAATGCAAACCCTTCTATAATTTGTCGAATGGCTGCAGATGAACATTGTTGCCTGGCATCTGGATCACTCAGTGGAGAGATCACCTCGGTCACCAAACACTCGTGGAACCCATTCGGTCCTTTCATAATAAATACGTCAAATAATTCAATCACTCTCTGATGCCCATGTTTTCCTGGCCCAGCTTTACAAAGCTGGGTCAGAATCTCGGTTTCTCTGTTCAAACGGGGTATATCTGACCCAAGTCCGACCTTGACAGCAACATAACGTCTACAGGGAGAAGTCAATTTCTCAAAATCACGCAGTTTCGGCGTCACACTTACTTCTCGACAAGGTCGCGAGCCAGCCAGACTGTAGCAAATGCGCCAAATCCGAGCTTCAGCATGATCCGATATCTGGGCGCCTTGTTCACGTCGCGAACACAAGTGGACGGCTTGGGAAGGACGTCGCCGAGAGTGATTGGATGCAGTCCATTTTGTTTATATTTTGTCAAATCTTCGAACTGCCCTTCAACGCCAGTGTAGAGGAAAATATCGAGCTGCCCTTGCAGCGATGTGGAAGTTTCCATATTGTTCTTCCGACAATGTAGGTGTGAGACAAAATAACGACAAAGGTTTGCTGGATCAATTGATATAAGTACAGTAAGAACTTGGTGACATTTACTGTGTGCCCGGAACGCTAAATACTCCGGAGTCCGGCCTGGCCACAATACTACATGTACAGTGTACATATGTAGCGCAGCCACGGGAAGAGGGGCGCTGCCCCGCACATGACATTGAACATTGAAGGGACATGAATCAATTGGCGGGAAGCGGCTCATGTGCTGGCGGGAACATCGAATAGCTCGGCGCTAAAAATGGTAAATTTAGATCATGATGAACCGGCCTCTAGTCTTGAAACAGGCAGTGCATCACCTATATGCGGCCAATAACGATTGATACGAAGGCCGGAATAAGGCTGGCGCTTACAATTCTCGTGGCGGCTATCGGAAGGCCGCCAACTTGCACTCTCCAGCTACTCATGGAAATTACCTGGAGTCACTTATCGATATCAACATTGCTGTTACAGCAGCAACTCGGCGGTAGAGGTCAAGCCTGCTGGCCAACACACTGTTTCACGCCCGTGTGAGAGGCCTAAACTGCGCTGGGAGCACGGCGTTCATACTATTAATAAAGATAGAAACATAATATAAAAATCACCAGCCATGCACATGTTACTGTATGCTACATCTATTATCATTTCCATTCAAACACAGAATTCCGAGGTTTCCCGAACTTATTTGCTAGAGATCTCCAGTCGTTACTCGACAAAGCATCCCCCCACTGGTGGCGCGGGTAACATTGACTTGGGCGCCTACCATGTCCATGTCTCGGGGATATATCTCCACTTTTGCCGCCGATGGTAGACCGCTTCTGATCTACTACATTCACGAGGCCCTGGATCAGGGAACCCTCAGCGCGGAGATTCGAGTTCTTGAAGAATTTGCAGCAGCTTGGACTAGGGGTGAGCTGGTGAGTCCGCCAAGATGACGGTGAAAGTGTCATTCGCAGAATATCCTCACTGACGATTGCCATAGGATGTAAACGGCAAAGCGCCTTTCGCAGATGCACAGCCCTGCGATATAATAGTTGTAGCGTAAAGCAGCCCTTTACAGTAGCAATTACATTCTCGGGTCCGCTAACGCTTTTCAGGGGGGGTCACCATGCTTCAACGAATACACCCACCGAAGCAAAGCACCTCACAGTTTCCCCAGCCAGAAAGCTCCTGGGCGACGGGTTACGCGAGGTCCGGCGTACACGTCTATTCTGTAAACGACGATGTGGCCATGGGCTACCGAGGATGGCGAAGGACGACGTCATCCAAGGATCGTTTTCAGGGAGCAACGGTCAAGAGGCACCTTAAGGAAGCGATGAGCAATAATCTTGCCAGTCAGGGACAGGCTGGAGAATCCAGCGAGACGCCTGCGGGGTATTACGATGATGGTACCCCGTACTTCTGGTCAGGAAGCTCTCAAACGTATTAGTACTGTGGGCAAGACGCCTCGAGACATCGTGTAGGCTAAGCGAGGCAGCGCAGGAACTTGAAGAAGCAGCTATGTCTTTACTTCCTTGAGCACCAAGTTATTTTGTGTTTTCAGTCCCACTCTTGACTTCAAGCCTAAGACTAGTATATGCTTTTTTATACTAGTGCCATGTAATTAAGTCACCTAAAATCATCAAGGCGATGGTGTCATGGACTCCGACTTTCTACCATACTATAACCCGGTGGTATCCGGGAGGCTTCGAAGACATCGCGTAAAGAAAACGTGAGGATACGGACAAAAACGGACTAGAGTTTTTTCTGCCAGGACTTCGGAGATTTTCGGTGGTGTCAAGTTTATGCAGGGAAATAAGAGATCAGCGTACCCCTCGTCGGGTAAAAGCACCAGGGGGCTATGGCAACGACACAGACAAGCAGCGGTAAAGTAAATTAATAAGAGAATCGCCCGCCTTACCCTGACCTTACCAGCCTCTCCGATCATACTCATAATAATTATTCAACATCCTATTAATAAGTATACTTATATTCTTAACGCTACTACACCTTGCGTCTGTAATTCAGGGTAGGCATCAAGCGTCTTGTGCTGCCTCCTCCCTCTTGTCCGGCTGCGAGCACAGGTGCTTTTTCAAAAAGTCCACCTGATATTGGCTGGTCCTTTCAAAACTGGAGCCAGAGTAGCAGTCAAAGTGGCCCCCTGGTATAATGTGTAGTTGTTTAGGTTCCAAAGCTCGCGAGTAGGCCTCCAACGCAAGGTCCGCGGGCGTCAGGACATCGTTTTGCGCCACCGTCATCAACAGAGGCGTGGGCGAGATGTGGTGGATATGGGTGGACGAGTTATACTCGCGGAACGCCTCGATGCTGTAATTGTTAGTGTAGCACTTTGAGATTTTGAGGTAGCGTATCCACGTACGACTTGATAGTCACCTCATTTTTCCAGCCGCACCTCTTCTCCCAGTCAGTAAAGTAGGCATAGCTGTCCGGAGTATGTAGGGCAGATGGCTTGTGCATAGCTTGTTCCACGACAGGCAGAACGCCCGCAGCCTTCCCTTGTGCCCTGCTGTGCCGGTCTGTATACATCAGTCAGCTTACAGCAGAAAAAAGGGGGCGGCGGCTGCTCGTCGCACCATCTTGGAACAATTGGTTCAATCCAGGAACAAGGTCTGGTCGAATCAGTCGGTGGAAACTATCCCAGCCGTTCACACATGGAACTTGACTCAGAACGACCTTGACCCGACGGTCGACGGCTGCCACCCAGAGAACGTGGCCGCCGCTGTACGAACTGCCCCATATGCCAATCTTGCCATTGTCCACGTCATGGTGCGATTGCGCGTAGGTTATAGCATCCGAGTAATCGCTGTGTTGTTGCAAAGGAATGATCTCCTGTCGGGGCTGGCTGGGCCCAGTATCGCTGTTGCCAAAGCCACGGTTGTCATATACGAGACAGCATATGGGCAAGGCGGATATGAAGTGCTCAGCAAACGTGTCGAGATTCATCTCTTTCAGGGCAGAGAAGCCGTGTGCCATGACTAGGCATGCCAATTGGCCGTCTGCATTGTCGGGCCTGTAAAACCATCCACGCAAAGTAACGTTGTCGCTCGTCTTAAAGCTTACGTCTTGGTGCATCTTGCTTGCTTTTTTATTTGAGGTGGGAAAACAGCGACTGTATGATGATGGACCTACGGTTAGTATGGTAATGCTGTTATATTCAGACAAATACATCTATGCACTTCTAATGGCCTCTAAAATAATGTGACGCTGCTTTATTGGCTGTGCTTCCGCTTCCGCTTCCGGCCACGACGGCTCGGCTTCTATACCCGCTTGCAGCTTTAACCCCGGAATCGGTCGCTATTGCTAAAATCCCGGAATGGACTGCCGCTCTGACTAATTAGAGCACTCCCTAATAGTAGTTTAAAATATATTTATAATAAAGGATATTTAAATACAAGGCCGTATTCTAAAAAAAAGCAACATTCTAATAATTGCTATACTAAGCCCTATTATAGCCTTACGTTCGCGGCTAAGCGACGAGAAATGCCTGACCGGCCTCTTCCTCTAAATACTGATACGTGTTAACGTGCGGGTGACAGGCTATATGCAGTGAGGGCAAGGTGTGACGCTACAGACAATATGTAGATTTCTCGGCTGTCTCTAGTCTACAGGCTGCACTGCCCTCTTGTACTGCATGTACGCCATATCATGACAATAATATCTCTCCATGTCAGAAACCGGTGCACTCTCATCCCAGACAGGTCTTAGCTGGCGGGTTGTATCTGTTGTCGGAGAGTCCGTCTATCAGGGGCTGTATGCACAAGCGCTAATTATGCTCCAGCATCTTGGCTAGATGGAAAGAAGTCATTGCAAACAAAAACAAAGACAATACTCCCCGCTACCGAGATCAGTCCAAACGAGTGTATTGATGGCCGACTAAGCAACGTAATACTAGTATGATCTAAAAGAGTGACAAGAAAGAAAAGATACAAGAGGCGACAAGCAGCTCCGCCATCTCAATACAACTTACCTCGGCTCAAGAGTCACGAGGTGCTGCGACATGTAAGTTGACGTGTCTGTAGGATCCCTCGAGGGCTTTAATAGGCCATTCTTGTGCCTTTTATCGCCTTGGGTCCGGGTCGACACTTTGAATGCATTCAGGGTACGGTTTGTCATGCAACTGCCACAGACCTTGATTTAATGTATTTGTAGTCTCGTCCCCCTGATCACTCTGGAGAACTTGTGCGCGTATTCTGCGGCCTCTTTTGCGGCCGCGTCTCGGCATTTCTCGTGAATATTATCCTTCACCCCAGATGGTCTCGAGGCATTTGCCATACAATCTCCTGTTTTAACCGAGCCATTCACCAGGATTGTGTCGCACAAAGGTTTGGCGGTAGAACCTCCTACACAATTCCGATGCTTCTCGTCGCTATCCTGGAAGATGCGCACGCATTTTTCATCTCCTCAGACGTATTCATCTTGCTGTCGGAGGGTGGTGCCCAGTTATTGCCGGCTACCTCCTTTTCGGCTGGGCAAGCAGACGCGCTCTCGGAGTCTCCAGAGCCTTGTCCGGCCATGGTTGTCTTGCCGTCGCGGGAGTTATTGCTTTGACAGAACTTCCAGCAGACGTTACAAGGATAAGGCGAATTAAAATCCGCAGAGCGCGTTCTCCTGCTGCGCTGTGCAGCTGCCTCCGGAGGCCTTTGAATAGCCGGATGTGCGTACTAGATGCTAATTTAGGGATAACATCACATTGGAGACTATTGATGTCATGATGAAGCGCCATGCCTGCACGCCCCACTTCAATAATCAAGAGAAAAAGCAAAAGTGCACAGGCGGTGAAAAGTAGCAAAAACCCGCCGTTTACTTGATACCAGACTGTTTTTCGCAACTTGTGCCATTTCGCTCTAAGCTGTGAAGTGCGCTAGAAGTTGCAAACGTTTCTACCCCGCAGCTTTAACATATAGAGCTTTTTCTCTCTCTTTCAGCTACCTGTATCTTCTCGGCAAAATGACTCACAGTGACGCATTAGACCAGTATAAGGCCGCGGAAGCGCTACTTAAATACGTCTATTCGGGCATACTTGGCCCTACTAAGGGAATGGCCGTGGATTACGCTGTGATGCAAACGACGGACAGCACATTTACCTTTTCGGTGACGCTCGAGCCTGTTCATAATCCGCCAAACTTTCTCGATAGGTATCAGATCGAGGTTGATAGACGAAGTGGGAAGCTATCTGCCCCAAAGAAGATCGAGATCACGGACGAGAACATGCAAAAAGCTGTTTTGGCTGCAACAGGTGAGACGGTTGCATCCTCTAATAGATTCACGGACGGGGGTTTCAGCATCTCATATAAAGTAACTCCGATGCACAAGCCCGGTACTGCCTTTGTTGTCCAGCTGCGCTTTCACGGCAATGTCGCATCCATGGACGCCTTCATGAAGTTCGTTCGCGTGAACAGTAGCCCAGGTATAATCCCAATGCCAGCTGTTTACTCTATACCGGGTGAGGCAGAACATCAACGGGCCACAGGATTCGGAAGGCAGATAACGGAGTTCGTACCTGGGATTATAGCAGAGCGAGTTTATCCCGACATGTCTCATGCGAACAAACTCGACCTCGTGCGCAACATGGCCCTGGCCTGGCAGGCCTGCTGGGACCTACCCCTTCCATCGCCTCGCCAGATAGGCGAACTAATCGCTCTAGACAATAACGGCAGCATCAGCCTTTCTGTTGGACCTGACCGGCACTTTAGTCTCGGGGGGCCCTTCACATCCGTGCGCGAATGGCTTAGAGCCCGGCTTCAACATGCCGTTACCAGCTTGGGGAGAGCAAATGGCATCGATGACTACAAGGAAAAGTACATGGCTTCTATCCAAGAATTCGTGGACAACATGCTGGACCAAATTCCTCAAACAGTAGAGGAATGTCCAATCGTTGCTCTGCACGTTGATATGGGTCTTCATAATGTGCTTTTATCAGCGGACGACCACAAGCAAATCAACGCCATAATTGATTGGGAACTCTGCGCTAGCGCTCCGTTTCTTGCGGCTCACACATGCCTTGAAATGCTCTTCCGAATGGGAGCTTCAAATGGCTTTGGAGCTGAGTATCCGCAAGCGGATCAGCTTCGCAGCGCTTTCTGGGATTCAATTCCTAAATGGAAGGCTTACTGGGAGAGTCAAGGGGCAAAGGACTTTATGGAATGGTTTCGATTTGCTCTTTTTATGCAACCCGAATACTGCTCTAGCAAGAAACCTAGAGCTGAAAAAATGGAGTTCTGGGCGGAGAATATTCGCGTTGTCGAGGGCATGTTGAAGAAGTATAGTGTAGGGAAGAACTGAACAAGCATATCGGATTGTAAATGGGCCAAGAATGGCAACATAGCTTGATGTTTAATTCCAGCGCTAACACCTGCTTCTGATGGGTTGCCGCTTGTGACAAGGGCTCGGCGGTTCATGATTGTTCGCATAACCAGATATGATGATGCCCGCATATGCAGCAATATCTGATCCCCACAGGCTATCAATAAATCGCCCGTTGGCATTTGCAGCTTCGTAGACAGTTTCCAGCGGCAGGCGGACCCAAGGGTCAAGTACCCTTGCTTCGGATGCTGGTGAGCAGGTAGTTCAAAAAACATTCTTGCATAAGCTGGAGAGCATATTAGTGTCGCCCAGTAAGCAGCACCAGCCGCTCCCAATGACTGCGATAGGGTTCGGAGATTCCACTATGCTCTCTCGATCGCCGACAGTGCTTTCGTAATTGGAACAACAGCCTCTTATCCTTGGACTTCATAAATCGTCAACATGTTGTCGTGAATTCAACCGGGGAGATGCCCCCCTTATTTAGTGTTGCAGCATAGTGTCTATAAATACAACCGATTAAATAGGAGATATGAGAATTTCTTCGCTACTATTTGTACGAAAGGGGCTTGGATGAAAGAGATGACGTGAGGTAAAGTAGTTATAAATGGGGCGGGGAGGACGGGGGCCGGCAGGGAGAAAGGCTTACCCCCTGCCTTTATTAATGTCAAGTCTGGTTTCTTGAACCTATATACCGAGTACCACATTGTACGAAGTACTCCATACTTTGACATTTCTCACCAGACCGGACCCTTCCCTTCCTGGCACTTTGCTTACGGAGCACCGACGCGTTCCTATTGGCCTGATGGGGGCCAAGAGATCGCCAGCCCCTTTTACTACTATTGGGTGAGGCGTAAATGGCCCTGTTGTACGGAGTAGTCTGGTGTCAATGTATCCACGCTGTTGTATTGACCCATTGCGCAGTGTCGTAAGCGGCATGGGTAGCATTGTGGTTCATCTCTGCATTCTGTGCCACATCCAACAGACGTCACTTTATGGCGGTGTGGTCCGTACACAGACGAGTAATACCGAGTACGGCACCAGTACTTCGGTTCCGGGTTGTGCGAGGTTGTGTGACAACTCAGCCCGTAGGTTTTCAAATACCTGGACACAGAAGCACTCCCCCCGTTCTTTCCAAAACATCCCATCTGATAGCAAGTCGCATGAAGCCCTCCACAATTCAGCAAGTTGGAGCCTCTTGTCGACTAGGAGATGGCTTGGGGCATCTTCAACGACCCTGTACAGAGTCTTGTATTTGCTGTTGGTCTTGTATTCACACCTATCTGCGTTATAGCAACCGCTCTTCGCTTTATTGCCTCTCGGGTATCGTTGGGTAAAATTGGCATTGAGGATTGGCTCGCCCTGGGAGCTCTGGTATTTTATATTACATGGACCGTAATTACAGGTATATGTATGTTGGTGTATGGCTGTCGTCGATAGATCCAAGACTAATTGAAACTAGCTGCAACTTACCTTGACGATATGGACTTCACGAAATCGAGTGCAACTTCGCGTCTTCTAGTATGTTTGTTGGTACCTTTGGCCGATTCTTATCAGCAAAACGCCTCTAATAACACAACTCAGCCTTTGGTTATTGCGACGCTCATGTTTGCCCCAAACCAACTATGTGCTAAACTTAGTATTCTATTCCTCTATCACCGTATTTTCGGCGTCAAGAAAGCTTACTCGCTCTGGATTAAAGCCCTTGGTATACTCCAAATTATCTATACTATTCCCACCATGGTGATTGAAGCGCTTGAATGCTGGCCGGTGCAAAAGTCCCGAGCCACCAATGAATCGTGTATTGTTATTTCGGCTGCATTTATGGCTCGTGCCGAGCCAGTCAACTCATTTGTCGACTTTGCCATGGCAACCCTTGCTATCTTTATGCTTCGCAGTCTACAAACCAGCCGAAAGACTAAATGGAAGCTTTCACTTCTTTTCATCTCTGGAGCACTGTGAGTATTCTGTTCCTAAAGTTCAAACAATTTAATTCCCTGAGTCAACTTGTCTAATATTTTAAAAGGGCTGGAATTATTGGCTTTATAAAGGCCGGTCTTGCGTTTCCAGCAGCTTATGGTAAGTTGCAATAGGAATGACCGAGGAGCAGCAGATTTGACTGAAGTTTTGGTAACTTAGGCAATCAAATCTTTATGGGCGTCGGGACGACGGTGCAGATGGCCCTTAGTATTATCTGCTGCTGCGCCATCACCTTTAGACCACTTCTCACGAAGACTCACCTTTTTAGCAGCCTGGCCGCTAAAATCTTGGCGTGCGGAAGCAGACTTCTTCTTGTGAGAAAGGCTTTCCCGCCGTCGTCGGACCGCACATCGGATCATGGGATCAATCTAGAGACCGCTAGCGGCACCAGGCATCCCGCTGTTTCCAATGATGTGTGATTGTTGGCGCCTCGTCGACAAGAAAGTCCACGGCTTACGGCAGGTCAGTGTCCTTATCTCAAGACAAGTTGATCGCAGAGCAGTGGAGTACGCGCGCCGTTACCCATTAACATAATAAAGTTAATTACATTCAAATAAATATACTTCGACCACTCTTGATCAGTAGCGTGCCTCGTGGCATAATGTCTATGTTGTCTTTTCTTTTCTAGAAAGTAGCTACATAGGGTCAGGGTTATCCAGGATTCTCGGATTAGACACTACCACCGATTACATGCATTCTGCATACCAGTGGCCCTACCGCTACAATATGGAGTAAGTTGGCTGTCTCAGATTACGTGAACGAGATAAGCAAATTCCAGCCATACCACTTCTCGTGTCGCGAGAGACGGACCGATTGGTTTCGACCTTTATGCACGCTGGTCATGCGCTGGTACTTGAACCAGGCTGGAACACACTGATATCTGACATTTCGGAGCATGTACTTCATACTAGAATGGATTCCAGTTTTTCTCGTCCCACAGTCAAGCTTCATGCAGCGGTACCATGTACAGAGTACGGAGGAGGCTGTCTTTTTTCGCTTTTTGCGTGATTGGTGACGCAGCAAGAGAAACTGTTGTAATACCCCATACAAGGCCCAACTGCTCCGCATCCTACGTGGCGTCAATATTTTGTGTGACAGAATCATGCCTCCGCAGCCTGTCTCTCGGTGTGCTAAAACAAAAGGCGCCACCGTAAAATTAAATAAGTGTGACACATCAACCTAGCGCATCTATTTTTGACTGGTTTAATGTGAGGTTGTTCCTCTCTCCTTTTCGGCCGCACTTGCGTGTCTTCTCAACACTACGACGACGGGCGGCTGTTGCAGCCAAACCCATGGATGCGGAAGGTGCCTGATCATAACAACAAAACGGATTATCAGAAAGTCGTTGTATGTGGCCCCGTCGAATCTGCTAGCCGTGGCGTTAGTCTTGCCAATTAGGGGTCTTAACGGTCCTGTACATAAGCGACTAATCCAGACCAGACAGCATCAAGCATATACCGAACATGATTAATTCAGACAACCACCAGGGCTAACCAGTTGCAACTGCAGCTGTCGGATCTCAGCCGCACCGCCATGAAGGGGAAGGGCTTGGCCCTATTTGCTCATTTGCTCAAACAAATGTCTAACTGACGGGCACATGATGCGGGGATATTAACCTCATTGGTGGGCAGAACTGTCACAAATTCACACAGGTTTCCCCAGAATGGCCGTATATGCATGCAGATATGTATATGGAGGCGTTCTGTTTGGGTTCAGGCAATGCAAGGCATCGGCACACCTGCGAAACAAGCCGCCAGGATACCAGCTGGACAACTACGACGGGCGTGTTGCGAAACTAGACTGCGTAATCTCGCAACTCAAGATGGAGATACAAGTCGTACGCTACAAAGGTTTACCAAAGATGAGGAAAGAAGTTGAGCTCCTGAGCTCGGCAGGTAATTATTCTCGCTTCCGAGGGTGTTACCCCAGGCACTCAGGCCAAGCCAGACCATATAACGCCTTTCCCGCTGCCGAACCATCATCTCATCTTGAGCGTGTCCGATCTTGCTCTACGATCCCAGTACCAAATAGTGTGAACAAAGAAGTCCTACTCAACATAGTGAACACCACCACGACTACCTCATCTGGTGATGCTGGGCAAGAGCCTGAACTGGCTTGTGAAGAATGCCGTCGTCGCAAGGCACGCTGTGACCGGGTAAGACCGCGGTGTGGGATATGCGCAGAGTCTGGAAGAACTTGTGTTGTTGTCGACAAGAGATCTCAGCGTGGCCCAAAGAAGGGCCAACTAAAAGATTTACGGTCAAGATTAAGTGAGTCAGGAGCAAATCACCCTAACTCGAATCTTGAACAATGAGACGGGTCGCTGACATCCATCTCAGTGTTGCTAGAGCAGCGGCTAGGTGGACAACCTGATTCTTCGAATCTACCAAAAGAGCGCGACAGTTCCCCCAAACCATCTAAAAAAGTAAGCCCTGAACGCGACCTTATTTCCTCGAGCGCGAGCACCGATATTGGGTTGGATATGGGTTCTGATCCAGGGGCGTTGGCGCTCTTTGAACCAGGTTCGGGCTTGAAACAGATGCCGACACTTACACCCGATCTTACGACGGCGTCAACAGCGACTTCCATGGCAGCTTGCATTTGCGAAGGCTGGCAGACCGAACCTGGCATATTTCAAAACTCCTATCCACAAATTCCTACTCCGCAATCGGCGACAGCCCCGGGACATATGCCGTCCTTGTCGGTTGATAGAACTGTACGTTGGCCGAAGCGCCCATCTAGTCCCCAATAATAGAATATGCTTAAATAAGACGATGGGACTGACATATCGGGACGCAAAGCGATTTACTTTACTTTGAGAGAGTACACCCCGTTGCCCCCATGATCCATAAGCGACGATACTTTGCTTGGGCAGGCGACGCAGACACCTCGCCGGCTCGCACCGCTCTGCGGTCTGCCATGAGAACCATTGCCTCCGCCATGTCACCTCAGTTCTGCGACATTGTGCAAATCATGTATGCTTTGACGCGGCGCATGCTCAAAACACAGGACGCATGCGGCGAGACTGGTCTGCCATGGATGGCAAGACCAAAGCCGCCGCAGGAGCAGCAGAAGATTGACCACGAGCGCATCCAAGCTTGGCTTTTGCTCGCCTACTATGATGTTTTACGAAATTATGGGATTCAGGCCTTGGTCACTGCCAGGCGAGCCTTCCGCCTTCTTCAGCTCTCTGGACTGTATAAGATGGACGCCCACAGGAGCCATATCAGTACTTCGCCTGCTGAGACGAGCTGGAATGCGCAACTGTGCCTGTCAAACAATGAAGCAGATGAGCCAATCTTGCAACAGACGTAGATTAGTGTGGAGGAAAAGGGGCGAACTGTTTTGAGTGCCTTTCTCCTTGATCGACTCTCTACGATGCTCAATGACCAACCGATGATGCTAATGGAAGAGATAGTAAGTTCCAGCAGCGAAGTGTGGGGGTCGAGTCAATCAATTTCTGTCCATCTGATGTGCCGCTGCTAACCCGCCCTTTCAATTCAATTAGATGTCAACTACACGCGACTTCCCATGGCGGAGGCTGAGTTCCAGAGTGGTAGCCAAGAGCCTGTCTCGCCAATGGGTTTCCTCGTCGGGGCGACAGACGAAAGCAAAGCCGGCAACGGCATCAATATGTTGCCTCCCTTTGCCCGCTGCGTCGTTGTGGCTAATTTATTCGCACGCTGCATGACACATGGCAAGCTAGGTATGCAATCTACGCCCATATCTGCACCAGATTCGCAACACTTTTGGCAGAGACACCCGTGGCTTGCATCAGCGGCCGCGAAGGCGTGCGAAACCGAGGTGTCACGATGTGACCCAATGCTGGTATTCACTCGCATCTTGGGTTACGGCGTGTGTCTGTCCCTGTGCAGCATAGCAAATGCCACTTGACATCTTGGCAGACGCTGGATCACCACTTGATGGCAATGGCGTGCAAACCGGCAGCGCACCAAGTCGCTTCCGAAGTAGTTGGCATCATTAAAACTGCTCCGCGTATTGCATTCTTCAAGGTATTTTGTGCCCGTGTATACCTGACACTCGCCACATGCAGGCTTGCTGTGGATGTTGGTACTGACGGGTAGCTATGATCTTTAGATGCACCCTTTCTTCCCAAACGCCATCGCCCTGGTGGAAAGGTTTCTCAATGCCGAAGTCCCTTATTCAACTTCAACTCGAAGTACAGTGGATGCAGTCCAGGGAAGACAAGATGCCGTCAATGACTGGCTCATCGCACTCCGACGCATAAGTCAAGTGAACAAGTTTGCTGCAGAACTATTGTACAAACTGGAATTGGACATGGGACAGGCAATGAATAATCACAATGCGAGTCAATTGGACCAGACAGATGATACATGGACGTGAAAAATCACGCACGGAGCACGAGCTTTACTTTAAGTATTATTCAAAAAGTCATCAAGATCAAAGTTTACATCCTGGAATATGTTATCTAGAAAAAGCCCAGAAGCCGCTTCATCTAGAGGCATTGCACCATGGTTAACTGAATTAGAGCATCGAGTGTTCAAGATTCTCGTTGACAGTGTTTTGAAGGTTTGAGCACACTCAGGGATGTATAAACTCAAGTGCTCGTGTGCCTTTAGTGTTGTTAGAACATGGTAGAAAGACTGTTCGATGGATGAGGTGAATAGGTTAGACGCAAACATCGCAGCTAGGAAGTGAGTGCCTGCGACATGTAAATAGCATACCCGATACCACCATGGTAGAATAATCATCGGCTCACTATGGTCATGTATCTCGGCAATGAGGGATGTGACCTTTTGTGTTGCCTCAAGGCATATCCTGGCACACTCTTAAAGAAGTCGGTCGCTTATTGTCGAAGAGTCGGAAGCTTATGCAATCGCAGTTGTCCGACTTTTCATCAAGTAAAGTCTTGCAAGCATGGGTCGGTATAAACGATTATTGGCTAGGGCGGAGTTCAGTTAAATAATGAGACTGGACGCTGATAAACTACGCAGGTCCGCCTAAATTAGCCTATATCCAATCATAACTGAATGCGATTTTTCTATGTCTTGGCCAAGCAGAGCCCATGAAATGCTGGCCCGATATTTGTGTGAGCGGCCTCTGCATGCAAGCCAACTTGTGGTATAAATGGGTGAAGAGTTAAATTTCGGAGATTTGTCCTGCCATGGCGGCAGTTGATTTCGATCCATTTCATCATACAGTGCCTTTCCATTGTCATTGTCATTGTCAGAATGTCTCAAGACTCCGGACCCCAGACTCCGGCTGACCCCGTCGACACCGAAAAAATTCACCCGTTTAATGGCACTGGCACGGCGGAGGATCCCTTCATCGTCGAGTTCCAGAAGGACGACCAGAGCAATCCCATGAATTGGGGCAGATTAGAAAATGGTTCCTAACCGCAATTGTCAACTTTTCTGTTTTTGCTGTCGCATTTACGTCTTCGGCGTATTCAGTCTCATCTGCGGAAATTATGAGCGAGTTTAGCATTAGCACCACGGTCTTTATTACTGGTGTTTCTGTCTTCGTCTTGGGCTTCGCAATCGGTCCAGCAGTATGGGGTCCCTTGGTACGTATATATGTACGCTTATTGACAATAGTTTTCCTTGCGGTCACAAAAAGCTAATTGTTACTTTTGCCTTGTGTAGTAAGTTTCGGCTGCATTCATCACTACCTACAAGCGAGGTTCGAATACTAACCGTCGCCATTTCACTGATAGATCCGAGCTTTGTGGAAGACAGTTTCCTTGGATTGTTTCCCATATCGCCATGGTATCCTTTATCGCAGATTCTTCTGGTAGCCCAACATTGCCACGCTTCTCGTTTTGCGCTTTCTTGCTGGTACATTCGGAGGATCACCGCTAGTTAATTCCGGTGGTGCTATTGCGGACCTCTTCCCTCCTGCTCGAAGAGGCTTGGCGATGACAATATACTGTGTCGCACCATTTCTCGGTCCCATTATCGGCCCCAACGTTGGTGGATTTGCCACCGAATATATTGGTTAGAGATGGGTGCAGGTATCTGCACTATCTTTATCGGCGTCATAGGTATTTTCTTTCAGCATTCATGTTGATGCTTGCGAACCGATCGCTGACAGGGCACGAATAGGTCTCATTGGCGTCATCTTGGTCCCCGAGACCTATGGACCAGTTTTACTAGACAGAAAAGCAATTGCCCTTTCCAAGGCTGATGAAAAGGTCTACATAAGTGTCCTGGAGAAGAATATGGGTAAGAAGCAGCCATCAGAGGTCTTTGGGCGAGCTCTGGTACGACCTTGGATCCTGCTCTTCCGCGAGTATATTGTTCTTATTGCGTCACTCTACATGGCTATTATATACGGCACTATCTACATGTTTCTGGGAGCCATTCCCATTGTTTACAACGAGCTTCGCAAACGGAGCCCAGGCTTTGGTGGACTTGCTTTCCTTGGGATGGCTGTTGGAATCATTACAGGACTTGGGTTGCCATCTATGATAACAATGGCCATTTTATGAACTTGGAACCATCCAAGAGAACCCCCAGATTCTGTCTGCCACCTTCTATTGTTGGTGCAGTTGCTCTGCCTATTGGCATGTTCGCCTTCTCATGGACCAACTACCCCAGTATACTGTTCTCTGAATAGCAAATAACAGCTAATTTTTTGGACCCATTTCCCTTGCATCTTCCTCATAATCTCAGCCGCTTCTGCAGCATACTTGCACTTTTCCCTCACGACTGCGCCATACCGATACATAATAAGTGGGAACAGCATGCAGACCAACGTCAGAAAGGCTGGGATGGAGGTGGCCCAGTGGATTCCAAGATTGTGGTACATCTTGGATGTGAACAAAGGGAATACAACGCCTAAGATTGAGCGAAAGACCGCTGCTGCCGCCAGAACAGAGGCCGCATACGCAGTATATGCATCAATAAGGTACTTAACAATCGGTAGAATAACGAGGACGCATCCGAAGTCAAACGGTGCCGAGAGGATAATGCTTACAGCCCAGTATATGTAGGATAAGTAGCCATCTTGGCACGCGCTCTATAAGGTGTAAAGGGAGCCTTCTATTCTGAAACTACTTTGACCAAAGTCCTTGCTTGTACAGTTGTGCCACTCGTGTTTTGGCCCTCTTGCAGTTGGAGTCAAGTACTAATATCCCACCGCAGGCCGGGGCGGCGAAGTGTAAACCGAGCCACACCGGACTCGGCCCGTTACAGAATAGAATGGGACTAAGCAGAGACTTTTAACGAGAAAAATCCGATGATCTCTCGATGATCAATTTGAGTGCGTCAATACGCCAGTCATCTTTCTCCACGAAGCTGGTGATGTTTCCATCAAACACCATGTTCTGGGGGTTCTTCAGGTTGTACGCCGGCCAGAGCGTACGCATTGATTTCACTTGTAAAACACAGATATTAGCAAAGATATCTTGAAAGGTAGATTGATACATGGAGAAAAAAATACCTCGGTGATTATTGGGGGAGTGAGTCGCGGAAAAGCTCATCCACATTCGGCTCATAGTGTCACCCAACTGCTTGTAGCTCTGTTTCCGTTCGGCAGGCTCAACATCAAAAGCATTTGATGGCATGCCTAGTCCCAACACGTTATCAAAGACAAATGCAACCTCCTCAAAGTGAGTAGCTCCAAGGTAGAGGGGATCGGTGGCGCCAGGAATCGTGTTGAACCGGTAGCTGTAGCAGGGGACGCCATAATGAGCCCAAGTTTCGCACGTGTACCGCCGTCCGGCAATGAACATGACGTCTCCGGTATACCTAGCGGCGCGCAAGAACTGAGCTCCGTAGGGCGCAGAGACTGGGAGTGTATCATCCGATTGACCATGGGTCGAGTTGGTGCCCGGCTCAGGGTACGCTTCCAGCAAATCGCGGATAGTTGCGTTGGTAGTGGTATGTACATACGGGTATTTCTCGATGAAGCCAGCAAATTCTTCCGTGGTATTGACGCCCATGCCAGCAAACACCTTGCCCTCGTCGGTATTAGCACCGATAAGCAAGGGGACCTTGACAAATCGGCCACTAGCAAGAGCAGTAGAGGCGTACTCGGGGACAAGGGTTCCGTCGATAACAGGTAAGAACGAGAGACTAGCGAACGCCGTGTTCAAAGTGTCAAAAGGCGCGGCGCGTAGGCATTTCAACGTGTCGGAAGCATCTGTGCAGTTTATTGCCTTCAAAACACTCTCATACGTTTTCTGGGACTGGGCATCTGACGGAAAGCTCAGAGCATTGTAAGGTCCGCCGCTCTGACAAATTGCAGCATTAAAGAGACCATCATCCCGCCCCCCATTGGCCAACAAGTGAAAGCCCACCGAGAGAGCACCGGCTGATTCGCCTTGGATAGTGACGCGCCGATGGTCACCTCCGAAGGCTTCAATGTTTTCCTGGATCCACCGGAGAGCAAGTCGCTGGTCCTGAATACCAAGGTTCAGGAGACCTTGCTTGCGAGCTTCATCCCCGGCCAAGAAGCCCCATCCCTGAAGACGGTAGTTCATGGTCACCACAATCGATGGCTGGCCAATCTGAACCGACTTGTCAACCAGAGCGGTAGTGTTGTACCTGGCATCGGCAGAGCCCCCTTCTTGGAAACCGCCGCCATAAATATAAGTTAGCACAGGAAGACGCGCGTTGGGTTTCGTCCCTGCTGGCCGGACCACATTGATTGTTAGGCAGTCCTCGCTCTGGGGGTACCTGGTGGCGAGATCGGCGGGATCCAATGGCAGGCCTAGTAGGTAATTGATACAGTGAGCGCCGTATGCCGTCGCATTTAAAGGGGACTTCCAGCCCTCACTGATGGACTGGGGCGCGTTGAAACGAAGGTCTCCGATTGGGGGCTGCGCGAAAGGGATTCCTAAGAAAGCATCTTGGTTGTGGGACTCGATATAGTTGCCAACAACCGTTCCGTTCCGTATATGAACCGCTGGCACTGAAATCGGCTGTACAACTCCCGCTAAAGCATTGCAAGCCATGAGAAGCACAGCCGTAGTTGTAAATGGAAGCTGCATTTTGGGTTAAGCAAGATGGAGTTCAATTTTCTGAAGGAAGTCATAGTTTAGAACATTCGGAGCATAGAAATGTCATATTTATATATACACGTAGAGAGACCACCGCAGTTGAGCAATGACCTCTTGAGGGAAAGTTTCTTAGCGGAAAGTTTCTTAGCTACTAGGATCGATGTGAGCGATTTATAATCGACGTCTAGTTGAAGGCAACTAATATTGACATGATTCCATGCCGCCCGCGCGGCAGGCGTCAGATGCACCAATGAAGAAGCTCCCTCGGGAGTCAGTTGCGCGCCGTACAAAGTTTGTCTGTAGCATACAACGATAACTAACTATGGAATAATGGATGCTAGGATAATGACAGGGGTGGAAGTCCCTCAGGACAACGTCGAACCCAGAAGACGGGAAATGCTATCCCTGGTGGACTCCACTCCCATTCGTGCGAGCTAGCATTGGATTGGAATAGTAGCTGTAACCTCGGAACAGCGGCGACCAATAGGAGTCTAATCCGACCGGCTACTTTGTTTGGTCTGCGGTCCGTGGAAGATTGCCGGTGTATTTGTAAAACTGAGTGCTAAGGACAATAACTAGTTAATATATTACCAAGCACAAGAAAATGCAAACCTGTTACTTTATTCGATAGGTCTATAAATTTCATAGCAAAACACATTAACAATACAACGTAGGTGCATACCGAGTGGGAGAGTACAACTAGTGGAATACTGCAAATTCTTTATAAGGGGCACGGGGCTTATTTAACCACAAGCGTGTTACAAACCAATAAATTATGCATTAAGTATATGTTTCTCCTGCTTAAATGTCGCACGTAGCAAATGTCCGCCAAATATGGCACAGGAAGCAATAGAGACTCTTAAGAGCTATATAAGAATGGGTGGTTGTGACTTGCATTTGAGAACTAGTATAAATTCACTGTAATTAATCCCAATATACCAAGTAAACATAATAATTGTACTTTATCTCTCAATATACCGGGCGTAGCTAAAAGATTATTAAATGAACCTTAGCTAATTGACACTTTTGGTCATCTATTCCGACTCTGAGTGACCGAAGTAACCTGGTCTTGGACCCCGATATCTCCTTTTGAGTGGAACCCATGATTCTTCATTATAATGCTCCTGTACCTTGTTGCAGGGTCTCGAGGCCCCAATCTGTCACACCGATCATTTGAGGACTTTGAAACATAAAAGCCATGCTGCCGTCTCCAACCTTGGTTGGCTTTAGTTCCATGTTGCTGGCTTTGGCGTGAGTATCGGAATCTGGACCGTGTGCACTGGTGACCTTATGCAGACTAGCCCCGGCAGCACCAGACGGAAGCCTCCACCGCTTTTGGCGTCATGCTCACCCATAATCAACCCCATAAACTCAGACATGGTATTGCGGTGGTACCAAGGCGGCCTGAATGTGTCTTCTTAAACAAGCAACCGTGGCGGGAAGATGACAAAGTCTGCACTAGGGTTGCAGAGCACGGTATGGATACTTGGATCCGGGTGATCAAAGCTGGTGCTGCCAATATTATTAAAGCGACCAAGGTCATATTTGTAAGGATAATAGTTTCCATGCCAGGCCACAACATCAAAGGGAGTGTGTGCCTGGGAAGCTGCGAAGATGGTGTTGTGAATTTATTGTAGATTATCCACGGGGAGTCCTCCCAGTTGTCAAATGCTGCAACTGGCATCTCAAAGTCTCTAGTATTCGCCAGACCGTTGGAGCCAATCGGTCCGAGCTCTGGCAGTTTAAAGTGACCATCGTCAATTCCGAGAATGTAGCCACGGACGGGACCATTGGCAGACCAATACAGCACTCTACACCCCGCGGTATAACAGTAATCTCGTTAGGTCTCACTAGACTGCGACCGAATTCGGTTTGGATGTCCAGAACCCCTTGTTGCAGGACTATGAGAAAGTTGCCGTCGGACGAGTAAAAGGCTTCCTTGGTTGGCATTGAGCTCCCAGCCACAAAAATTTCGATGCCTAAACCTGACTTGACGGTCGGATCACCTACACCTCCAAGTCTTCTCAAGCCACGAGGCCAGTCTGCAACGTTATCCAGATCAAATGGATCCCATCTCAGCTGTTACGGGATTTAATAAATGTTGGCTGGCTCCTGAGAGATATCGGACCTCTCAAATGGAAGATGTGCCGCAGATGGTAGGATTCGATACAACCAACTCCGCAAGTTTTCACTCCGAGCGGCAATAAAGGCAGTTCCAGAGAGCTTCTTAGTGTACAGGCCATAGGGCGGCTTTTGGGGTGAATTAGCCGCCACAGGCAAGGCCCCAGGGACTGCCTCAGTTCTATTGATGTGTGTATCGTTAATAGAGCCTAGCAAGAACACCTAGGTTGCCCGCGGGTGGCATGATTATAGCTAGACGTACTGATGGTAAGATTGGAAGCCGCTGAGGTACCGATACTTCTCCGGGATAGAGAAATTGGTCACTGGCATGATTTGGAATAATTTGATAGGGATACAAGTAGGAGAGTTGGTTAAAACTTCTAAATGAAGCTACAGAATTATGAATGGAGGAGTATATAGGAATAGTAATGCTCCTGAAAGCGGTAGAGGAGGCTAACGTCGGTGGAAAGTATGGCTATTTTTATCATATATAACATTGAAGGACTAATCAAGGGAAAAGGCGCGTGGCATACATAGTCTTCAATTTACAACAGGGATTGTAGTTGCGATGAAGTTGGCCCATTTTTATTAGTAACCTGGCGTCGGAAGTTGTGGAGTGGTGGGAGAATATATAATTCGCTTCGAACAACTTGGCTAATAAGGAAATGAGCCGTCATAATCGCAGTCCTTGCTATTACACCAGTGTAAAATATTCTAAGCACATCTAAAAGCTTACAAGAAATTCTTAATTTTCTAGAAACTTCTCTTGTCGCCTACAAAAGCTCTAGACACGTAGTTTAATATTAGACAGCATCGGGATTTATTCTAGTAATTTATTAATAGTATATCTCCTTCTTTGACCTACCGTATTTTAACAGTTTATACTCTAAGAATAAACTTAAAATTTAAAATATCTTATTAGTCCTGGCTTCCTGTGGCAGCGAATTCGCTATTTTCTCTGGCTAATATCCCTTTTGGCATCATCAGTATCAAAGCTGCTCCTTAACATCGCCCTGCTACAGTTATTGGGGAAAACGTCATTGATCTTAAGGTATTTGAAGAGAAAAATGGCTTCTAAGAGTTGGACGCCGTCCGAGGAAAGCTTCATGTTTTCTCATCGACAACATTAAATGCCTTTGCCGCCTTGGGTCGACCCGTCCACTCCAAAGTCCGGACATACTTGCAGGATGTCCTAACGCAAGGGTCACCAAGGGCACATATTTTTCAGAACAATAATTCACTAATGCAGGAGGCAGTCTTGCCCTTAGGAAATGTGACCCTCACCTTCCCATGGATATCGGAGACTACACATATTTCTTTGTCGGCATCAATCATGCCTTCGCGGTCGGCTCTCTGTTTCGCGGGGCAGAGAATGCACTCCAGCCAAACTACAGGCATCTTCTTGTTGCTTGTCATGGCAGAGTTTCTTCTGTGGTCGTTTCAAAGACGCCAATTCGACGTCCGTCGGGCCAGATTCTCACTCATTCAGATACCGGCGATAAAGTACCTACCTTCTCCCCCTCTCGTCGTCTAGACATTGAACTGGAGCTCGGCGTCTTTATCTGCAAAGCAAGTCCTATAGGGCAACTTGCGGCACTTGGCGAAACATCTCAGTACATCTTTGGTTATGTTCTCATGAATGACTGGTCTGCTTGCGATATACAGGTTTGGGAATACGTGCCACTAGGACCATTTAATGCTAAGAACTTCGGCAATACTATCAGCTTATGGATTATTCTTCTAGATGCATTGGAACCATTCTCAGCGTCTGGTATCCTAACGAGACTGAGCTATTGCCGTATCTCCGGGAGACGCCAGCAACGGGCCAAACTAACCAGCACGACATCCAGCTCACGGTTACTCTTATTGCACCCGATGGAGCGGAACTGTCATTACACGTACAAACGCCAGGAATCTCATCTGGTTATTTCCACAGATGTTGGCTCACCACACTGTGTCAGGTTGTCCCATGAGGCCCGGCGACCTGCTGGGGAGCGGCACTATTAGTGGACCGGAATTTACTGCGCGTGGGAGCATGCTCGGACAAAACACGGGCGGCAGGCGGGGGATCGGACTGGTCAATGGCAATGAAAGACTATTCCTGCTTGACGGAGATGAGATTCGGATTGAGGGTCTTTGCGGAACGGAAGCACATGGGCTCGTAGGCTTTGGCGATTGCTCTGGAAAAATTCTTGAGGAAATTCAATTTAGTTGATATCGGAGCAAACAATGACCCAGTAGAATAGAATGGAACAGCCATTTTAGTAAAAACCTTTAATGCGATCGAAATATGTCTCTTTGTGATTGGACTAGACTTTTGTCTCATGACGTGACGGATCATGCTAGGCTTTTGTGCCAATGACGAATTTATCCCTAGCCCCATGGCGTAAATATTTGAGGTCCTAATAGACATACTCATCCCCTTGTAATTGTCCGGAAAAACTATTCCGTCTGTTTTGGTGTGGATGTATTTCTTTGAGGCCAATTGGGATGTTCAGTTTTTGCATCTTTGTAATACCATCCGACGGACCCGACGCCAAGTTTCACAATTACCGTCGAAATAGAGTGTAAATACTTGCCTCGCTTAACAAGTAATAGACACATTGAACTTGATATTCACAAGTTATGGTTATTGGGAGGATATAGCAGTGCCTCTTAAAGTCTCCAGTCATGTCTGCTGTGGCCGTCGCTGGTGGTCTAGGCGACATGGGCAGCCGTATTACGGGCGCCCTGGTCGAGAGAGGGAAATATGAAGTCTATGTAATGTCTCGGGAGGTAAGACCCATGCTGGAAATATCCCTTGAACGTGATTTATTCATGTCGATATCTAATGGGAAACGAATAGCTACCCAAAACCGTCGTACCTTCAAGGTCGCCTCCTCTGACTACTGTCATAGAGACAGACTATTCATCCGTGGATAAACTTGCCAAAGTTTTGGAATCTTATAACATACAAACCGTTATTTGCGCATTTTCCCTGGATTTTCCTGCCGCTAGCGACTCTCAAATAAACCTCATCCGAGCCTCTGAGATGGCCTCAACAGTGAATCGGTTTATCCCGTCCGAGTTCAACGTTGACTACGACTTGCCGGACGAAGTCCTGCCGTATCCGCACAAGAAGTTCCACACCAGTGCGCGTCGGGAACTGGAGAAGACAAACCTTGAGTTCTCATACATTTATGCGGGCATGTTTATGGACTATTTTGCTATGCCAAACTTGGAGACCTCTCTTCGCGAGGTTTGTTTCATAGTAGATCCGACCAATGGTGTGGCCAATGTCCCAGGAGATGGAGAGTCCAGGATGGCAATGTCCTTGGCCCAAGACGCCGCGCGGTACACAGCACTCGCCCTTGAACTCGACGCTTGGCCCCGTGTCATGACTACGGCAGCTAGTTGCATATCAATTAACCAGCTAATCACTTTGTTTGAGGAGAATTTAAAGCACCGGCTTGACGTTACGTACCAACCAATCCAGAAGTTGACCAAGCACGAGAATAAGCTGCTCCCCAGGAACATTACAATCGCTGACAGCTTCCCGGGTGGCATAGAGCAGGTCAAGGCTCTCACGGCAGACTTGGAGGCTTCTATAGCCCTGGGATCCTTCCAGTTTGACAAATTGACAGATCACCTGGACCTTGTCATGGAGTTCAGAGGAAGGACAGAACCACCCATGGTGATCGAGCGGTTGCTCAAGATGGCTTGGAAAGGGAAATAAAAATTGCGGGAATATCGGCAAACAGTCAAAGAAGCCGAGTTCATAAGTTTACGTTGAACTAAACAAGATATGCATATCTGCCAGGCACTATACTAGAATCTGTGACTGCCCTATTCGCTGCATCGTGTCTTGCCAACGCTCTGGGGTGGCAAATCCGCGACGTACTAGATCCCGATGATTCCACACCTCGTCGAGAATTTTTTGACCATTCCTGGTGTTATCGATTCCGAGGAGGTGTAAGCCGTCCCATCTTGAATTGATGTATTCACGCTGTTCCGCAATGTCTAGTTCCGCCCCTAGGACCACCAGACACCATCCCAAATTTGCCCCCGGTCCCAGAGCATCTGGCACCTGAGTGAGAAGCTGCAATGCTGTTTCCAGCGATTCTTGCGTCTCTGGCGTCAGGGCTTCCATCGGGGCGTGTGCGATGCGATGGACATAGATGTGTGCTGCATGACGAAATATCTCGGCCGTAGCACCCGCTCTCCGACGGAGCTCCTCCCTATCAACCCCGACGGTAACGGAGAATTCTTGCGGGGTATCATTGCACGACAATCCGATCATGATTTGGGAATTGTCTTGTAGTCGGGTGGATCGAATCCGGGTCTGGAGGGTCTCTGCTTGGCTCCGTACCCAATCCTCACTGATTTCTGCCTGTTTGGAGGCAACGTATAGGCGAGAGGCAGCAGCCTAGACAGAAGAAAGATCAGCAAGAAATAGCAACAAGCAGACCGGTTTCCCTACCATAAGCCTTGGAAGTCGCGCTGAACATCCAAACAGTGCATCGACTGTGTAGCCTCGATCAGAGGAGGCGGCGCCCATCCATTCTTCTAGCTCAGGAATGGTTGAAGTCCCGAGGTTCAAGGCGTTCTGTGTATCAATAAGACAAACCCAGTTCTTGAGAAAGGAATCGATATCGGAACAGTCTCTTCGGCCCTGAATCCATCCGCGAATAGCAGTGTGGTGGCCTTTCCAGCGGCTTGATCCTGAAAATACCTGCACAGAGGTGTTAGTTGGCACCCGTTTCACAAATTTCGATAGTGATTCACCTCGTATGAAACCAAGAGCAGCATGGCAGCTAATGTAGCAGGGCTTTTTATGAGACGCGGGTCGGTGAATCTATCACGGACAGCCTTGCAAGCGGCTCGCAAATATTTACGGGACATGGTATCTGGTATACGCTGCCACCGACTATGATGCGATGCAGCCACAGCCAGTGCCGCGTTGAGGACGCATGGCTCAGTGAGTGCCATAGGGAGCAGTGACCGGTATCCGTTATCATCGTGGTCAATCGCAAGTGCGATGCGGGCGATATTCCCTGCACAACTCGTGCTCTGTTAAACAGGCTCACCACAATGAAGACATGCTCGGATGTTTGTGGTTTAAACATACGAAGAAAATGCTGCATGTAGAAGCTCTCTGTCGTTGGTAGGGTCAGGGTTGATATTGATGAAGGTAAGGCATGTCTGTCGAGTCGGACAGCATCAGCAGGCAGCGATCCTTGTGCCAACGACCCGGATGCTCGCTGCTTGTGTCGCCTTTGTTGTTTTGGCGCCCAGATGTCCTTGGGCCACGATATTCTTACTCCATAGCCAGAACACTTTACACCTCGTTCGTGACAAGCTCGGCATTCTACGGGGAAACAGAAACGTTACAAATTAGACTCGGCTGTTGGCAAGGCATGTGGAAACTATGTTCACTGGGGCAAGTCGCGGGACTATTCAGGCGTACTGGGAAGCATGCGGTCGCATTTCCTTTTGTGGCTAAGACATGTCCAGCAGGCGCCATCTTCATTGTCGAGTTCAGGGTTTCGAAGTGTAAGGTCCATCGCAGGGAATTAATGCTTTAGGTACGGATTCCGGCACAACATATGCGGGGGAACAGAAATGAGAATGGCAGACCTGGCTATTGGAACAGTAGATGGGGAGTCGGGTGCCCCGGATGAGTGACAAAGCTAACATTGGAATATGCTGGGGCCGAGAGGGACATGGAGCATGAAAGCCTCTGAGGCAGGCCGGAGTACCGGCACAACCAGGCATGCCGATGTCGCAGAAGTACGATCCCTCATTGCCGATGGCTCAGGTTAAGCCATCCGCGTCACTGAAACTGGTTCACCCAACCAGGAGGCTAACATCTTACTAACGAATCAATTTCTCATCAACAATAAAACACAAGCGTATACATACAAGCAGGGAATGCGATAGCTTGGGCAGAAAAAATAAAGCACATACATTGTCGTCGCAGCCTGTTCCCTTGCCAAGGAGAGCTGACCTGGCAGTTGGGCCACTGATGCCGGGTAGTGCCTCTGTAGACTGAAGTCGCAGAGCTTGGTGTGACGGCTGACTGTTATAGCGTTGGCTATTATAACTTGACTTGGCCAAAAGTTAAATTTGGACGAAAGGAAGTTGTTTGTTTTTTTGTATTAAAAAGAGGTAGGAGAGACACTACGCTGGCAGCAATAATGGTAAATAGCAGAGAAACGATGCACGGAACGTCGAGATCTAAAATGAACAACTTGTTTTAGCATGCCATATTGTCTAGGGCGATTGAGTTTATGTTTAAAAACACCAATGTATAGCTCTGTTATTCAGGAAATACGTGTTCTAGACAAAACAGTCCACTACCTACGCCACCAATCTATGTCTTCCTAAATCCAGTCACTAATGGCTATGTCGCGATGCCGACTTATAAGCGACTGCATACCGCGGGGTCGAGAAAACGATGGTGCTGCCTCGGTGAATAAAGAAAGTATCACCAGGGAGGAGCTTTGCCTCATTGCCCGTTTCATCTCTAATGTGAAGCTCGCCTGTTGAAACAAAACACACACTGTTAGTATCTTCTCAATGAGCACTTGGTATAATTCGTACCCTTGATAACAACTCCTGTCTCGTCATATTCATATTTCGGCGCCGGGTCTGGTCTTTCGAGATAGTCTAAAAAGAACATGGAGCTAGTTAAAGGGCTTGGTGCTTCGGGTGATGAGGTAGAGAAGACATCGGCTAATGAAAGAAGACGTTATTATTTTTCACTTGCATGCGCGCCCCTACTCGTTTCAAGGCGCCAGTCTTTGTTCGACGTCTCTTGCCAAGCTTACCAAAGTACACATTAGGAGGCCCAGGGACCAGTTTAGGGACCCTGTGAAAATGTGCTTCGCTCTTCCACTCGAAAACCATTGTTGAGGCGTCTTGTTGATAACTTGTCACAAAATTGTAAGTAGAGAGGTTTGATGGTTGTAACAAAACTCATCTCATAGCACTTCCGATTAGTCTTTATACTCTAAGAATTGCCTGCTGAAACAAAAGGGATGTCAAAGACTACTAGAGTCCATATCAGAGACCAACGGGATGTTTATCCTGCATGTGGGGAGTTTTGAATAGCTATGCCCTGCCCACCAAGACAAGAATTTCAACCATTTGAAACTTGTAATGTTCACACTATGTCATGCTCGAACATCAAATCTACCGGTTGTAATATAGAAAATATAAGGTTTCAGCCCACGGTCCGTAAAGGAAAAATATAGAATAAAAATTGCTATTAACGCAGAGTAAGATGAACATAAAGCACCAGACGAATGCAAAGCCAGGACGATATGCCATTACAATGACGGCAATAGTTCATTTAATTTCAACACATTTCACGACTTTTTACAAGGCCTTGGGAGTCTGGCTGCGCGATTTTCTGTTGCGTAGTCATAGACTAAAAAGTGAACTCTCTCATCGCAAGAGCCAGAGTCCTGCACTTCCTTCTTGCAGCAGATACATTATAGCAAAGATAAGATGGGCTATAATCGCTGAAAGAATGCCCTTTCTCACACTTCACACTTGGTTACAACCTCGTCACTTGCTCCGCCACTTAGAACTACCACGCCGACACGAATCACGATACACGTGGTTAGGTAATTGCCCAGCAATGCGACTTTAGACTGTCTTGGCGCTACTCCGCGTTATTGGCCCCCGGGAGTTGGGCGAATCAAATATTATTCCCGTCTCCATTCCGTAACAACTCATCATTCGTTGAGCTGCTCCTTCAATGCCGCCGCGCCTCTTTCATGCGCAGGCACTCAATTATCCGAGGAGGTATCTTAACGGTACGGGTTATTGCTGCTTGGTCCGTGCAATCTTCTGAAATGCTTCGGGATTCGGGATCGTCCCCACGGAGAATTAGTCCCACGTTGCAAAGAGGCCTTACTACGTAACGAAGGGTAGTGCTGCCTGACTTGTGTCGTTTCAATGGTATATTCGCACGTTTGTGCTAGAGACTTCCAATCACTTCAATGTTTCAGAAAATCGGCGGCTAGATTGGCCCTACTCACCTCTGGTTTAAAATTATATGCATTACGACAGTGCATTTCCTCTTGGATAGCTCCGATAATCTAACATCTGCCTACCCGTCATCACACCACCAATCTTCACCATGCTATCACAGCCTCTGCACGTACTCATTGTCGGAGCCGGCTTCGGCGGCTTGACTGCGGCCATTGAGTGCCGGCTCAGGGGGATGAAGGTGACTGTCATTGAGACTTACCCTACGAGTCTCAAGTACGGCGATGTCATCGACTTCTTCCCCAACGGAGGGCGTATTATTGAGAAATGGGACAACGGCGCAGTTGGCCGCGAGCTGATGAACATCTGCATCAACCAAGGTGACCGCTTCCTGTACTTCAAGGCAGATGGCTCCTTGATATGGTCAGAAGACTGGATCCTGCAACCTCATCACTTCTGGAGGCAGTATGCTGGTCACCGCGGCCAGATCCACCAAGTTGTCTTTCGCTATGCCGAGAGGCTCGGTGTCAAGTTTAAGCTCGGCGAGCGCGTCGAATCATATGTGGACGGTTCCAAACCGAAAGTCATCACGACTAGTGGTCAATCATATGAAGCCGACGTTGTAATTGCTGCGGATGGCCCACGCTCAATTGCACGACAGCAAGTTCTTGGTTTACCAGACACCAAGGTGAATAGCGGCTATGCGATTTTCCGGGCACATTTCACCCTGACGGAACGACATAAAAATAACGAATTCCTTCGCGACTTCTGCGATCCTACCAAAGATGACACTTGTCTTTGGGCTGCCCATGATAGCCACATGCTCATCTACACCTGGAACAAAGGCCAGGACCTTGGCTGGGTTTTGACACACAAGGTTTGTTTTTCTGCACTTGTCAAATAGATTTCGCTCACTGACGCTCCATCCAAGGATACTGATGATATAGGAGAATCCTGGTCATATCCAGGCAAGAAGAGCGATGTTTTGGCCTGTCTCCAGGAGAGTGGCTTTGAACAGAAGCTATTCGAAGTCGTCAACGAGACACCAGACGAAGATATCGTCGACTACAAACTCGTCTGGCGTGACCCCCTGAAAACGTGGCTTAGCCCTTCATCCCGCATCGCAGTAATTGGTGATGCTGCACACTGCCATCTTCCCACCTCGGCCCAAGGAGGATCCCAGGCTATGGAAGATGGCGTGGCTCTGGCTATTGCCTTGGATCGGGCCAAGGGAGATGTACCATTGGGAATGAAGGTTTTTGAGAGGATCCGCTTCAACCGCTCTCATATTACGCACATGGCATCGATCTGGATCCGAGATGGCTACCATAATGTGGACTGGGAAGGCGAAGAGATCAAGAAGAATCCTCAAATCCTCAACCTCCCACGACCAAGCTGGGTCATTGAATATGATATTGCTGCGGAGTCGGAGAAGCATTTTGACCAAATATCCAAAGACGTAAAGGACGGCCGGCAGGGGACAATAGAGGAGTTATCATTGCCGGCCGGCGGTGACTATCGGCCGGAAAGCAGGATTGTCAAGAAGGCAGACAAGGTCATTACGGTGTAATTAAACATATCCTACCTGATAAAATATTGACAATGTGGTCCCAAACTTCCACTGAATACGCTTTACTACATGCTTTTTCTTTTAGGATAATTATGATGTATTTATTCAAAGTATTTATTCAAATACCGTGTATTTCAATGTCGTAACTGGATCCTACCTACTACTTGTAAAAGAACGGTATACACTTTAGTAACTAGGAAATATTTATCGAGGTTTGAGAAGCCTAAGATGGTGTATTGAGGGCTCAAAATTGCTTTCAGAGGAATCATTAAGTGAGAAAAAAAAGGGGAAAGAAGGGGGGGGTGGACTGCTTGCTATCTGGGTGGCAACTGTGAAAGTCACGGCGGAAGACCGATTCAAAGAGTGCGTTGATCATACAGGATGGGAATATAACCGAGGTAAACTATTTATAGAAGGCGCAGTGATGTAGCATTCGATTTCAGGTCAGACTCTGCCACTAGTGTATAGCTGCATGTGTCTTTATCAATGCAAGCCTGATCCCAGTTTGGTCCCAATATTATTTACCCCAAGTGCGGAGTCCGAATCTGCGGGGATAGATGTACAGGGCATATCTACTAACATTCAAGCCAATGTTGTCTGGTTTATTGGGCCTGTGCTAAAATGCTATCGGTAGCTGTTACACAACGCGCAGCGTGTCAACTCCGGGCCTAGCAAAGCCATCTTCTTCTAGCCCTATCATATCCCTGCCGTGGTGCACGTACCTGTCATGGAAAAATAGATAAGTCGCCAGTAATCTAGCCTATGCCCATTTGGAGGACTTTGGAGATCTGAGAATGAAACGCTGTCTTCCGACACAACCCATGGCGATCAAGAGGAAATTGCCACATGCGCTATCATCACCTGGTATACAACCGCCGTACGATAGACACACATTATACTGAATATATAAAAATAGGCGTCTTGTGGGCTTTGCTGTCCTCAAATCTAGGACACTCGTTGATTCGATTACACGGAGGAAAAATTCTTGTTGAGGCAGTTGACCTGCTTGTACTGGATATCACTCATCATCGCCATAACTGTTATACCAACTTGGCACATCTACTGGATCTTACTTATATCTACCATGTCTGATACGGATAAGTTGAAAGGGACGACTTCGCTTGATCTGGAATCGAGCACCACAAATGAAGACCGAGGTACTCAAATTAAGAAGCGATTCAACTTCTGGACCGCGGTTGGCATCGCGGTATGCACTTCGGGAGCCGTGAGCTTGTCCTATATTCTTAATTTCCCCTCTTCAGGATTGTCGTTAACACCTAGTAGTGGGAAGGATGGACGGCTTCCATTGCACAGGGCCTCTTGGGAGGAGGTTCCGTAGGGCTGCTCTGGGGCTGGGTTTTCGTCTCCGTCGGCATCTTGTGCATGGGCCTAGCTCTTGCCGAGTTTGTTAGGTCCGAACCCTGACACCGGACTGCAATTCCAAGGTACTGATAGTTTGATAGCATGTGGCCGTTAGCTGGAGGCCAATACGTCTGGGCAGCGAAGCTTGCGCCACCACAGTTGGCTAGAGTATTGGTACGAGCATAGTCTTCTTATTTAAATGAAGCTGACATTTACATTTCAGAGCTGGTTCACTGCTTGGGCCGCCCTAGCAGGTATGTGGCTTGGGACGTTATCCTGTGGAATTGGAGTTTCACTCCAGATCCAGAGCTACGCCGTCATCTCCAGAGGCTACGTGCCAGAAACGTGGCACACGTTTTTGGTGAGTACACCAAACTGTGAATAAATCGAGATGAAGCCCGACTAATCTTAAAAGATGTGTGTCGCCTGCTGTGGCCTTTGGATTATGATCAACATATGGGCGGTTGACATGTTGCACCAAATCAACACATGGGGTACGGCGAGCCATCTTTATGTCCTGATTTAGTGTCCCAGAGCAATATTGATTGACTTGAGCTTAGTTCTTGTTATCCACGTCACAGGTTACTTTGTTCTTATCGGTGTGCTGCTTGGATGTAGCTCTAACAAGCACGACGCCAAGTTTGTCTTTACCGACTTTCAAAATCATACAGGATGGGATAGCAATTTCGTTTCTTGGAGTGTCAGCCTTCTTGCGGCTTTGTATGCGTTCTTCTCCCTGGATTCTGCCAGCCACTTCAGTGAAGAGATTCCTAGAGCAAACGTCTTCGTCCCCCGGGCCAGTAAGTCCCTCACACTAATGATCTAGACTCATGCTTGGCTAACATTGTTTTATAGTGTGTCTCCAGGTCGTGGGCAACTCTCTCATGACTTTCCCTTTTATCATTGTGGTACTCTTCTGCATTGGTGACATTGACGCTGTTCTTCAATCGCCAATTGGTCTCATGAGTCCATTCACCCAGATTATTGTGAATAGTACAAACAGCATCCCAGCAGGCATAATCCTTAACCTCATTAGTACTCTCGTCGCATTCGTTGCCGGCTGCGACCTCACAGGTGCAGTTGCAAGGGCGATTTGGTCCATGGCCCGTGACAAGGCTCTACCTCAATTCCTGGCTAAACTAGAGCCTAAGCGGAATGTGCCAGTATGGGGCAATCTTGTACTTGTCCTTCCCTCTATTCTGGTGTACATGATATATATATGGAATACCACCGCTTTTTACGGAATAATGGCAGGAGTGCTAGTGGCGTTCCAACTTTCTTACATTATCCCCATTGGCCTCTACATCGTTTATGCTGCGTGGAAGAAGGATCTTATCAAGGGCCCGTTTAACCTAGGGAGATTATCCTACCCTTGCCATGTAGCGGCGTTCATTTTCGGCTGCTTTATGACGATTGTAATGTCGTTCCCTGTTTATCAGCCGGTTACGGCTGCGAATATGTGAGCAAGAACATATCTCGACTCAAAGTATATGGCTAACCGCGACTAGGAACTACGCTAGCATTTTAGTTGGCGCTGTGCTTATCCTATCTCTTTGCTCTTGGTTTACTTGGGGGAATAAACACTACCAGGGTCCCCTCGAGAACAGTGTTCATGCCGAAGACGAGGACAGTGTACATGTGTATGCTGCTTGATGGCCTCTGGATGATACATAGTTCGCTGATTAAAATGGAAAAGGTTCTTTTCCCATATGGCAAAAGTACCCGATGTTGTGTTCGACCCCTTAACAAGTCGCCATGAATACTTGTAATATTTTCTTTGCAGTGATTCTCAATCTGAGGTGATACTACAATACTCTAGCACACTTTAAATCTCAACTAGCACGCTGCAGCTGGATTACCTGGTGGGCAACTTGCATACCACTCTGAACAGCCCCATCAATCCAACCTCGCCACCCATCAGACCAGTCCCCGCTTGCAAAGAACACACGGCCATGTGGCTGCTGAAGAGCTTCCAGATGCTTGGTAGTGACTTTGGGAGGCAAATAACACCAAGTGCCTTTCGAGAACTCATCATTGTTCCAGTCGTGAGAAACCTTTACAATGATAAATATTAGTACTTGCAGTAGTAAGTATTAATCTCGTAAAGGAAGCGTCTTACAATTCTCTCTATATCAACGCTGTCGCGTTTTTCTTTGGGAAGCAGATGTAGAGCGGCTTCCTTGATCGCGTCTATGTTGTCGAGTTTGATTCCATTCGGTCTCTCGGGATCTGGCCCAAAACCGACTAGATGAGAGTCGTTTGCACGAGTGAGGCCGTCTCCAAAGAGAGAAATAAGGCCCTTTCCAGCATTACACATGCCACTCCATGAGAGGAAATCAGGGCCCTTGAGGTCGACGTGAACTTTGTTACACTTGTTGACAGACCCTTCCAAGGCTGCGTTGAGTTTGACAGCGGGTAGGGGAGGGCTGAAGGTAATAGAAGACAAAACATTTAGAGGTATAGTGGAAATAACAGCCTTTGCTCTGAAAGTCTGTCCACCACGGGCCTTGACGCTCACTATTCCGTCGGTGGATTCTTCGATGCTACACACAGGGGTATTAAAAGTGTAGGAAAGATTTCCGGTTGACAGTGTGTGCTCAAACATGCGGCGATGCAGCCTACTATTGCCGCTACCGAGTCTTGTATGCAGGGCAATATTATTCAGCCCATTTGGTTCATGTGAACCCAGGGTCCACCAGCGAAGTGCGTCTAGCAGTCCCATGCGGTCGAGGGAATTACCACCCATCTGCTGGAGGAAGCACTCTAGAACAGCTGTTTCCTCTTTTGTGAGCAAGTGTCGAATCTCATTAAGCCGGTCTAGGCAGGAAATCTGATCCCACTTAGCCATGAGCTCCGGGGACTGCCCAGTGGCAAAGGGATATTTCCATGTCTGGCGCAGGTGGTCGCCATCTATATTACAAAAAAGCTCCCAGGCTTTGCCAGTAATCTCGTCCTATGTTTCGAAAGTGGCTCAGAATCTGGCTTTGCTTGAATTCTCGATGTGTGGATATTGAACTTACCTCCATGTCGTGGGACATGTTTCGTACGTCGTCACCTGAAGTCAAGGTGCAATAATCTTCCTTACTGCCTGGGTTCTGAGTAACTACCCAGTCGTTGTGAAGGCCGTACAGAGAAACCTCTCTGTAGATATGTGGCATATGCCAGTGAATCCAGGTGCCGCCCATTTCGTAATTAGAGCCATTAATACTAGCATTCCACGACCGGCCTCCGAACCTGTCGCGAGCCTCTACCAGAAGTGTTTGCTTGCCTGTACGACATAGTATTAGTGACGTTGCTACTGCTATTCATCGTGGTCTGGATAATAGCGGAAGGGTCTCTCTACCTTGAACGGCTAAATCTCTGGCGGCAGTCAATCCTGCATAGCCGGAGCCGATGACGATAACGTCATAGACGAGCAATTTCGGAGCGGCAAGGTGGACGGGAGGCGATACAACACTGATCGAAGGCAGCCCGGTACTTCGGCCAGCAGAAGGCGTCCAGGTAAAGCCATCCTTTGTCTGAGCCATGGGGAATAAAAAGACAAGAGATACTGATTATATACTGATAACAAAAATGGATATAGTGGAATGCCAAGTGTCGGGTAAAGCAAAATATTGGATAGTGCAACGTGCAAGTCGCAATTGCATAACATAACATTTCTGAACTATAGCTAACTTGACAGCACCGGGCGTCTTCACACCACTACATTCTTATATCTAACTTACCAGTAGTTGACGCTTGCTAGTTTTTACCCCGGGTCGTGGAAGCCTTCTGATTGGTCTTAATTTTCCACAAACGCCAACTCGTATTTCCGACACCGTTTATCTACTACACAGGGAGAGACAAGCCTACCTCCTTCCTCTGTCTTCCTTTGCCAAGAATTGTCTCGTACATGTAATTTTCTGTCAGGCCCATACAAGTGTCAACCAAGTTACCCCTCCCCCTGCCTTTCCCACTGCTATTCCGAAGACGATCTCGCTCAAGCCACCGGTTTGCGGCATCTCTATGCAGTCAATACACCTTGGCTCGCAACTTGTAAGGTCTAATGAATACACTTATTAGAGCTTTGAATTCGCCTTGGAGTGTTCTTGAGTTTGGTTTGTAAACTACGTCGTATAGACTGTAGTGATGCCGCCTTGAGTGAAGAGCGACAATTATAATGGGATTTTTGGGAGAGAAATTGACTCGTAATGCTTTTAAACGGCCGAATCGCAGTCCCCGAACAATAGCATCGTCAATACCTTACCTCTGTTCATGACACTCTCGGGTTGTTGATGATATCATCAGGGCCTAGCACGCATCACGTGGCTCGCGCGCATGTAGCTACGCCCACGGTATCCGCGGCCTCCGTACACATTATCGACCAGTCACAAGAAGCTGGGCAATGTGAGATCAGAGACGGCAGATGAAACAGTAGGCGGTCATGCCCCTACCCTTGTCCTTGGCCCCCCCTCTCGGGTATATCATTCTGGGCCACTATCACCGTCCAAGTCAAACAGAGCGTTCAAATGTTGTCCGTGCAATGCCGCCTCATGAGCCGAGAGTCGCCAATGTCCTACAACAGAAGCAAAGTCACGTCAGCGTGCGACGCATGTCGCAAACGTCGAGTAATTCCCTGCCATCCATTCCTCCCTGGCTTAGCATGTAATAACTGTACCAGGTGAAATGTACAGGCACATTGCCGTGTTCATTTTGCCTCGAAAGCCGCCAAAGATGTGTCTATGACAAGAATCAAGGAAGACGTGGGCCGAAGCCTCGACGGCAACCCCAGGAACGAGTAATCCATGAGCTTGCCCCGGCACCACAACCGAGGGACTCTTTCCCCAGTAAAGTCGTCTCGGTCGGTGATTCGAAATGGAAGCCCATCGAACCAGTCGCACCCGTGGACATGAATCTCTGTCTGCCCACCGGGAACGAAAACAACAGCGGACTTGAGGAAGATACTGCCACTTATTCTGACGCAGAAAGCAATACATTTGACGGAAGCTCATCCCACAGTATTCCAGATTCCTGCACGTGGGAAGCCAACTTAGGAGAGATACTTGCTAACAGTACCCCTCATGACGGTTTGAAGTATGTTCAATTCCACATCGACGTAGTTTTCCCTCGAACCCTCGTACTAACTACATGTAAGCTCAAGCATAGATTCAAATCTGATCGTTCATTTACTAGAGCTTTTCTACAGTCGATGCCACTCCAATGTTTTGCAGGTAATCCCGAAATCGACCTTCTTTCCAATGATTGCTGCAAAAACCGCATTCCCTGGCCTCATATATGCTGTATGTGCCTGCAGCGTAGCATTCTCGGTGCATCCTATTGCTAGAATGCAGGCACGGGGAGAATCAGGGCCTGAAGAGGAGTTCACAAAGCTGTCAAGAGCCTCCGTGTGCAACTGGGACGACACTAGTAGGTATATGGACTACCTAAGAACATTTTGCGTACTCATAGCGTACGACGCGGCCAAGTCAAATGGCCAAAAAGCATGGCTGAATATAGGTAAGTTACACGCGCTGTGCTCCCGCCCAAAACATGTCTTACTGCCGGCCATTGACAAAGGCTGCTAGGACTCTCGAAGAGCCTAGCCCAGCTGTATCGGGCGCAAGGCCATCACGCCATCAATGACGTGCAGGATCTAGAGAACATAGAGATGTACCTTGAAACTGTTGAAACTACCCATTGCCTTGGTCACTCGGCTCTACAAACTTCTATTCTACACCGGCCTCTCGCCCAGCCCGCCTCGACCGACCAACGGACAAGAGACAAGCCAGTTGTACGTCTTGTTAATCTGCTAAAGCTTCTCATCCGTATTAAGAAACACAACGACACTTGTGCTTCTACCACCCAGGGTTTTCAGCCGTGGAAGATTGAATCCGAATTTCGGGAGCTACAGAATGAGGTGGAAAGAGACAGGTTGCACTACTCAAACACGCCTTTCCCTGAACATGAAGAGCTGTCGGAAAATGAAGACATGGCAGATGCTCACGCCGAGGCTATGTGCTTCTTAGTCTGCCACTGTTGCGATATAGTGCTCAATCTGCGGTTTCTTCCTATCCCGGAGTCACGTAGCACCACCGGCCAAGGTGTTGATACTTCGCCACCATGCATTCAGTTCCCTGGGGCACCACCTCTCTTCCTGTTGGAGAGAAGGAAGCGATGTGAAGCGAGCGCGGAAGCCATTGTCTGCGTTGCTCAAGAAATTGTCAGAAACGGGGGTTTCTTTCTCGTAAGTTTAAATTGATCATGGTCGCGCTTATGGATAGGCTTTGTACGTTACCCTGACACATTCGACTTTCTTTAGCATACCGCCCTACTCGGCTATTGTTGCATGCAGGCTGTGTTTGTCCTGATCAATCAACTGCATAGACTTACAAAACAACAAGAATCAGAAAAGCTTGTAGAGAGCACAGAATTTATCTTATTCCTATTAGAGGCGGTGAAGAAATTCTACTCTCCGGCAGGCATCTGGGTAAATTTATTTGTTGGATCTTATCATGAATCCCACATTAGTACTAATATTGTCTACCACAGGTTGATACAATTTCCCACGCAAAAGATGTGTCGGCACCATTGACGCATCAGAACGGCACCGTGGACGATGCTTTTCGGTCGTACTTTAGCCGCTTCACCAATATCAAGGAGCCGTGCTTTGTGCCGATAGCGTCCAAAGAAGGCTCCAACCAGGATTCTGCAAAGCTAAATAACGATAAACTTTCGTCTTCCCTAGCGACAGAGCCGAAATCTACGGCGGACATACAGGGTCGTAATAATGATGATGCCCAGACAGTGTGGGTGGATAAATACGCTAGCCACCTGTCAGAGGATATCGAAGTAGGGGCGCAAGATGAAGGACTCGGAGAGACGCCTAAGATCATCTTTGATGATTGGGGTCATGCCGGACCGGACTTATTACCACTATCTGCATCAGAGAGCCGCAGTAACACTCTTCCAACCACAGCCTCTGATAACTCGCACGCTTTACCAAGCCAAGAAAAACTGAGTTCTATCGTGCGACATGATGAATATCAATGGAACGGACTTGACCTTGGATTTGATGCCGGATCAGGAGCGCCGATAACAGGTATCGGATTAGGGGCCTCCATGCAACTTCCCTCTAGCCCTAGCTGGCTGCCGGCGGTTAGCTTTTTATGGCAAGAACCTACTTTATGTGAGCTGCCCTTGGTCTTGACGCCGGAGATATTCTCTGAGCTTATAGCCGAGGAATAGGTCTAGACTTTACTTTTAAAAAATGTAAAATTCTAAACTTGACCCGACAAAAACTCACAGCAACATCCGATGTCGTCTTGGCGCATTTTCCGAATCCCTAATTCCGACAACCGCCGTCCTCCGCTGCGGATAAACTTTCCCTCGCTAAAGACACCAATCTGATAGACTTTGTCACCGAAGAATTGGGGGATAGCCTTTCGTAGCAGATTCTGTCTTAGAGTCCTTGGATGCTGCCCTTCTAATCTTGGAAGATGATGACGTTCTTATCGTCATAATTCAATAATAACGTTTCCGTTATTTGACCCACAAATCGACATTCCTTTTCTCCCTGAGTAGCCAGATCCATCAGGGTGGGTATGAGACCATTGATGAGACCGTCCACGATATCGATCAAGCCCAGACCCGGAAGGCGCCTTGCTTTGGGACTCTCTAACGGGACAAGCTCGAGCCCGGGCGTGTGGAACATGATGATTAGAGGAACAAGAATACTGGTGACTTGTATATTGGCTGTGTAATATCGAACAAGGGTGCAGTTTATCTGAAGGAAGCAGGCCCGATTCCCAAGAAACAAATAGCGTGAATAGTTGGCAGAGGAATAAGGAGTGCACGCCTCCTTATATCCCAAGATTTCCCAAGCGCAACATCATCCGATAACGAGGCGAACGGCATAGTTATTCTACATTTTTAACTACTAGTGTTGGCACCGTTCGCGCGATGGGAGTCAGCCACGTCAGTGATGAAGTAATACAAAGTAAAAATGACCCGGCACCCGAACCATGTTCTGAGATATGACATTGTTGACCTGTCGGCCGCCTTTTGGTCAGACTGTCTTGGGTCACCCTGCCCATGACGGGCAAGCTGTGGATCCGATTGGTGTTGGCGAAGTTCGCGAACGAACTGCCGGCTGGAGTTGAGTCTCTTGTATGTGTCGAAAGGTAATCGGTTGCCTTGATGCGTATTCTCATCCTGAACTGTGCTTGGGTTATCGGCCCGGATCATCAAAGCTCGTGACCCTCCCTGTGTAAAACTCAATGGCCTCCTTACGACTCCGCGACCAAGACATGCGCTGTCTTTGCCTCCTCTGAGGCTTTCACAGCAGGGCTCGGGATGAGGCTATTCCTTTTACTGGCCCACGACCCCTGCTCGCAGGCTCATCACCACACCATCTTGGCTGTCAAGGAGCCTGTCGGTAGTTGATGGTACTGGATCACTTATTCGGACAGGGGTTGCGTAGCCGCAATCGCGATATTTCATTGGAGCCACTCTATGGTGACCGTTGTGCTTTCTCGAGGTGCAGTTGAAGCCACAGTGCCATCCATTTGTTTTATAACCAGTATTGAGTTCCAGGACGAAAATGATGCGTTTTAGACACTGTGGTTCGAAACAACCAATCAGCGTAAAGGTTCGAAGATATGTCGCCTGACGAAAAAAGACGAAGCATGCTACCCGGCACTGCGTCATCTAATAACTTCCGCCAGGCCGAGATAGTAAGGTGAACGTGAATTGCCGTACGTACGTACTACCACGGAAGTTTGCTGATCACACAGCCCAAAGTCATAGTCATGAAAGTGATATATTTCGTGTTCCCCTGTCTTTGTCATCAGTTAAAGCTGCACATCGGGAGGCAATCTGGTCAAGACCAACCGTGATTCTGCCGACATTTCAGAATATCATGTCGTTTACAGACCATAGTTCGGCGCTGTCGGATCTTAACTCAGAAGTAACTAATGGTGTTGCATGGGTCTGTCAGATAATAGGCGCCAACAAACATCTGCTTGAGGCGAAGTATACTGCTACACAGCTTATTGGCCCGCCTCTCTCGGTATTACGGTCATTCTTGTCTCAGATAGAACCTCCACAGCGAGCGGTATCCATGAAGGTTAGGAAGCTTCAATCGGCAAATGAGAGTACAATCCCTTCTCTCTGGTCAGCCGCTACGGATGCAGATATTCATGGTGGCAATGCTTGGGATTTTACGTGTATGTGCATACTCAAACTAGCCACAAGAATACTGGAGGATGGTTGGAACCATCGAGGTATTGTTGGGCCCTGTTGGTCACGATGGTTGCTTTGTCTCGGGCTCGGGCAAAGGAGCCCTAGAAGGGGTTTTCAGGGGCTCTGACAAGGTATAAAAGGGGTCAATGTACAGGGCTTCTAATATCGTTCGTACAAAAGTAAAATTCACCTCATGGGATAACTAGCAAAATTTCTCAAGACATCAAGGCAGGCATAACGAAAGACATTGCGTGTGCGCCAAGAGATGCTCTATTTGAAACAATACTTATTGTATCTAGATGCGTTTTATTCATCTTCTAATCCACGCGCCTTACTTTGATATAGTTGATCGCAGACTCGCCAACGTCGCTGGGCTACAACTGTCATCCATAAACCCGCGGATGCTGTGCGCAGAAATTAGTATCAGGTGTGAAACCACAATGATCAAAGGGAATTGTATCAAAGTCCTTTACCTTAGTGGTATTGTCTGAAGCTCATTCGCCACAGCTGTTGACAAGGCGATGTACTTCAAACTGTCTAGACCGTGTTCTTTGAGGCGAGTATCAGACGCAACGTCACATCCCAGAATGTTAGAGGCATGACGAATAAATGATTCAATCATCACCTCCTTGCAGTCGCTGCGACCCGTTGACCCAGGTTGCGACAATCTTGGGGCTGCCAAGGTTTTGCGACGCCAAGTCATGGAAGCAATGTGGTTTGTCTTTTCCTTCCGGTGACTTGGGTCTGGAAATGACAAGAGCAAGTGACTATTAATGCCGCCCCAACCGGCAGCAGAAACGGCGAGAATATCGCCATCCTCTAATACTGTGGGCTCTGTAGCGAATCTAATTGGTAAGTTGCGGTCAATCATGGGATTCGGTTCTGACAGGCCCTTCATGGGAGGCACAGTCCCAGCCTGGATGGACTTGCAGAGTTTAATCAGAGATACTAAGCCGGATGCATGCTGGGTATTGCCAATGTTGCCTTTGGTCGAGCCGACGACAAATGGCGCCTGAGCGCCGCCCGCTTCCTGAACGGCCAAGGTCAAGCCCTCTAATTCGAGGGCGTCTCCTACTGGAGTTCCACTGCCATGGATTCTGACGCACAAGGTGTTAGCTTCACTGCCGGTTATTATTTTGGAGGGGGGGTTTCTGGCCACGCCTTACTCGGCATATCTCAGTCTCTCTGGTGTGATTCCAGCCACAGCCCAAGCCGTCTTGATGACCTCTGCCTGGCCGCGAGGTGATGGAACTTGGTAGCCAGCCTTTTCGCAAGCACCATCGGCTCCAATGCCAGTTCCCAACAGGTTTGCGTAAGCACTCCAAGGTTGTGTATCATAGGTAGCTGCTTTTCTCAGAACTATTGCTACAACAGCGTCTCCTGGAACCGTGCCGTCCGCCCGGCCGTCAAAGGGATTACACTCTCCTCGTGGAGAGAAGATCTGTCCATGCTTGGTCACATATCCGCCACTACTTCCGTGTCAGCATTGAATCAACCGAAGCAACCAGACTGAAACGTGAGCACACTTACTCAAAGAGCTGAACCGAGACACCGCCCACAAGAGCCGTATCGCAACGACCTGAACGAATGGCATCAAAGGCCAGCGACAGTGCCACTGTACTCGAAGCGCAATTCGTTTGCACCGTTACATTCGGGCCACGAAGATCTAGGTGATACGCCGTCCGTGCCGAAATTGACGGCGCAACAAAACCTCTGTTCTCCCGTAGGAAGGAATCGGCGACCACACCCTCTGTATACAGATGGTAGTTCTGAGTTGCAGATCCGATGAATACTCCCGTTCGCCCACTGTCTATGTTGGCAGGGGCAATGCCAGCATCCGCAAAAGCCTCATAGGCGACTTCCAAGAACAACCGTTGTTGCGGATCCATGTCTGTCGCATCTTCCTCGGACAGGTTCCAAAATTCATGATCAAAGTCCTCAACGTCTTGCAGAGCACCCGCTCTATTGACCCAAATGTTGCCTTCCAACGTCTCCTTCTGGACATCGCTGGGAATTACTCCCGAGTAACCATTCACGAGCTTCTCAAAGAATTCATCAACGGAAGCTGCCCCGGGAAATCGGCCAGCCATGCCGACAATGGCAATGTCATTTTCAGGGAGCGGCATCTCCTCCGATAGCGGTGTGAATTTGCCTGAGCTCATGGGAGAGGGAGGCCGGTCTGCGTCACTCGTTCCCTGGGCTCCGCCACCAACCAGTTGAGCCTGTTGCTGGATTGTTGACTGATGAAACAGGTCTAATAGTCGAACGTGCATGGATGGGAACGCGGCCTTCAACTTTTCGTGAAGCTTAGGCACTAGCAGACTATGACCGCCAATGTCAAAGAAATTGACTGTAGGGACGGGAGGTTTTTCAAGGTTCAAGATGTCTTTCCATAATTGGCCAACCATGTTCTCGGCATCCTCCACGCGCGGTTTACGCATGTTTTCCAAATTCTTCCGTGTCATCGCGACAGCTTTTGTCATGGTTGTTTCCGACTTGGTATCCCTGGACAGTTCCTTGCGCTGTGCTTTCACGGCTTTGTGATCCGTTTTGCCACTGACATTCTTTGGCAAGCTCTGCGCCACTATAAACTTGGACGGCACCTTGTAGTTCGGCAGCGATTCCTTCAACTTTGCTTGGAGCGCCGCAACGTCGACGCTGCGCGGTGCTACGAACGCCATGAGCTGCAGACCATCTTCGGACGATTGAACCGAAACCTCTAGCACACCCAAATCCGCATCAATAACTGTCTGTTCGACCTCTTCCGGGGCAATGCGGAACCCGCGCACTTTCATTTCCCGATCAATTCGGCCAAGAACCAATATCTGGCCATTGCTGTCCTTGAGCCCGCGGTCACCAGTCCGATACATGCGAACGCCACTGGCATGCACGGCGAACTGTCTAGCCGTGACATCGGGTAGGTCGCAGTACCCCCGGGAGACTTGTGGTCCAGCTATGCAAATCTCTCCCACCGAGTTTGGCCCTAGTATAGACTTGAAGTTCTCCGAACAAATGTAGATCTCATTTTCGCCAATAGGGAAGCCCGTATACAGTACGTCTGACATATGGTCCGTTTTGTCAATCTTGCCGAGTACCACGGCAACGGCGGTTTCTGTAGGGCCGTATGTGTTGACCAGATTAACTCTTGAGTGCCACTGCTGGAAAATTTCGCGCGAAGGCAACTCTCCTCCCACCGATATTTGCCTTAGCGACGGGAGTTCTCGATGGAGCGGAAGAGTTGACAATGCGGTTGGAGTGATCTCCAAAAACGACACGTTGTTGCGCTCAATAACATCGGCGAGATAGTCTCCGACCAGATGTGCCGGGTGCTGGGCGAAACATAAAGTTGCTCCCGTTCAAAGAGCAGTGGTCCATTCCAAAACTGACGCGTCGAACAAAAAGGATGCCAGCTGAAGAACTCGTGCCCCGTAGCCGCATTCATATGTAGCAGTAGTAGCTGCCTTCACATAAGCAGCCACATTGCCGTGCTCCAGCATGGCGCCTTTGGGTTTTCCGGTTGAGCCAGAAGTATAGATGATGTACGCCAGGTCACTATCTGAGGTGTCATCTTTGGGAAGTTTCAGAGTCGCTTCTTTCTCACCGGGCTCCATTCCCGACTCGTTCTCTGCCTGTTTGTGATTTGCATTTTCCGCGACGAGCTGGTCAGACGTTCCGTCGTCAACGATAAGAGTGGGCTTGCAGCTCGCGATAACGGCCGATTTCTGCGATTCAAGATTGGGGTCGACGTATACAAAAGCACCCCCGGCCTTCAAAACGGCGAGCATCCACTCAATCACGGCAAACCCGCGTTGCAAGCTCAGGATGACTTTGCATTCCTTCCCGACTCCTTTGCGAACCAAACCTGCCGTGGGTTAGAAACGGCATCCCATATTGGTTGACCAATGACTTACTCATCGCTTTCTCCTCAGCCGATTGCTGCAATTCGCCGTATGTCATCTGAATTCCGAGTTCGTCTGACGACAAGGCGATCGAGTCTGGTCTCGATTTCGCATGGGCCTCAAACCATTGATGTATGTGCTTCAGCGGCTGGCCTTTATCCGCCACTGAAGGCTGCAAGGGCACGCGCGGGTAATGGGGAAGCCACGGCATCATTTCATTGAGTGCCGTGTTCTGTGACTTGCTGAACTGGATCAAGTTGGTCATCTTCGATTTCATCTCTGACATGGTCTTATCAGAGAAGACCAGTGGGTTGTAAATCACCTAACAAATATTAGTATGTCTTAGGTAGCGTTTGAAAATCCTGGGCATGTGATTTACCCCAAGTTTAACATGATCCTCGTACTCCAGGAAACAGAAGAACAAGTCCCATGGGCCCTCCACCGGGAAGAGGAGGCATCTCGATTCAGCAAGTTTGGGCGAGTACGTGATGGTGACTTTTGGCGGTTCGTACTCAATGTTCAGATTCCTACAGGTCCGCGCCAACTCGGTAGCAGGGAATAGCTCGGCTTTCTTCACCGCACTAATGTTCTTTCCAACAGCGGAAACTAGACTTTTGAAAGCAGTCTGGGAGGCCTCAGCCCCGAGGCACTCCCAAAGCGGAATCTTTACCGGAAGTGCATTGGCGAATTGTCCAATGCAAGAAGCCATCTCCTTTGGCCGACTACCAAAGGCAACAGAAACCACTTCGTCTTGTCCAAACGGCGGGTGTGTTATGTCTGTCACAAGCAGGCCAATCAATGACACGGCAACTCTAAACCACGAAGTGCTGTAGCAGTTGCTCCATTGTTCAAGTTCCTGGAAAGGTTTTAGACCGGTGAATCCTCGCTCTTGAATGATGTCACTTACAGCCTTGGAAATGGTAAGCCACGAGTCGATTTTGCGGTAGTCTTGGCGTTTGGAACTCTGTGGCAGCGACAGGTCCTTTGGCCAAGAAAGACTGTGCTTGTTGGAAACTTGGGACAGAAGAGTTTGCCGGCTTTTCTCCGAAGCTTCGGATCCGAACCAAGCTTTCTGAATTACCAATCAGCTTCGTTCCTTTTATTTAAAGGAGGCGCGGGAAAAGGACAGGCATTATTCATTACCTCCATATTTTGTCATTGAACTTGCTTCTATTTAATTCTGGCTGACGGCTCTCATACATATAAATACCTGGTAATACGGTCCCTGCGTGTTATTCTCTGTACATGACTCCTACTAACTCAACAATATTAGAAATATTCTCTCTGGGAGGAGCAAGCTTTGTGTCAGTTTGGAAGTTTCCTAGGGGTGGAGTACATGCAGAAAGAGGTGTGCTGTACAGACTGGTTGGAGGATTTTCCAAACGTCTAATGACGAGACTACCTATGGTGGATGAACACGGTGTGAAGAGGCTTGAGGGGGACATGAGACGCGGTAGAAACCGGATTCGCTGTCTCACGGAATATCTGTTGATACATATTGAGATTGGTGGTTACGAATACGTAGATTGGTGAGCTAACACTACAGGCATAGTTATTCGTGACTGGCCTGTAGCATAACGAATAAAATCGCAAATTGCATAAAAACACAATGGAATATTACCCTAACTCATCGCAAAAATCCGCTTTCCTTCCATGCCAGAATGTACTTGTGCAACAGCTCGTCACTCACTGGACGGACAGCTCGCAAGGTCGAGGAGTGTTCTCTAGCATTGTCTTTGGCCATTGTCACTCCACCACAAGACAAGCGCTCCAAGTGATGAAAGAAATCCATAGCCTTAGCGGATGGGTTATCCCAGGGGTCCTCCCCTGGATAAGCACGCACCCTCCGGAGCCGCTCCTGGAAGGGGACAAAATGGCATTCGGGGACTCCCAATGCATCAGCTAGTATGGGCATCATATCTTTCCAATCCCTAGGAGTAGTATTGTCCAAGTGATAGACAGCATGACACGTAGGCGCTTCGTGAAAGAGCAAATCGGCCAATGATTCTGAGGCTACCTCAAGAGGCAACCACGAGAGTGCGCCGTCAACATCTGGCAAAGCCCGAAGGGTCTGAGCAGACTTGAACAAAAAGCTCAGCATCTCCATGTGGTTCCAATAACCCGTTTTATAGAGCCTGACAATTGCCCTAGTCGCACCGTCATAGCACGGAATCAATAGGGATGTTGACCAAGTGTTGCGAGCAGGACGCGTTCGCAGACAACCTTTGCCTCGCCGTACCCGCTCGGAAGAGCACTGTCAAGATTTCACTGCTTCTCACGTACTTAGTCTCGCCATGAACCTTTGGATACATTCCCACAGCCGGCAGAGAGGAGATGAACTGAAACGTAACTTTGAACTCGTCTGAACGGCGAGCTGACACGCCGGCGGCAAGGTCAACGAGATTGCGCATGAGAGCGAATTGCGGTTTATTTTGCTCCAATGAGCGTAGGCCATTTACAGAGAAAGCATTGTGAGCAATATGTGTCACGTTGTTGAGTAGCTGACCGTACTGGCTCTCATCCAGGCCAAATTGCGGCAGCGGCAAGTCTGTTTCGATGACTCTCAGCTTGTCGAGCTCCGCTGCACCTAGTTCGATGCCTTTGGATGCCATTGCGTGTATCTGTTGGTTTAAAGAGTTAGGAGACTGGTTTTGGCCCCTCTGACTAATACTCCGCCGATTCAACCAGCAAATGGTATCAACTGAGGGCAAACCAGCAATGTGCGTTACAAGATGGCTGCCGAGACTTCCAGTTGCACCCGTGACAAGCATGTATGCGCCCGCGCCAGATGCGTCTAAGGTAGGCCCAGTATAGCTGGGAATTGTGAAACGTTGCGTTGTATTCTGAACATAGGCATCTCCTATGAGCTTTCGTTCTTCCTGGTCACCCTTGGAATCATGATGATCTTCTTCCAGCTCGAGGGTAGCCAAAGGCGGTATGTCGTTTAGATCTTGTTCACCGTCACTGGCCAGGGCGATAAGAACTCTTTGCACGTGAATTTCCGGCAGCTTCCCGTCAGTCCAGCGTACACCTTTGAAACGCGAAGCGAGCAGATCCTTCTCCCATCGTTACTCGTTCACAATAGCATGGGTTCTACTGTCATCGAATAGCCACCAACCCTCAAGAATACCCCAGACTACGTCAACCCATTGTAGAGCTCTCATCATCTCAAGGATCATGAGGAATCCGTCAGGTCGCAGGATGCTCCGGATATTGCGTGCCGAGTCCCTCAGAGAGCGAGTAGCGTGCACCGCGTTGCTGGCAATGACTATGTGTTGCGAGCCGAAAAGCTCTGGGACACAGGGGGAGTTTTTAATATTATGAACAGAAAATTTTATAAAGGGATAATCATTGAATCTTTACTTAGCCTGGGCCACCAGAGAAGGTGAGAGGTCGGTGAACGTGTATTCCAAGGGTATTCTCAACTTTGCCAGAACAGGCAGAAGGACCTTTCTTGTGCCACCGCTTCCGGCTCCCATCGCCAAGGTTTTGAGTGTAGAGCGATTCTGCGAAGAGAGATTCTATTTTGCGGCTATACGGGTGAGGAAATCAGCCATTAGCTCAAAGTAAAGCTTGTTGAATGGCAGCTCGCCGTAAAAATTTGCCACGAATTCACGGTTCGTCGCATCACCAAAGATGAGCTGCGGGTCATCCGCCTTTCCTGACAGAACATCCGCCATCCTCGAGCCAACATTGTAGGCAATCTGGTGAGAGGACTCATTGTCAGAATGGCGTCGCATAAGATCCCGCAGAATCGTATCTGCGGATTGAGAAGGCAGCGGGATAGCAGTTCGCGTGATGACATCCCCGTCGATATTAATAATTCTGGTCTCTTCGAGCATATTGTGCAGGTACTGATGGAAGCGCTGATGGCGCTTAACAAAAGGGACGGGCTGTAGGACTTCTCCAGGCTTGGCAGCCGCAAGTCGCACCCAAGCTGCTTGAAAGCCGCACTTGTCAGCTCCCTACATAATCTGGTTTGCTTTGGAGACACCGCGTCAAGGTAGCCAGCGCAGCCATAAGTCTTCAGAAACTGGTTGGTTTTAGCGCTTGATTCAGGGAAAGCTTCAAGAGTGGCAGAGGAAGGGCGGTCGACATCGTCATCTGATGGGCCGCAAGATTATTCGGATTCGGCGTCACGGCTTCCGAATCTGGGGTAGATGGTGACCCTCTGTTACTAGATGAAAAAGTATTCATGTCCGAGGGCAATGTACTCATAGACTCGTAACAGTCAAAAGAAGTATCGTCACTTAGGGTAGACTGCAAAAGTTTGAGAATGCCTGGTACATCCACGATACTAAGCAACTCGGACTGCTCCACAGTAACATGGAAGGTAGTCTCGATTTCTCGGGCCATCTCCATCCCCATGAGAGAGTCTATCCCAATGTCGGCCAATAAATTGGTTTCTTTTATCTCATCTGGCTCAAGTCCATAAATATCTGCTAAAACTGGTCGGAGCCTAAGCCACAGCTCCGCCTTGATGTCCTTCTTGGGAGCTGGCGCTGGAGCTGGCTTCGTGGCACCTTGCTGAGGCTGTCGAACCTCAGAAGCATATGACTCGTATAGCACGGACATTTGTTCCGTTGCAGTTGGTGCCGGTACGAACTGTGTACCTAGAGGGACATATTCATTTGCTATTGGCACAGTTGTTGCTGGGCTTGGAGAGGCCGACAGAAGTTGATCCCCGCGGAGAAAGTCAGTAAGTACATTACCTAAATAGCGTCTTGAATATTTCTACTTACAGCGACACTGGAGCATATCTAATCCCAAGAATAACCTCCTTCAAGAACCCGGAAGTCGCGCCAAAGACAAAAATATCCGTTGTGAGAGACTCATCCAGGTTATTACGCTTATGCTGGGCTAGAACGTGCCACTCGATTTCGGGATCGTCGGCATAGAAGCCTTGGTTAAACTTCCTGAGCACTTCTGATGACTTGGACCACTGTTCGAATCCCTTAGCCATGTAAATACTGTTCTTTGTGTTAGGTAAACTGCGCGCCATGCAATTCGCCCATATACTACCCACTTGGGTGAAGACCTCCCATGTGACAAGGGCTCAATAGAGCGCTTAGAGCAAAAGAGCTCAATTCAATAATAATCTTGAAGGGTTTTTAAGGTCTTAAGTTGCTACAAGAGAGGAAGAGAAGGGTAATCGCCTTATATACATAAAAGGAACGACTAGGCTTAGAGCTCTAGCCCGGGTGCGTGTTTAAGCTGTGTAACTAATAAGCCCTGTATCGGTGAAGCCCCTTTGTTGGGTCTCACGAACTGTTGGGCCTTTTCCGTGTAACACCCCAAGAGCGAAGTCAACGAAGGAATTGCCTGACCGCCTTCTTACTATTCTCCCAGTAGATTCATTGGATCTACCAACAAGTCTCTGCATGCCGCGCAACTTATGCCCGTATTGGACGCCACCGGAGGAAACATTATAGATGTTCTGTCCCTAAATCACCTCATCGGAGCGCCCGCTGCTTTCTAGAACCTGTAAGCATCTGTCGTGCGTTATTATTGTAGAGTTGGAACCTGCCTCTAACCAGATAGACTGCGGATACTGTTCAGCAATCCTTTTAACAGCATGGTGGAAGTAAACTGGCTCTCTCATATGATACACAACGTAGGCAGCTGACAGCTTATTATCCTCGCGTGTTCGAGCTGCCCTCTCAAGGGGAATCTGGGGCAACGCAAACGTAATTTTTCGACCAAGCGCCTCCAAATTCAGCTTTAACCGATCAACAAGCACAGAATGGAAAGCTTTGATCACGTTTAACCTTTTGTGCTTCAAGGTATGCTGATCTGATTTGTATCGCTCTTGTTCGAAATTATCCGCTACACTGCATCAATTGCAGTTGAAGAACCAGCTACGGTAAAGCTTCTCAGACCGTTGAAGCAAGCGATTGTCGCTCTGCCTGCGCTTTCAGCCCCAGGCACGGACAGAAACGCATTTGCAGTAGTCAGGAGACTTTCTAGTTCCTCCAAGTCGGCTTCAACGGCCAGCATTGAAGCTTTTTCGGCGCCCCAAACCTCTTTGATGATCTTGGATCTGCCGACGACCAGGCATAATATATCTTGCAAGCTCAATACGCCAGAAATACAGAGCGCAGTGAGTTCTCCAAACGAATGGCCAATTAATTTCACCTGAACAAGACCATAATTGATCCAGCTCATTGCACATGAATACTGAATGGAGAACAGAAGTGGTTGAAGGACAGAGGGATCATCGATAGTCTCGCTTTGGAAGATGAGAGGATAAATGCTCCCTAAACCAATTGACTTGCAGATCGTGTCGCACTGATCAATATGGCGACGCAAAACCGTCGATTTCGAAAAAAAGTTGGTAATTGAGCCCGACAAAGGTCGAAGCTTGACCACCGAAACATAAAACCACTGGTGGTTGAGAACAGTTTACCGGAAATGTGTCGATAGAAGGCAGCTTCTGGTCAAGCCCAGAGATGGATTTAACGCTAAAAACAAACCTTCGACCAAGGGACTAATTGGACTGTCGATTTATGTTGAATGTTAGGTCTTTAATTTTGAGGTTGTTTTGAGTATGTGATTGAGATTTGACGAACTGACGGAGCCTCTGTGCGTAGGCCATGATGGCTTTCTCGTCAAGCCCCGAGATAAAATCGGGACCTTATTTTGAGAATCAACGTCATCTTCAGAGAGTAATACCTCTGTTTCGCTATCAACGACTGCTGATGGGCGCCGTGGCTGTGTTGGACTTTGCTTGATGATCATGGATGCATTCGAGCCGGCAGCCCCGTAGTTATTGATAAGGGCGGCCTTGAATTCTTGCTTCCAGGGAACTGGAGTCTTGGTGATTTGCAAATTATCCGAGGACGAAAATTTGATGGAGGGGCTCATGGAATCGAAACTGGCTTGTGGCGGGACACAGCATTATTGCATCATCAGGAGAATCTTAATGAGTGCGACGAGTCCAGAAGCACCTTCAGTATGGCCGATGAGCCCTTTCACCGATCCTATCTGCAAGGCATTTTGTCCCGCACGGATAGACCCTCCGAATACCTGGCGGATGCTGTCGTACTCAACAGGGTCCCCAACTGGGGTTCCAGTTCCATGGGCTTCAACGACCGATATGTCTTTGGCATCTAAACCCAATTTTTGAATGGCAGTCCGGAACACACTCGTAAGCGATGGCAAATTCGGTACAAATATGGGTGTCATGTTCTGGTTCTGATTAATTGCAATGGCCGAGATAACACCAATAACCTGATCACCGTCGGAAATCGCATAAGTTGACTTTTTTAGAAACACGGCACCAATAGCTTCCCCTGGGCAGTAACCGTGGGCTTTTAAGTCAAACGGCTTGCATTATCCAGTGGCGCTTAGGAATGAACCTGCAGTAAGATTTTGGAAGAACATCGGCGTGCTATAAAAGTTCGTCCCACCAGCAAGGGCCGCAGAGCATTCTCGGCTTAAGATGGCCTTATATGCCAGGTCAATGGCAACAGTAGATGTTGAGCAAACCGTGTCAACTGTCATTGCAGGAGCCGTCCAGCCAAAGAAATGTCTTACCTTGCCAGCAATGTAGCTTCGCACGCCCGTTGGGAACCGTTTGCAGTAGGAAAGGAACCCTTCTAGTTCGGTCTTGTAAAGTTGACCCGAGTGAAATCGTCCATGAACCTCCGTTTCATTGGTTGTAATACCCATAGTTTGAAGGTGACTTTTCAAAGCAGCCACTGTGGGAGTGGATGTTGTTATGGTAACCCTGCTCTCGTCGTATAAGACAGAGATATATGCCCTTCATGTCAAAATACGTTAGAAGCAGCTCAGGGAGTCTTGGATGATGGAATTTCCGTGTCGAGTTGCATACCTCGGGACAGTTTTTCAGTGCCTTCCTCGGATCGGACAATAACTGACCACCTCCCCAAAACGCTATCAGTGAAATTGACGGCCCGAATGCATCAATTGCATCGTGTGCGGCGGATAATGCCCCCAGTACAAAGGCCTCGCGAACTACCGCTGCGGCATTGTGACAAATTTGAGCCCAGGACGAGCTAGATGATACCACCAATGCGCTGAATGTGCCGAGACAGCAGCCCACTGTTTCTGTATTTAACGCAGCAGGTACTTCGAAGCCTTCGCCACCTCTGAGCCCGGATTATGATACGGAGTCAATGTATTGGAGATATTCGACAAGCTGCGCGATGACGACAAGGGGTCCGAGAATGGCATTGGGTAGATTGGCGACGCTCGAATTAGGTGGGAGAGAGCCCGTTCGCAAACAATCTGCCAATATCTGAGCATGGCTAACGCTTGAAGTGTCATTTAATTTTGAAATGACTTCACATATAGACGCCCAATGACTCTCGATATCCCTGATGGCGTTAACAGCCCACTGGGTTGCAGAGTCTGTGCTGATGAAGGACAAGATGTTGGCAAAATAAGTCTCATTCAAGGACATGGCCCCTGGCCCGAACATAAGAAGAGTCCTTGAGATGGCCATGACTGTACAAGATGGCAACGATCGCCGAATGTGATGTGGTAATGTTGATTACCACAAGCCTTGAGGTGAACGGATGTCTTCACAGGTTGTCACCAAAAGGCAAATTCTTGCGGATTATACACAAGCTTTTAGGATCTGACTAGATTCAAACTCATTACTCATCTAGTCGCAATATGCAGAAACGCTGTGCCCCGTCTTCGTCTCCAGAAAGGCACTTGGTACCTCCTGGATACGGACATGGTCACCAAGTTACAATCCGGAGTTGAGATACTGCGATACAGGCTATGCACTGCCGTCTTGAAGATGTATTCGGAGTCTGCCAATATCCAAGGCGGACTTTTTGAACCGCCAGCCTTCTAACTTACTCCTTTAGGTACGCGACTAAACTAAGAACGGAGTTGACTCCGGGCTTACGTCTACATTTCGCCGCTCTCCGCCAAAGTCCTTTTTCCCTTCACAGGCTATCACCGTTGTGCGTGAATTGCACTGGGCTCAGAACAATTCCGGTCAATGCCGCTCGTACACTTTCGAAAGGTATACGGGGTCTACCGACAGATCCACAGCTAGGTGTTTGTCACGGCAGACACGCGCCATTCAGAATGATCCGACCGAGTACCACGATACTGGACTTGGGAGCCGCCGAAGCCCTGCAGCTATCTAAGACGCAATGACCAGTGTTTCCTTCTTCTGTTCTATTGGCCATTCTTCCCAGACGCAAGCACATATTGCCCTTCAACATGCTGTTTGTCGACCACCCTCAACGATCGAAGATGGGAAGCCTTAGCCACGACAATCAATCTGGCTTTGCGAGTGGGCCTATTGCGATAATTGGCATGAGCTCCAAATTCGCAGGAGATGCAACAGATGCTGAAAAGCTCTGGAAGATGCTAGTGGAGGGGAGAAGCGGATGGACAGACTTCCCAGCTTCTAGATTCAGATCCGACGGAGTCTACCACCCGAAAACCGGGAGACTGAACTCAGTAAGTCTTGCGAGCTGCCGATGTTTCCCGGAATCGAGTTCAAATGATATATGAAATTATAACGTTTGGGAAACGGTGGCAAGGGAAATCGTCCCAGTTATCTAACAAACGAGGATAGTGGAGCTTCCTGAGATACTATAACTTAAATTAACTGCTCATTACCAGAAATAGCTAAAACTAGTTACTTTTTAAGACAGCTCTTTTTTTATATATTTTCCGCTATAAATAAATTGGGTAGAATAACTTAGCTAGCACCAGTAACCTAGTCCACCCCAACCCCAACCCTCCAGGTACGCTTCTTAACGTCTGTTGTCTAAGCTGCGACTGCCTATTATCGCCTCGCTATAGGCAGCGCTAAAAGAATATCGCTACTTATAGTCACTCAATTCGAATGCCTAATTGAGCGTCATTGTCTCCCATAATGGGATACATCAGGGTTTTTATAAGCTAGATAGCCCATACGTAAGCTATATACAATTGCAGTAATTAGAATCAATAGGAATATTTTATAGTACTTACCCATTCTTCAAGGCCGGCTTCGTTGTCCCTCAATGCAGCATACTTGCTATCAAGAGTCTCTTTAAAACATGTTAGCACATCAGTCGATCCTTTCCCGCATACAATGTGCAGGAGAGGGACAAGAGCAAACGAACCAGCTGTACGGTGCAGTACCTGATCTACAGCAGCATCTCCAGCCAAAGAATCGAGAAATTTAGTCGATTCTTTATCGTCGCCGACCTGGCTCACGAGAAACTTGACAGCTATATTGGCATTGGGTCATGTTAGCCTCTGGTCGGATCATGTGGAATGTACATGCAGGAGTTGAGGAAAAAATGGACAGTATCCTGGGGCAAACATTACTTACACTCGGGAGGATATTGATAGCTATCCAGCCACTTCAAACACGTGATGATGGAGTTCTTAAAAACATCCACGTTTTCCGGATCCGGACAGCCGTCTGTGACGGTAATAATGAGAAATGGGCGGCTCAGCTTAGTCTTGGACTTGAGTTTTTCATAGATTAAAGGATCCAAAACTTTGTCATGCAGGCTTCCACCGATGTTCGTGCCACCCTGGCCCTCCGTAGGCATCTTTTGATCAAACTGCTGCTGCTGGGTGAGGTTGTCGCCTCCATTATTGCTGTTGATGAAGCGAAGATGAGCGCCCGTGCCATCGGGCACGAGCCGCGTTGCAATGGAAGCCATGCGCTTGACGAGGGCTCGTTGAGCGTCCATGCGAATCCCTTTATCCGTGGCGGAATTCGCCCCGAACATAGAGCCGCTGTCGTCTGTGGTGGTGTTAGAGCCATGGCTTTGGAGACATGCAGAGGAGGAAACAAGAAGAACATACCACAGTAGAACACGGGCTGGTATAGCGCCAGTCTCGTCAAAGCTCTGAGATCACCTGGTTTCCCTGTCTTGTTCCGGGGGTCGTTCTTCAGTTCGATGGCCCGCTCAGCCACTTGTGTCAGATAATTGTCGTCATCGGGGAAGAATTGGCCTAGATTGCTGCTCTTGACGTAGTCTCCGAGGTCGAACAGGAATTCGTCGACGGTCTGTGGATGTTGAATTTCCTAGAAAAGAGAGCTAGCATCGATACACTCAAGCCGTACGCGCCGTGCGCGCCGCACAAGTGGCAAGCTTACCTTGGCAATATCCGGATCAGGCTGCAAAGATCCAATGTGATACAGCTTGGACACGGTGCCTCGGGCGACGCCTTTCAAGGAACCGCTATCGACGTAGGCCAGAACGAAAAGCACAAGGCTCACCAGCATATTGACAAGCTCGGGCACCCATTTCTTCTCGCCGGGTGCAAGCACAGCTCTCTGGATTTCCAAACTGTCAGATTCTGTGGCATATTGCCTGGCTGTCTTACCCGTGGCATCTTTTGCTTCTAAGCTGGCACCGTGTTGGATCAACAGCTTCACAGCGTCTGCGTCCTGCTGCTTAATGGCACGGATGAGGCAGTTTTTGCCCGTGGACAGCCCTTCTATTTCGGCCGGGCTAGTCTTGGGAATGAGCTCCTTTATGATGTTGTGTCGGTTAGTTCCGCCGGAGAGGGCTTCATAGAGTGGAATAGAACCGTTTCGGTTCCTTGCATTCGCAGAAGCGCCCCCCGTCTTGATCAGAAGCTTGACTACACTTAGTCGGCCATTCCTGGCCGCATAACTGAGAGGTGTGAAACCGTTGTCGTCCTGGTCGTCAACTCTGCCTCCTTCAGCTAGAAATTTCTTCAGAACGCTTTCAGTAAGGGTTCCATCACCTGCCATAGTATGGATAGAAGTCGCCATGGTGACTGCTGCTGGCAAAGGGAATAAACGATACGGCTGAAGTTGGGAAAATTTGTCGCGGTAAAGTTGTCAAAGAAATTCCAGCGTGTTTTGGATGTGTTCTCGACAGCTTTGCAGCGTCTTTATTTATACTTGAGCGTTTTGTCTCACTCATAGGTAGTCGACCAGCCAAGCCGAATCATGTCACCTACGTCTCCGCGAGGCGGAAAAGCCCGGATATGCCATATTTCTGACGTTACTTTGAGTAACCCTCCTGCCAGTGTTTGTGACATGGCATGCGCGGGGATGCATGAAAGAAAAGGGTGTGCTGACAAGGTTGTATTCCGACTGTCCAGACGGCAGAGCGCACAGCAGCCCAACGAACGAGTCATTCATCGGCACAGGAGTGACTCGAGATATCCTGGCTCAGGGAAACAATCGGGAAAGTCATGTCCTCTTTCTCCTCAATCCGCTCGTCGGTTGTGACGTGCGTTGAGCCAAAAGCTGATGAACCGTTGAGCAACTCGGACTGAGCGCGTATGGCCTTCGATGAGAGCGACTACAACATGTCCCAGCAGATATACGAGTAGCATACGCTTATTCTGCGCATAAACAATCACGCACTCAAGTCATCAGCCTAGATGATGCCACGGTGTCTTGATACGAGTGTCAATTTAGATTTAGATGTAGCTAATCAAAGTCCTCCGAAAGAATGTAAATGGTCAGTGGTGGTTTTTGCATCCAGCAATGGATAACAGGCCTCAAAGGCACACGAACTTGAGCCTAGGCCCAGGCTGGTCGCCTCGCTCCCCAAACAGAAATAGGCGCGTAGCCCGAGTTGTTAATCCAGTTGATGTTGATAGTAGTGTTACCACGGAGGCGACCCATCAGTCCAAAGCGCGCGCGAATAAATCTTCCACACTCGGCCTTGGTGATGGGCGTGAACTCTCCCTTGGTCACCTGGCCCAAGCAAGAGCGTCCTTGATGCTGGTCGATGTGCAGAATCTTGTTCTGCACCTGTGCAAAGGCCTCGATTGTTCCGCGCTCCTCGTTCTCATAGACAACCAAATTCATCATGTGTGCATTGTCCGACGAGTCATCCAGAATCTTGTCTATTTTCCCACAAACCCCGTGTCAGTGTACATGTACAGAGCTGCTCTACCTGGGCAAGTAGATGTGAGGAGAAGGAAGAGTGATTACCTTCCCACTTGTCAGCCTCGAGACGCCTCGAGAAGATGTGCACTTTCTTCTCAATGTCAACAAAGGACACAATGACGGACTCCTGGGTTGAAAAGGCCGAAATTGGCGTTCCACGCTGGGCCTGGCAGGGGAGGCAGAAGGGGGCCAGCCAGTGCTCCTTTTTGCGGTCGAACGCGATGCCATGTACCTGCCCCTTGATGGTCTGATAGAAGACGATGGTGACCTCGGGAACGGTCACGACGGATAAGCGAGTGTCAGGGCACAGGTCAGTCAGATGGGGAATTTCGATCTTCGCTTCCACCCACTCCTTCTCGCGGTGGTTGAACTCCCTGGCGCAGAGCGACGCGTTGCTGCCGAGATAGAGCATGAATGCCTACAGAAAGGGGGGTGTAGCAAGTTAGCGTTATAACACGGAACGATGCAAAATGACGAATCTTATCTCATTATCTCACGCTGGATTCCAACATCATGTAGACTGCCGAAGAGTTATGCTTGGCGTCGTTGGTCACGCATCGTTGAGACAGAAGCTCTTCATTGTCGTAGATGTTCTCTATGAGTCTATCTCCCTCAAGCGAGAGAAGACACAGTTGGCCGTCTTCTGTCACGTTCGAATTGACGGATTGCAAGGTGCGAACAATGTTGCCCACGTTTGCGAGGTTGCTCATGATGACGGAAGTTGAGTTGGAAGTTTTGGACAAGTTTTGGAGTTAGCTGTTGAAGAGGATTGCTTGCTCCGATGGAAGAATAAAGCTGCGAGTGACGAGAAGGACATTATGACAGAAGAATTTTGCCTCTGTTTTATACCTCGATTCTTCTCCTGACCTTGATTCTTCTTCTGAATCCGCGACAACACACAAACTAAGCGATTGTGACAAGAATTTGCGACACCACCGGCGCCGTCGCAACGAGGGTTACGACACATGTCTGAATTTCGGACCAAGCAGTACGCTCTGTTCATGCCTTTCTGTAGGTTGGGTGGATTTCTTTTCCTGTGAACGGCATCACGGCGATGGCCGGCATGTCGAGATGACGGATTGCTTACCAAAATGTGGAGGGATGTGTCAACTGGTGTTTCACAGCGTCCCAGAAGTTGCATTTATTCATTCAGCCGACGTCAGTCAACCACTGCATGGAAAATATTGGCTCCCGCAGACATCAAGGGAGATGCTAGCAATCTTGGCGGGCGCCGGGAAATTTTCAATGATCAGGCGGCCATGCATGTTACCCTCCTGCAGTCGTGACTCGTGGCTGTCCGCCGCTGTTCCCGTAACGTAATGTATGGCGAGGGCAATCGTGAAGAAAATTGCTGCGGCCAGTGATGTGTTGCATGTTGCAGTGCAACCTGTGTGGTTTTGTATGGCATTAATGTGCGTCGGTATATCAAGGCTCAAAATATATTGGAGAACCTATACAAATAAACAGCTATCTCGATATTATACGAAGTCGCAACTAGCGAGCGGTGCCGCGATATCCTCGTTGCGCGATACATGATACGAAATTTCTCTTCTCCGACATCATCACAGAATATACCAAGTTACCGTGTATAATGGACAATCCGCCCGTGGTAAAAACGGAAATCCCTTTTCCTTTCCGGCATCCAAAGCGGGTAATCCTCTCATTGCCTACATTGGTGTCAATATTGATAAAGTCCTGCATCCAAAATTTGTTACACTACATGGCAAACAGACTGACACGAGTCATGCCAGAGCTTCCTCTTGAACGAGGAACCTACTCGATTAACCATTTTGAGGGCATCACGTGTAGATTGAGGGAATTATTTGCAGAGACTATACAGCCTAGTGTGCGTCAGCGAGATTGTATCACAAAGAATAATACTCGGAGGAGAGTTCTAATAGAGAGTTCTAGATAAGAGGCGCCATGGATCCTCGGCATGTGCGCGCTCCCCCGTTTTCTTCAAAGTCAACGCCCAATACCTGGTTTGATTATCTACCATGCCCTACTAGATTTTATCCCCCACGTTTTCACGGAACTGGAATCATCGCAAAGAAAGCTTGACAGCTGTTTTCGTGTCCTTTGGTTGAACGAGTTTTCGAAAAAAAATCATGGTTAACCCAACTGCTATTCGCCTTGGTCGAAGGCGGCCAAGGGAAGAAGAAGTACGATTTGGCTTGGATGATCTACATAGCAGTTTTATGAGTCAAGCTATTGTAGCACTCAAATTTGAAAGAAATGGTGAGGGTAAGAGCAACATATTTCGTTCTCCTTGTCTCTTCCCCCCCTCTTTGTCTCTTTATTTCTTTCTATATTATCATCATTATTATCGTCATCATCGTTATCATCACTGTTTTTTCCTTTATATACACGTCAAGCATTAGTTTCCTTCTCGTCTGGACTAATGTTGTTTTGGTGACCGCTGCGGTAGAGATGCGAGGCAACGGCTTCTTCATCGAAGTTCCCGGACAGACTAACGACATAATTCTCACCGCGGGCCACAACCTGGTTGACTCTCACGGAATGAGCTCGACAGACCTGATGGCGTGGTGGCAAGACGGGGGCGAGTGGATCAGCATAGCCACAGAAAATGTTCGAGTGAGCAAGGCCTACTTGGCCAGGCCAACCGAGCAATCGGCAACAGACGACTTCGGCATCATCATTCTGAAGTCAGAGAACGTCAAACAACGTCGTCAGGCATTCGGGTTTTCTATCCGCCTTGGAGAGGACGATAGAATCGACGGCCAGTGCAATATATCCAGCTACTCAGCAAAGTCTTTTCTCATGGATGGCCCAACCCAGAGCACAGGTAGATTTGTGAATCCAATCATAGCAGAGAATCAGCTCGAGTATCTCGTAGGAACCTCGGCTGGTATGAGCGGCTCAGTCGTCTGGGTCGGATATAACGGCAGTCCCATAGCGGTTGCTATTCAGTACGGGCCAACCCTCACCCCTGGTAGAAGATCTCGACACAGTTTGGACTAACGTTGAGTTTTGTTCACGAGCAGCAATTACGGTCCGCGAATCAAAGACCCGAGATACGGGAGCCGCGGGTCACGCATCAACCTGAAGATGATGCGTCAGATTTTCGAATGGACGGGCGTTTACAGACGGGCTGTAAATGTCGTCGCGGCGCCGAGCATGGCGCAGTCCGAGCCAAAGAAGCCCCTCCGCCTGATGTATTCGCGTGAGTTGAAATTCATGCAGGTCCAGGTCCATGATCCAAAGGACCGAAATCCAGAGACCACGTTTGAGGTCTTGCCAGTGTACTCGCGGGCTCGGACAGCGCCTACTGGATATCCCAGGTCTGACCACGGCTTCGCCTGCCGACAAGATGAAAACGAGAGCCAGACAAACGACATGGCCTGGATCTCGTGGGATGTGGAAGCTCGTGAGGCTTACCCGGTTACAAGACTGAGCTTGGCACAACTTGCACGCTTAAATAATCTCGCAGGCGATAGCAGTACTATTTCTCTTATCGTTAATATCAAGGAGTGGATTGTTGTTGTCCGGCCTGACAAAGTTTCCGATGAGACCGATCTCGAATATAATGGGTCTGTATTTCCGGGTCTTGATTTTGCCTCGACTATAGACCAACAGTTGCCAGTATGTATATTTTTATAGAGCAGCCTAGAGTCTTGATATATTTACCGTGCTAACTTATATCTTAGACTACATACAAGAAGTTTAAGTTTATTACAACATACTAGTTAGTAGTAGGATATACCAGAATATAGTTTACTATTCTACGTATTATTATATACTAAAGGCCGGCTATCAACTAGCCTAGTTTATAGGTTATAGGCTATAAGCTGTAAGCTGTAGCCGGCTTCCAACAAGCCTGGTATTTTCAACTAGGCCCGAACTAAAGGCCCAAGTAGTTATAGCTTACAAGAGACTTAATTTACTTTATAAGTGTAGATTTAATATTCTTTTAAAATTATATTATAAGCTTAATATATAGTGTATACCAATATATTACCTGAGGCCCCCTACTGCCTAGCAGGCAGCAGGAAGGTAATACGCACGTCAGCTATAAGCAATCTAGGATTTAACTAAAACTTATTAATAAATCTTTATATATAGCCGTGGATATAATTTAGGATAAGTTATTCTCCGGCTACCGGATCTCCACTAATATTATTCTTTACTTTAAACCGCTTATAATACTTACAGTAAATTTAACTAAAATCTTTTACTTTATTAATATACTATATAAGGTATTATTCTTTTAATACTACTAAGCGCGTAAATACTATACTAAATAAATTAGTTATAATAATAAACTAGCTATATACGTAAAAGGTTGTCTTATACTATAATATTTACTTATATAAATTATAAGGTCTAGGGTTAAATACTAAAGCAAGTAAATTTAAAACTTTAAGGGACTAGAATAATAAATATTAATAGCTAGGTAGTACTTATAACTTGCGATTTATATATTTTATACATGTAATTATTATACTACTAAATATTAGATAGTATTATTAATTGTTGGTTGTTTCGCTTTGTAGTTAAATAAAATTACACGTATAATACAAGTATCGTGCAAGCGTAAAATCTAAAATAGTATTGGGCTGTTAGATAGTATTATATTATTATTGAAAGTAAGAAAAGGGGATTTTATTAGTAATATTACGCTAGAAAATATAGTAATAGTATATAATTAACTTAAGGAACTAAGTGAAAAACTATTATTAAATTTTAGGTCTAATTAAAAAGTATTAATAAAAGTAAAGTTTTAGGGGTATATAAAATATAAAAAACTAAAATATTAAAAAAAATTATTTAAAAAGAATAAGAGTGTAACGGCTAAGGTTTCTAAGAGATAAACTAGTTATAGTTTATATTAGTAGAATAACTAAAGTAATTAATTTAAGTAACTAGGTATTATATTAATAATAAGTTATAAATTATAACTAAGTAATTAAAAATAAAAAGTTATAAGTAAAGCTTATTTAATATAATAATTTATATTATGTAACGGCTAAGGTTCCCAAGGGATAAACTAGTCGTAGTTTATGTTGGCAGAGCCACT